AAAGACAGCAGTGGTGGTGGTCTTGCAGGTAGACAAATTTCTGAAAGTCGAGCAACAACAGCTTCTGATCCACCACTAACTTCATCAACTTGTGTCACTCAGTCCTCATTGGTGTTGTCATCCACAATGAAACAGACACCCATGAACTCAAGTATCTTGTGCAATGACTATGGTAGTATCAGTTCGTTTGAAAAGACGAAAGATATTGCTCAGTTTAGTGAGAATAAGCCAAGTGTAAACGAGAGAGTAATTGTTAAATTGACTTGCACGAATAAAGGTATTTCAAGTTCCATGTTACTATTTGAATGTTATTATCTTTGGTGTAAATCACTCTGTTTCTACACTTGGTTGATGAGATATGTCGTGTGTTTTTTGGTCATCTATATTCTATGATACAATGACATGAGCGTGTTACCGTTCAGATTTGAGGATATCGATGATACAAGGAAGTCAGCAAATGAACTCTTCGACGATTCGCCAACCTAGGGCGTCAACCTGAGAAGGGTTGTAGGCGTACTGCTGTAAGTCCTACAATTCTTCAAAGGGTAGCGCATCAATGAGCAGCCCAACGTGCTTGGTGTGTGATTTTGTACATATGTTCATATTGCATATACTGAATTGATATCATCCTTCATCTATCTGTTGGTAATTCTGTTTGTGTCCGGACGACTTCCACTTGGATCATCAACCTGAGAAGGAATGTAGGCGTACTGCTGTAAGTCCTACAGTTCTTCAAGGGTAGTTCGTCATGCCAGAATCCGCGACATTTGATGTGTTGATTGTACATATGTTTGTGTTAAATAGTTGTGTGAGTTCCAATTGATGTAATTGTTGGTTAATCTTGTTTGTGTCTGGACATTCCACAACTTACAATCGTCAACGTGTGAAGGGTTGTAGGCGTACTGGTGTAAGTCCCGCGATTCTTCAAACGAATTCCACCAAGACATGATCCGCGAGGTTGTTTGTACTATTTGTATATACGTGTGGCGTGTCATAGCAATTGGTGTATTTTGGATTCATTGTGTTTACTTGTTGTTTTCGTGTCTTGTTGTTATTGCGTAATTTTGTTAAAATTTTCGTCGTGATTATTTCTGAAGTTGTTTCGAGTCTTCTACATCCATGAATGAATTGATTGATGTTAGAGACAGCAGATGGGTCGTATACGCCTGGGAGGCTAGGCTATTGTTGAGAATGAAACGCACACGGAGATAATTGTTAGCTGCGGTCCGACACGCCGGGGAGAAAGAGTGTAAACGACTGGGGCTCGCATGCGTCACCGCTACTAGAACTGAGGCAGAATGAGTGACAAGCGATTTCAGTGGTAATTGGTAATGAGTAGATAAGGGGATGTGCGTAGAGTATCGTGAGGTGCTGCCATGGTCACTTTGCATTCCGCAAGAGTCATTCTTGTAAGCGGCGATTGTGTTGCAAGAGGAGGTGTCAAGAGGAGGTCTCTGTCTGGAGGCGCAGGTCGTCAGCGATGTGTGAGATTGTGCTGTGGGTATGCTCGTGGTGTGTTGGCTTTCCTGTTTGCTTTCCATTTCAGCTCTGTCCGTGTGACCCAGGTTCTCGCAATGGCATCCAAGTCAACGTGCATTGGTCGTGAAGGAAAAAAGGGTTGGATCCCTTCTTTGCCGGGGAGTGTCAATGGAGTTGAAGATTGAACGATCAATTCTTGGTTGTTTGCTCAAAATCAACTTCCCCAATTTTCGCGGAGGCATCAATACGACAGTCATCGTCTCATCGGTCGCTGTTCAGAAAGAAGATTGAAACATCGTCAGAAGTAATACAGAGATTTATTATTGTAATATTTGTTCACAGACCTTAGTTCACTTATTCTTTTTATATGTTGGTGTAACAATAAAGAAATATCAAGCGGCAGATCGGTGTTTTGGATTTTGCGGCCGTTATAACTAAGCGTTTCTGAAATCTTCAAGGAACAGCATGGGCCCGAGCGTAGCGAGAGCTGGGCATTAACGGTTTATGAGACGTGATTGACATTTGTTTTACTGGAATCAAAGCAGGTATATTTTTTGTGCATAGATAGAAATGAATATATTACTGCTATATACTTTCTGTGGCATAGTCGAATTCTGAATGTCAAGAAATGTAAGATTATTGTGATAAGAACCTACATTGTGATGGACTGTCAAGAGGACGCTGGATGAAATCAATACAGATTTTTGCAACTCCTTTTTTCATGGCTGGTGAGATAACATAGGTTAGGTTTACAAAGTGACCATTTCCGGGACTATGTCTAGACCATTTCCTGAAGTGTGGAATTACGTGGTTGGTTTTCCCGGTTCCATAGAAATCCCGCGCCACCATTTTTAGTACCGATACCGAGCATCTCGTCTTCTCCTTATTACATGGGGCTTAAGAGATATTATCTCATCTCTAACATTCAGGTTAAACTCAAATTCGGAGAATTTGTGAAACTTTCACTCTGTTGCTGCTACGACTTGGTGAATAGCACCGGTAAAAATTGCGAAACTGTGTCACTTATCTTACATATTTCAAAAGGGTGATTATATTGCATATCCCTTTTTGAAGTGGCACGACCTACTTTATCGCGTGCGTATCTCCGTGGTTGTTTGATATGAGCCGGCATTAATTTGCCTTGTTTAGTCCGGGCAGTTGTATTGACGTGATTTTGATGCTTATTTATCTTTTTAAAATTAATTTCCTTGAAAATCGTCGTTCAACACTTTTTCTCATTATAAATACATTCTTTATGTGGCATCATGTTCAAATGTAATTTGTGCAATAATTTTTCTGTATATCCAGTAATCTTGGCGTACATTTCATACGATTACTGCTTAAAGAATTCCTGCGAAGCATGGTGGCAGACTGAACTGGGCCCCAAATTTTTTGATTAGCTGATATCTTCAATATATTACTGGTGCGCTACTTCACACTTATGTGGTGTTTTGGATATAAATAACCAATGGAATCCGTTGATATCGACAAAAATAGCGCCGATAATTGGACATATATAACGTTTCTTTTTGACATAAATTTGAGATATCGACTACTTTTAAAAATGTTTGCTGACTAAAATACACCTCAAGACCAATTCGTTTCAGTCATCGGCTAAATAAATGGAAGTGCTAATTTCTCAATACTAGATTTAGTTTCCGTCCTGGTCAAGAATTAATATCGTTGAACAAGATTGAGTTTCAAGGTTTCCTCTCTGGAAAATCGACATTCAGCCAAGATATTATATTATCCTATGGCCTAGCCGACCTTATATGTGGCTCAAAATATATAGATATGGTGTACTTTTCTGTAACAACAAATTTCGTTATCAAGTTTCTTGTCTTTTTCCATCAGAGTGACTCTTATATATGCGTCTTGTGAAATCTCGTTTCTTCTTTTAGTAGCTCGCCTTCTTGACATCTCTAAATAAACTAGATGCAAGGAACTCAATGGTATTAATATCAGTAAAAAGTTTGAGCACTGTGGATTAGATGAAATAAAGTATAATTATATTTCAATGGTTTACACACAATGATAAGTTTTGTCATTGGAATTTTTTATTCCAACAGTGGTTTGAACACGGGCAGCAATTTCGCTCGAAATATTACCAATAACAAAACTTATCATTGTATGCAAACTATTGAAATATAATTAAACTCAACGGTACTCTATAACCTTCACCAAGTCTTCTTTGGGAGATATTAGCTGACATACTCGCCCCCCTGACCACTACATTCAAGCCACCTTTCCCGTAAGCGGTGTCACTGCATGGCAAGAAAAAAGCCGTAGTAACCCTCATCCACAAAAGAGGATCATGTCAGTGTTCTTCAGACTGGAGGCCTATCATTCTCACCAGCACTTAAATCAGGATACCGGAGAGAATTACCAAGGGAGCCATCATGGCACACTCAGAAAACAACAACTTGTCTAGAGCGCAGCATGGCTTCCTAGGAGGAATCTCGCGTCTGCCAAACTTCGCTTTGAAAGAGAGTTGAACCAAGGCAAGGGACAAGAGAGGATCAGTCAATACCGCTTTCGTTGACTTCAGCAAAGCCTTCGACAAAGTGTCTCGGTGAAGACTACTCACGAAATCGGAAAGTCTTGGAATCAAATATGACCTACTAAATCGGACTAAGGAATTGCTAATTGGTAGGAGGCAGAGTCATAATCAACTACAAATTCTCTTCCTGGACGACAGTACTTAGTGGAGTGCCACTAGGCGCGGTACTTTTTTCGTGTATCAGCGAGTTATCTGTGCTCAGCGGTTTCCCAAAAGTCCTATATGTAGATGATTTATAAATTTGCAGAGAGCTAAAGGGCCATTATATACTCTCACGTTTGAAGGAGATCTCAACATGGTGTTATGATGGTGAGAATAATGGATGTTTTAAGTCAACGTAGAGAAATGCGCACAAACGCGCATTGGAAACACAAGCACCAGCTCCTACGAATTAGAGGGAATGACGCTGCACTCAGTTCGGACTCACTTGGATTTAGGTGTCATTGTAAGTTACGACTCAAAACCTACAGCACATCGTCGCACTGTTACTAGGCGTAGTTTCAGAAATTTATGGGTAATTCGCAGGGCCTTTACTAGAATATGTTTACTAGAGAGTTGTTCACCTCTTCACATATGTGATGAAGCGAAGAAAGGGTTTAAAGAAGGCAACACGTATGGTTCTTGGCATGACCATTTTACCATATGGTGACAGACTCAACAGTCTGAATCTATTCTTATTGTCAGAGAAAAGGATTAACATAGGCTTCAGGCCTTCTACCCCCAATCAATAAATCTGAATCTGATAAGTTAGCCCAGCATAATCGTCGTACAAATACTATGCAAAGATATCGGTAATGAAAAAATATTTAGTCCAATAAAGAGAGGATTTTGTAACTCGGATCCATTGATTTAAATTTTATGTTCGCTGAATGCATGGAAGGTGTTCAATACATCACGATAACTCGAATGAAATTGGTATACCGTTAGCGCTCCTTTCAACTAGTTTTCAAAACCGCGCAGTATGACCTTTGACGTTGCTTTCGATTTAGAAAAAAGTCGCGTCGATTATCGTGAATATAGGTAAGTTAGAGACGGTGAATTTACATTCACTAAAGGTACATTCAGTTAGATAATGGATTAAGGGCAATACTGGTGTGCAACTTAAAGCCTGGTGAAGAAGTGCCTGAGGACACACTGTCGTGTTCCGACCTTGAAAGTGATGACTCTGAAAGCGTGGATGACGAAGTGGTAGCTGATGAAAATGAAGATTCTGTGTGTGATCAGGAGGCAAAAGTGAGTCTTACGATGAATTAGCTACCTCTCAAAAGTCATCTTTCTACATAACTGATATACCTATTCGACTTTTCAAAGTATATACAAAGCTCGTATAACAGCCCCTTCTTCCTGATTCGGCACTTTTTGATATCATGTTGACCTCAATTATCAGAGTCTTGGGCATGTTCTCATCATTCTAAACAACCCAGTTGGATGAAAATGGGCAATAATCGTTGGATAATAGTTAAAATGGGGCCCGACTTTTGGCGAATGGTATAAATGGTTATGCAATGGCCATGTCCCACTCAGCTAATGATTAGATTAGGCAAATATTTCCTCACTACAGGTTAAAATGTGAAGGTAGTGGTCAAATAATGGTAAAAACGGGAAAATTTTGTATCGTATGACCGAAATTCTCCAATTTTTTCTACTATTAGCAATACGTATTATTCACCTATTCCTTACCATTTTTGACCGATTAGGAATTCACTGTCTCTCATCCAATATATGCCATCTGCTCACTTGTTTCGAGAGTTTATTGGCATTGGATTATTTTGATTTACTGTAGAGTATTTAATAATTGGTATTTTATATTGGATTTTGAGAAGTCATGTGTAGTGATATCAATGAAATTCTCAATTTGCAAGTGGTAGTTTTAGATGAAAATTCATCACAGTATGAGGTCCGCTTGACACCATCAATAGCATTCTGGGAAGTAAACAGAATTGCATAATAGTGTACAGTAAAAGCAGGTTGAAATGTGCCCCTAAACGACCTAACATCCCCTTCCCCGTTGTAGTGCTTTGACCACTACTATCTGGCTAGTATGCACTGTTGGTTGATGTAGCTGTATCCCGACTACTTATACGTTATAGTTTAAGCGAGTCTGAAAAAAATATATGTTACATTTTCATTCAGCATCTGTGGAAAGCAGTAAAAATAAAGCAAAAACGGATGAGGGATTGTTAAATTTATTTTTACGGATACTAACGACTTGAACGTTTAAAAATAAATATTTGCCACAGTAAAATATGCACGTATATTTCTGGTGAAGTGAAAAAAATGTTTGAACATTTCCACGAGTCTTAAGGGCAGTGTCTTTAGAGTAAATAAGTTAATTAATGTTCAAGTAAAAACGGCAATAAGTTCTAGTTTATTCCTCTCTTCATCCACATAAAACAATTGCACGCGACCCGTTGTTATTGCTCATTGGTAATTTCTGGAGATTTTTTGATGGTCCGAATTTTGTTTTATAAGATGTTTAAATGTATAGATTCTTGTAACTATTACTACCTTGAAATCTGAGTGGAATATAAGGCTTCAACAACACATCTCCACTCTCTTCTATTTTTCTACCGTCGTTTTCAGCTGGCTGGCTCCACTATCACCCATTATCTCTCATCTCCCTAAACGTTCTCCTGTATGTCATCCCCGCACCAATGACACACTCGTCGCTTCCCATTCGGACTCCACTCGAGCGATGGCCTGAATTGCGCGCGATGTCATTTGACGGCATCCTCAATGGCGTATGCCCATTCCATGTCCATTTTCTCCTTCATATTTTCTGAGCAATCGAATCTTGGTCGGTTTGTTGCCAGAGTCTATTGTCATTAATTCTTTCTGGTCAGTCGGCCGTTTGATCTTCAGTATGAAGGCAGCGCAGGTAGCTGTCGATAGCTGCAGTAGCCTGTTGGAAATCCTTTTCGTGAGGCGCACACTTTTGGGAAGAACTGACTGACTTCATATTTGTGTTGAAAATTCGAATCTTGTTTTCTATGCTGAATTGGTGCAGATTTCCGAACTGTTTTCAAGTTGGTGAAGGAGTATCTAGCCCTTCCGATTCTGGCTTGCTTTGACATCTTCATCCGTTTCGCCTGTGGTTAAGACGATGCTTCCTGGCCAGATAAGTGAAGTCAGAAAGTCAACTCTGTCAAATCTCTCCCATTGATGGTGGGTGATTGTTGCTCTTCGTTGGTTGGTTGGTTATCTTCATCACCTCCGTGTTCTCTGTGTTTACCTGGATCATGTCTTCCCTGCTAGCCAGCCTTTTCAGCCAGTTTGTTGGTTTTCACATGTAGTTATTCGAGTTTGTATGACATTAAACATAAATCATCTGCGAAGTGCGGATCTTCTAGTCTTCTTATGAGTCCAGTGTGTTCCTGTCTTCTCACTCCCATTCACAGTCTGACGCATAATGCAGTCCACCACAATTAGGAATATCATTGGCGATAGCAGTGGACAGCCTTGTTTAACCTCTGTGATCACGTCGAATGTCTCGCCGAGTTTTTGTTGTGGATCACCTGGCACGTGGTATTGTCACATAGCCAACTGTTAGATGAGGTTGATAAAGAATTAGGGCGTGCCGTAGTGTTGCAGTGTCTTCCAAATTACTTCTCCGTCAACGCTGGTGAAGTCCTTTTTGATGTCGATGAAGTTGAGGTAGAGGTTTGACTGCCATTCTATGCTTTGTTCGATAATGATGATTATGCGTAGAGTTGCAATTTGCCTTTCCTGAATCCAGCTTGTTCCGGTGGGGCGGGTTCTGCATTCATTGGATCTTTTATTCTCTACAGGATGACGCCACTTAGTATTTTACTTGGCGTGAACAAAAGCGTTATTTCACGCCAGTTCTTGCATAGGCCTAAGTCGCCCTTCTTTGGCTGCTTGACGAGGTAACTTTTCTTCCGATCGGTGGGTACCTTTCCTCCCCTTCCAAACTTTTTACAATAATGTCGCAAACACATCTGCCGCAGTCTCTGGGTCCGTTTTCAATGCTTCGGGGGAATTCCGTGTGGTCCCGTTGCCTTCCCATACTTTAGTAGCTTGATCACACTTAAGATTTCTGCTTTCATTGGGGGATTGGTGTCCACTGGCAGGCAGTTCTGTGTATGCTATTTGTGGTGGCGTTATTTCTGGCGAGTTTCAGGTGATAGTTGACTCAAAAGTCATTTAAAGGGATCAGCGCGTTGTTTTATTTGTTTTCCCTCCCTGGTAATCGGGTTCTCATGAACATCTTTTATTGGTTTCATCACCTGGGGGATCTCTTCCCGGATAGAGACCTGGTTATCTGATATAATGTTCTGGGCTTCACCCTCACTAACAGCGTGTTCTGTGTGAGTTGCCATTCAGTGTTTCGTAGAATTGTCTTTCGTGGCACTCTCCTTCACTTCTCTCTTTATTCAGTGCAGTGTACATTGAACTCAGCTTCTCTTTCTCTTATCCATCTCTGCATTGAGTCACCTCTTTCACCACCCTCCTCTCCTCGATTAGCTTCCAGGTATCTTTTGACAGCCATGCCATGTAGTGTCTCTGGATTTGCCTTGATTTTTTTTGTAGTGAAGGTATCGCTTGTAGTTTTATCCTTCACTTCCTGAATGTTGGACTTAAACTGTGGTCTATCTCCAGTTGTTTTGAAAGATCTCAGCTTCACCTTGGAGGCTCCTTAAACTAAGTGATGATCTGAGCATACATCTGCTCCGCTTCTCGACTTTGTGTCCCGCGGGATGGGTCTCCACTTCCTTGAGATTGAAATGAAGTTTCTATAGCAATTTGGTTAAATTTGTGGGGTATGGTCGCTAGCCCAACGCCTAACCCTCCCCCTACCAGGCCTTTAGACCGGCTAGAAAACTAGCTAGATAGTAAACTAGGCGAAGTTACATGTGTTGATGGGTATAAATAAATATAAGGACTGCATTACTAACTTTAAAGACGGTATATTGTGTGCATGTGTTGCGTCCATGACGCTGTTACGGTGTAAACCTAACGTGTAACTAACGTTGACTGAATAGTTATTTTCCACTGTATATAACGTCAGACTGAAAGCTGTTACGTGGACATGGCTGTTGGACTTACATATGACAATGACCCAACCAGCTACACTAACGAGAGCTGGTGTTCATGTTCGTCTTATTATTCCGGAAAGATTATTTGGTAAACAGTCGGACTAAAAACAGTTACCGTCATTGCGTAAGTTGTCTAAAATTTGTTGGGTTTTGTTGGCAAAGTCTTACTGCTGGCGATTAGGAATGTTACATTAGCAGTGTTTCCTTTAGATGACCAGATAGTCAGTTATTCTGTATCTCCTCTCTGGGGGGCAGGCCACTAAAGGTCGGCGCTGAAAGTTGCACATCCCGACGTACCTAGCAGCGGTCCCTAGCCGGCGGTATGATCTTCATACGGGTGCGACTGCGGAAACCACCTCAAACAGGTCGTGTAAGAACGGTATCAATCAATCGTTTGTTGGGTTCTGTGAACTCACAACACTGGTGCTCCTTCTATTTCAGGTATTTCAATAGGAAATTAACTTCCACAGTGTGAGCAGACGGGAAGTAGTAATCTCCTACACACCATTTCACTTCTACCACGCGTGTGAGGTTTCGTCAGTGTGAGTAAATTTAAACATCTTCCCTTTATATAGTTTGATAATCTTTTTTTCAGTGGTTTTAGTTTTGAAAGTGTCTATCACTTCACTTGTTCTAAAGGTTGCAGCGAACCCAGTAGGTTGGTTACAAAACGGTCCTTTCGGCGTTTATCATCTTGTGTTATGTTGTGTGCAGGCGTGATATATTCACCTATCCATCTAAGTGTGTGTGTGTCGAGCAACAGTTAACTTTACTCTATTTCAAGGTTAAAAGAAAGGGGCTAAGAATGGAAGGTACGATTCTGACCGTTGAATACAACTCAATTAGGTGTAGGTGGTTTGTTTTTTCGAATCATTGTAATGCTAAGAATCCTGTTTCAAAACGTTTGTTGAAATAATTCCAGATGTTTTACTTTGATACATATGTTACTATTTATTATTGGAACTCGGGAGGACATTACTCTTCATTAAGTTGTTCTGTCTGTCTGTCTGTCTGTCTGTCGCGCAGTGCTGCCAAATGCGTGATCTTTACTTTCCCGCTCTTTTTTATTTGAGCTTTTGTCATGAGAAGCAACCTAAATTGATGCACTTTGCTCGAAGTTTTATGTTGATCTGTTTCTCTAGGGATTTTTATCAACTTTGGAAAAACATGAGCAATATCTAATTTTTTTTTTGAGTTATTGTAATGAATCGCAGTATTTATGACCGTGTCTTATCGGTTATCGAAGTGGATCATATTCTATTTCATTTATTTTGATTGAGTTCCGGTTTTTTAGGATGTGAACAAAACAGACCATACGGTTGCAAATGTGGCCTAGGCGCTAACCTGTGATTTGATAATATGCTAGATAATCTTTCTTAAATATAATTATATTGTGAGATCATTCACATTTGCAGATTTAGGAATTATGCGACGTAATATATTATCATATTACTATTCTTCCTTTAGATGTCGAATGGAGCATAGGAATTCAGCAGCTCATCTTACTTGCTGTCCTAGTTTACTAGGCCGTCATAAGCTCGGAGAAAGTGAGAAGGTTGGGTGTTGGGCTGGCAGTTCTACCCCAGAAAATCTAAATCTCGTTGACTTAGAACATGCAGATGACATAGTCCTTCTAGATGAAGACGCTGACAAAATTCATCAGAGTCTTCTGAACACCTTGAGCTGCAGTCTACAAATGTTCACCATGCGATTCGCTCCCGCCAAATGTAAGATGATGTTACAGGACTGGACTACACTGACTCCTAGTTTAGAAATAGGGAGTGAAGTGGTAGAGCACGTTGACCGCTTCACTTATTTGGGAAGTACCATCAGCCAACGCCAACGGGTTGATCTCTGACGAAATCTCTTCACGGATACATAGGGCTAGTTTCGCGTATGCCAGTTTACACCTCCTCTGGCGTAGACGTGATATCCGGCTATCGACCAAAGGGCGTGTGTACTGCTCAGCAGTCCGCTCCGTCCTCCTTAATGGCTGTGAGCAAGACATGACCATTGAGAGTGGAAGACATGAAAAGGCCGGCTAGCTGTCCTTGATCAAAGCTACCTGCGTTCTGTCTCCCTTATGAAGTGGTATAAGAAGATGAGCAACATGGAGGTTAGGCGTCGAGTGCTAGGTAAGGAGGGGAAGTCAATCTACGAGGTTGGAAAATACCTAGTTGTGGTTAGACGAAAACATGTCTTCTTCAGTCAATGAAATCCACAATAGTTAGTTCAAGTCACGTAGGAAAATGTAGACTTCCTCGTTGGGGGGACCAGTCAGTCAGTCGGATTTCATGCGTATTGCTACAGTATTCCATATTGTTTTTAATGTATAATTGCATCCTTAACGTCCTTATTTTGAATCTGTTAGTCGGCTGCTGCACTGTGCATCAGAGTGGGAAGTTTTTCGGATCCTCCAGAAGCTCAGGGACTGTCTCACTTTTTGGAACACAGTGAGTTCTTAAAGTGATATTTTTTAAAACTTTACAGTATATTTTCAGATCGTACTTGTCGCTTGTAGTATTTCACAGTGGTTAGGACTCTCGCCGACCATGCACATGGTCCGGGGTTCGAGCCCGCACCGACGCACACATGATATCTATGGTCGGCCTGCAAAATTTGGGCTACCGATATCCATGCTGAAAATTCCATACTTGTACCGAAAATACAGTGTGGAATCAAGCTGTAAATCAAAAAAAAAAAAAAAAAATCATCACCACGCCAAAGTTTGAAACAAGCGTATTCATATTAGTCTTCTGGAGTAGTAGACATCATTTAATATTTGTCAGACATACGGGATTCTCTTTTCAATAAGTCATCGACTATTTGTGTGTGTGTTCATGTGTACTGTGTTAGTTGCTATTCATACTAAATAACTGGAAGGATTAATCCGTTAAATGATTGATTGCTTGCGGGTATAATCCTATGTAATACGCTTAACATGACCGAGATCGTAAATTTTATCAATACAGGGCATTTCACCATCGGTTTCATCATATTAAGGATACTAGATAATATCTTAGTAATTGCAGACCAATGAATAAGTGTTTGTATGTGTTCGGTTGAACTCAGTCTCTCCGGAATAGGCCCAGCATATTCCAGACTGTAAGCCACACCTGTTTCTCCTGAGGTCTGATGAGGTTATTTAGTTTTTCAGTCTGATGTAGGTTGTGTTGGATTCGAACCCGAGGTCCACTGTCTGAAAGTTGGGTGCTTACACCAATGAACTATGTCGCCAAATGTGTTTGGGTGTTATTAATATTATTATTTAAACACAGACGTGATGCATTATGTTCGCCAAGAGATGTTCCAGAAAAAGTCACATACTTTCTTCAGGGACTGGGATACTGCCCGAATGCACAGAATTAAGCAAGTGGTGTTGTCTTAAGAAGCCACCCTCGAGCCTTTGACTTGAAAGTTTGATCCATAGGGCACAGAACAGTGGAGCTGCGTTCCCATAGTTTCTGGTTACTAGAACAGGTTCACATTCCGTTCTATCCTTTTGGATTCTGGAGCCCATGTACACCATAGGTTTGAAATGTAGGTTTTTCAGCTTCTCATACTCTGGGTAGACCTGCTTGTCCATCGATCTCATCGTGCGGGCGCCAAGAGTACAGATTCGCTTTTCCACTTTTGCGTGAATGCAGTGAATAGCACTCACTCGGTGAAGGGTATGGATGCATGGCCGCATAAGAGCATTTCAAGTGGAAGACTGATGTCGTCCATCCACTCTCAGTCGTGCTAGATCATTTATGCGGGGGAGGAGGGTGCATGTGTTTGGTTGATTAGCCACAAATATCCTGCTTGGGATATTTGCCTTCTAATAAGCTGTATTTCATTGTGTATGTTAGTTCTTTGTTTGTTTTTTCTCGATAGATCTAGTTGTACACCATTACTTAAAGCAACAATCTATGATTTTCTATGTGCTTAGAGTTGAGTTAATCAATTAGACTTAATCCCACCATCTCCAAAATTATCTATGAATACATTTTCGCAAGCTTGACTGTGGTAGAATTTGATCTTCACCAAACAAAGGACTACACACACGACACTAGTTAGTGTCCAATCCAAGTATCCAGTACAGTCCTACAGGATAGCACAATGTTAACGTCTATGACTGCAGCACTGGCTGACACAGCTTCCTTCAAGATTGATGACTAGTGACTGCCAACAAGCACAAAACTTAGGTCAGATGAGACTTCCTGTTGACCACTTCCAGGCATCTAGTAACAAGTTAGTATTTATATATATAATTGGATGGAGGATTTCACCATGAGCAGACATCAGTCAGCGAATCACTGGAAAACCTGGGAGTACTGTACAACTGTTTTGTCCTAGTGAGAGACTCCTCATCAGTACGCACCCACCGGAGTTCGAACCAAAGACCTTCTGGTTACACGGCGAGCTGGCTCATAGACCACTGAGTGAGTCTCATTGGGTGCGTACTGAGGACGAGTCTCAAACTAGGACGAAACTGCTATCCAGTACTCCTAGGTTTTCCTATGGTTCTCTAACTGATGTCAGCTTATGATGAAATCCTCCATCCAATCAAACAAAATCCTTACAAAACCAATACTTGAAAATATATATATATATATATATATATATATATATAATATATATATATACATAATCAACTTATCTATCTGCTCATTTTTAACAGTGGTATTCATGGGAAGTGAAAAGTATCCAACAGAAAATGATTTTGACTCGTATTTAAGTCAACGTGGTGGAAGTAATAATGCCTGGACAGGAAGTGAACTTACCCTGTTCCACTTTGATGTGAAACGTAAACACTTTGCTAGTTGTTTAGACAAATTTGCCAACTTCTTCATTTCACCGTTGTTGAGTAAAGATAGTAGTGATCGAGAGATAAACGCTGTTCATAGTGGTAAGTTGGTTTTTTTATTTATTAGATCTTAACAATAGATTTTAACGGTATACAACACATTTTTAAGGCATACTACTTTTTGATAGGAATACAGATTTAGAAATACGTATCTCAGGTATATATATATATATATATATATATATATATATATATATATATATGTAGAGGGAGAGAGAGAGAGTAACAACGGAAGACAAGAGCAACAAGGCAACAGATCGTTTATTCGGGGAAATCAACACATATTTATAGATTTTCATATACATTATTATAGATTATTGTTAGCAGAAAAACACAGTCTTCTGATTGGTGGTTGTTTCTCTCAGAAAGTTAACCTTTCATCTCTTTGTGACTGTTTCTTGAATGTCAGCTCATCTATATGTTAACTGTATCCGCCTACGCAAAGTCTGCTGTGGTTGGTTGTTGAATTAGTCTTTGTTCATATTTTTCTCACGACCAACATTTGGGACATAAACATTGACGTAAAATACTGTCTACCACTTTTGGCTAGCAGCCACCTCTCACCACAAGATCAAGACCACAAGACAATCAGATAGGTCGGTGATCAAGAATTGGTAATAAGAAACTCTGGGAACGAACCAGTCAATAATCTATTGATAAACAAATATTCCGAAAAAAGTGGAGACGGATCGGATACAAGCCATGGGGGGGGACTGTTGGGTGAAATCACACGCGCCGGCCCATCGGTCGATTGTGAAATGACAAGTTGAGCATCATTTGGTGGAGGGTGTAACTTGTAGAAGATCGTATGAGAAGTGTCGTCGGTCCAGATAAAGGGAACTGCAGAAAACATGACAAAATTTGGAAGTGCTGTTGAACCCCTATATTATTGTTGTACCATACTTTGAATTGTTTATTAGTGTATTTGTATTGCTATTATTATTATTATTATTATTATTACAGAGTTCGAACTTGCAACTGCTAAAGATTCTTCACGTCTATATCATCTGATTGGTCATTTATCCTGTAAAGATTCTCCATATCGACTCTTTGGCTATGGTATGTTTATTCCTGTGTTTGTGTAATTGTCGTTTTTTATCTCAAGAATTATTTTGTAGGAATTTGTTTTGTTTCATGTTTGACCATGGATCGATATCAGTTAGAGAGAAGCACTGGAAAACCAACTAGTGGAGTACTGGACAGCGCTGGTTGTTTCGGCCTAGTTTGGGGTTCATCAACAGGTAGAATCGCGCTAAAATCATGAATTGGTAAGAAGTTAGAATTCATAGAGTCATTTAGTGAAGTCTCAGTGACTGAATGGTTTATAAGCTTGACTTAGAACTGGAAGGTTCTGGGTTTGAACCCCCATGGTGGGGGTGGGGTGTGCCATTGATAGGTCCCAAAGTAGGATAAAGCAGCCAGCTGTCCAGGACTTCTTGTCTTTTTTTCTCAGCAATCTTAGTATTGCACTAATATGAGAAGTAGTCTTTTTTTTACCGTATTTTGATTATTCTTGTGAATTTGTTTCATATATGTGCATTTTTAAAAATTTATTGCTAATATTTACTTTTTAAAAAATCTAATTGTGATCAAATCCATCAACAACATTGAGACAGGTTGACAAGAAATCTATTGAATATAGCGTTCATTTGTGTGATAATGACCCGGTCGTTGATGACGTTACTGTACATATATCTTGTAACACTGAGAGTTAAGACACTTTTTCTGAGTAGACATTGAATAAGAATTAAACTTTGTTGCAGGTTGACTAAATTGAGAAAATATTGACATTTGAAGCTTCGACGTGATAGTTGGAGACACCAGTAGATTCTGCAGTCGAATTGCATATCTTCATTTGGATTTTTTGAATTTCCCCCTGGATTGATTGGGCACTGGATTCGAGCCTCGGTGGAGGCATCATCACTCATTGGGGAATGCAGGTGCATCCAGATGACGCGAGTCCCGAATAGGACGAAATGCGCGTTGTCCTGGATTTCACTGCTAGTCGCGATTCACCAATCAAATTCAAATTACATATCTGAAAAGGAACATGAACAACTTTTCAAAATTTTTTTAGCTTTTATTTCAGATCCCTTCCACTTCACTTTCAGCAACCCCTAGGAAGAATAAAGATTTACTAACATAAGGAGGGAGTAATTTTCTTTCCTTTTGACTTGAATCTTGTTGTTATGGTAGCTTTCAATGTTGTTGATGACAGATATCATGTTAGCTACACTTCCAGGGTGCTTGTGCCGTGGTTATTATCTGGATGATCAGAGGAGATTATTAACTGTCTGCAGTTAACAATTTTGAAGAGTCTGCTTCCATTTCATCTATCCGCACAGATTCTTCATACTGCTATACCACATCTTTACATACCTTTTGCAAATTTGATGTCATGGATATTTCATGTCCCTATGAATAATTTTACTTTACTTATTTACTGTCTGACTGACTGGCTTGCCGAAGGCTATCATCAGTCGGTATCGTCCATCCTTGAACTGAAGATTCTTCCTTAATCCTTCGAAGAATAAACTTATTTCGTATGTTCTCTGGGATCTCTACCCTAGCCCTACACCTTGTCTCTCCTGTACAAAGTAAAAGACACCTTTGAATTCATTGAAAGGATAAAAGATTTAAATATTAACAACAAATTCATGATATCATTTGGCGTATCTTCTTTATTGAATAGTGTTCCACTGATAGAAACAGTAGACTTATTATTTACGAAGAATTGATTAGACGGCACATCGATACTAGCATTCCTATATATGTTTTATGGAACAACTTCTTTTGCGATGTACAATGAATGTTCATTTTTTATTTAATGAGGAATAATGCAGATTAAGTGATGCTGTGACAATAGGGGTCACCACTAGAACCGATTCTAGCTTGCATTTTCCTTGCAAAACTGGACAATAAAGGCCTTTGAAAGATGTAATTGGTGAACTAGAATTTAACTATCGTTATATCGATGACACATTTTTAATTATGAAGACTGGGATGAAACAAAGTGCATCCTTGACAAAATTAACTGTATGCATCCTTCAATAAATTCTTACATCGTGAAAGAAAACAACTCCAGTATTTCACTCCTAGACGTTCTGATGACTAGAAAAGAGGTCGGTAAAATAAGAAGAAGTGAATATAGAAAACCTACATCAACTGGTCGGCTTCGTGTCGTTGAAATACTAACATGATCTAATAAAGTGCTTGGTCCACAGAGCTTGAAAAGTCTGTTCTGATGAATGTCTTTATGAAGAATTCAATAATTACTAAACAGTTACTGAGTGAGAACGATGACCAGGAGAAATTTATCGATAAGAATATGAATCAAAAGTCAAGGCAGACCAAAGTATCAGCAGTTCCGAAAAAGGAAGGCCTTATTCTTACAACTTCAGTTCCTCAGGGATAATATCAGTGAGGTAAGAATACAGCGGTAAAAATAGCATTCAGTACTGCTGCATGAAGTATGCTGTGTTTTCAAAACCACCACTTTTTCGTGTTCGGGAGTTAAAGATAAACTGCCTAATTTCGCGTCTTCTATGTGTATGTATCATTTTGACTGCTCCTGTGGAGCCAGTTAGCTGCTTAGGCCGAACAATTAGGCGTGTTTCTCGTCGGATTTCTGAATGTCACCCTGTATAGTGATTAAGTAAAGGACAGACAGAGTCCATTCATAGGGCTATTCTGTTTCATCTCGTGGATACAGATGACAAGATTGATGTAGAAAAGGCGGCTATCAATGTTATCTACCGTATACCAATTAATCCTAATTCTACCTTAAGAGTTCGACTTCTACATATTACTGAGGCTGGCTGTTGGGAACTACATTAAGAAACCTAACTAATGTGTCCAGAACAAGTTGGTTGGTTCAGACACTGTCCTCACCTTGGTCATCAAGGTTTTGATGATCCTGAATTAGTTGTGGAAATTTCCTTAATTTTAGTTGATATTCTGTTTACTATTACATTTTTATACTTACTATAATTTATGCGTCTCTCTTGATTTGTAATTTCATTGATCTTAACAAATCGATATTATATGAAAAACACATCGATATTGTTAATTACGATTATTCTAGAATATTCTGTGTACATATATGTAAATAATTGTAGAGCTAGAAGAGGAATTTATCGAAAAGTATATTCTTTGCTAGAACTTTCTGTTGTCCTTTAAATATTTGTTCGTGAGGCTATCTAAGGTAGTCTTGGGTGTTGGTAGACTCTTATTGACGTGTAATAGTAGGTGATGATTAAGACGGTAAAATAAGAACCTAGGTTGTGGTGGTAGGACTCGAACCATTCACCTCCGAATTACTGCTAGTTTCCACGCTCTACTAGTTGAGCAACGAAGCCCATTCTATTAATAGCACACTGTGTCAACCCAAAATGATCACAGATAGAGTTCCCCCCTTATTCAATGGGATTTACATATGATAAATGAGAAGAACTTGGTGGGCTTTTGCGTCAGCGGTTCAACGGTAGGAACTCTCGTCAACTACCCATGGTGTCCGGGGTTCGATCCCCAGCCGACGCCACTCCTAAACCTTACTAAGCTGGTAGTAAGGCTGGTAAAGAGTGAAGGTTGATGGCATGAGGCTAGCGCGAACCCCATCCTGTGAAAATAAAACCCCTTTGCTACCGAGACTTCAAAGCTCTAGCTTGAAGCCCTATGTTCCACTCGGAACTTAATACATTAGATATATTTTATCTTAAGGTGGGCTTTTACAACAGAAAGATCAATTAAAAGACAAGTATTCACATTCACCAAATAAAAGACATCACCTTTATAGTGTAGATTTAATACACTACTGTTGAATTTCATACAACCGTTTCCCTGTATTCGTTTAAACCAAGAAAGAACGAACATATTTCCAGGTACACGGTAGTACAAGCTTGTTTTTTTATGATTTCGCGAAATTCTCTTCAACTGCATACATCCTAAACAAAAATCAAATTAAAAGTTGGCATAATTTGCTGATTGAACATACATTTATCACAGTGGCGTCAAGTTATAGATAAAAGATATAAGCGCAGCATAAACCCCAAGAAAAATGATGTTACTAGACAAATTATTCATTGTGTTAAAAGGCCAACTATTTATAGTATCATTAGATAGGAGTTGTGGGGGTGGGTGGGTAGGTGGGTGGTTAGAGTTCAGATTTGACTTGGAAACAAAGATTAACTAGACACAAAATACAAGGTGGAGCAAGTGAGTGAGTTTATACGTATTATAATGAAGAGTTTAAGAGGAAGGATGGATGGGGTGAGGGAGTGAATAGTAAAGTAAAATTATGACATAGACAAACAATGTAATAAATTTGGGACTTCGATAATGAGTTCAACGCAGTGAAGTGAAAATCAAACATAAGGAGAAGAAATGATGGAGTGATTGAAAATTCTGTCTATAGAAAAGGAACGTGTGCTGGTCAATAATATTTAAATTATCACAACTTTTGCATAGTCGACTATAAACGGAACCTGAAAAAAGCACTCTTTTTTTGACAGAGCTGGAGTGTTATGTTCAGAAGATAAGATTGTCGAGGAACTCACAATTATCGAAAAAAAAACAACAAAACTTTATCAGTAATGGATATACCCGGAAGTTCATATCAAAATATGGGGAGGAGAAATCACCTAGACTGAAACTCGAAATAGTTGAAAAGAAACCAGTTTCTACCTGTCTAGTGTACAAAAGCGAAGAAGCATCCATAAGAACGGAAAACAGAGCTAACGGTACATTGGTGCACCACCAGACTCATTCCACTTTATACTCGTTAACTCAGTCAAAACTAGATAATTATTATTCTACTCATGTCACCTCCCACACCATTTACCAATACACCTGCAATCGGAGCAACATGTACATAGGAGGCACTGAGAGGAGAGCGTCTACTAGATTCTTCGAGCATATCCCTAAATGTCTCCGTGCGAAAGGCAGCAAAGGGTTCTTAACTAGGATTGTCAGACACCTAACTGACACACACACAACATACAGTGGGAATTAGTTGCGCTTTCAAAATAATCATAGTCACTTCGGTTCGCAGAAGCCGCCATTGCCATCAAAAGACTTTGAAACCACTTTTGTATACAGAAAGATAGTGTGACTAATCTCTCACTACCCTGATAACTCAATGTCACACTGTGAATAAAGTGTGTTCCACAAAGAAAAAAATATTTGTTTTAGGATGTGTACGCAGTGGAAGATCAGATGTCCAGAGAAGATAAGCAACAAGGGGGGATCTCTGGGAGCAAACCAACATAAGAGGAAGCGATTGTGAGACAAATAGGCAGGAAGAAATGCAGTTGGTGGATTGGCTGGCCATACACTGAGGAAACCATCAAGTGACATCACTAGACAAGCCATTGCTCGAGTGGAACCCGACGGTATGGAAAGCGGCGAGTTGGTCGTCAGTCCGAGAGTGGGGTGACTTGGAGGAGGTCATGTGAGGAGGAGGAGATGAAAGCATGTGAGCAGACTTAGAGCGGGTTGAAAAAGTTGGCAGAAAACCGAAGGCGATGGAGATGCTCAGCTGAAGCCCTATATTCCTCTAGGAATTAAAGGATATAATAATAATAATAATACGCAATTGAAGAGAATTTTACAAAACGAAGCGATGTCATATTATCTATCCTGTCTGGAAATATGTTCATTCTTTAATTTGTTCAAACTGTTGAATTAGTTCATAGATTGTATATCCTCGACTGAGATGTACTATGCGACAATCATGTCATCTGTTATCATTTCAGCAAGTATGTAACAAGTTTCCTGTGTGTTTCAGTACCGAGTGAATTAATTAACACCAACTCTTTATTAATTCAATACACGCATACTTTCGCTACCGTCAGCTTTGGTCAGATTTTAAACTAAAATGTTAGAGAGGAAAGAAATATTTTTTTCAAGATTAAAATTATACTCTTCCTTCTTTTTGCTCGTTAATTATATCATCTGTAGGCAATCGAAAATCTCTGCATGATATTCCAAATCAGAATGGTACTGATATCTATACACTTTTAAGTAAGCATAGAAAAACGGCGTATTCTGCTGATCGTATGACGCTGGCTGTACAATCTAAGCGTAAGTTAAACATTTTGTCCTATAAATCGAGCTAGTTTATTTATTTGTTTGTTGGTTTATTAAGAATGATTTTAGGAAAGTTTTGTGTGTTGTATGCCTTATGGAAGGGTGGTTTGGATGCCAGTTCAGAGGTGGACTGTTCAGGGCCGATTACCCGCCCTCCCCCCTACACACATTGTTTGAAATGTGTTGTGAGAGGCGCTATGTCTGTAATGATCTTGTTACCGGTCATGCAAAACCGTAAGGAGAATTTGGTGTACAATTTCTTTCGGTAATGACCTTTCCTACACTTCTTCCACCCCCCGCGTTCTCACAGGGAAAAAGCAATGTAGCCGTCTTGCTGTTCTGCCTAGGGAAACAACTTACTGGTGTTGAATCGCTATTTTATAGAACACCATTTAAGTAGGCAAATACGTGTTTTTGCGTAAATTCTCATCAGGCTCACTACATGAATTACATAATAAAATATCAGTCGTCAACATTTGGAAGAATGTCGATCAATAGAATCAAATATAACCGAAGGGTGTGTGTGTGTGTGAGTAGAATAATAATAGTTATTATTTATTATTGTTCCCTTGGATTCCTGCACGTCTCTACTTATTTCTGTCTTCTGCTGTACTTTTCACCTGCATCCATGTTTAGTCCATACTGTTTCAACTCCTCTTCACACGATCTCCTCCATGTCACCCTTGCACTGACGTCCCACTCGCCTCTTCCCTTTCGGGTTCCACTCGAGCAATGGCTTGACGCGTGATATCACCCAGCGGCCTCCTCGAGTAGAATAATGATAATAATAAATTGTTCAACTAAGATTAAAATATCCGACTATAACACACAGTATGATATTGGTAGTGAAGTTGACAATACAGATAAAAACAAAAATATTATTTATAGTTATCCGGTGTCACTGGGAGAAATTACTATTGTAGGCTGGAGTTGAAGGTCATGTGAGGGAAAAGGGATTAGACAAACTTTTTCTGAACACAAAGTTTGGACTGGAAACCTTTTTTATGGCAACTGATTCGGTTATGTCTAGTAATCGAAGGCGTACACACTTAGGGAATTGAGGTGGCACCTTGTATAGGTAGAATTGTAAAGGCCCACAACATTGCCTTCTTGAGCACTGCCTAACGTGGTTAGGTAAAGGATTTGTAAAGTCAATTGGTAGTTCCATATCGGTACACCTTGTTGATACGGATCACAAGACTGATAAAAATTTAGTCGCATTATCCATATTGCAGTAGACTGCATAATGTTACAGACAACGGGCAATTAGGAAACAGGCATAAAATGGACTCACATAAAAGACTTGAAGGATCTGGACTTCGCCGATGATATATGTCTGATTTCCCACAAAATGGAAGATATGCAAGTGAAAAGCAACAAACTGGCAGAAGAAGCATCAAAGATAGGACATCACTTCAGGTGAACATAGATAAAACAGAGGTGATGAAGATTCCTGGCCAACACCAACGGCAAGAACAACAGACAACAATCAGCCAGCATAAATGGGAGGAACCTGAAAGAAACAACCTCCTTCACCTACCTGGGAAGCATCGTTTCAACTACAGGAGGACGGAACTGTCGAGGATATCAAAGCCAGGAGGGAGAAAGCAAAACAAGCTTTCATTATTCTCAAGTCTGTGTGGAGGTTAACAGGACTCAGCATCAAAAATAACATCCGGTTTTTCACCTCTAAAGTCAAGTCAGTCAGTGCTACTATACGGATCAGACACTTGGCCAGCGCGTCATAAAGAGCATCTCAAACAAACTTCAGACCTTCATCATATTACAGTTGTCTTCGCTCAACACCACTCAAGATCAGATGGCCGGCCAGAAAAGATCAGCAACAGGGATCTCTGGCAATGAGCGAACCAACACAGCAGGAACCGATTGTGAAACAAATAGGCAGGAAGAAATGGAGACGGATTGGCCATACGCTGAGGAAACCATCAAGTGACATCACTAGACAAGCCTTCGAGTGGAACCTGAAAGGGAAGCGGTGAGTTGGTCGTCCCACGGTGGGGTGACTTGGAGGAGATGAAAGCATGTGGGCAGACTTGGAGCGGGTTGAAAAAATTGCCGGAAACCTGAAGGCAATGGAGACGCGCAGCTGAAGCCGTATGTTCCTCTAGGAATTAAAGGGGAAACAATTGGTGACATGGCTCAAAATCGTTCTCAGTGGCGCAGATGCATCCACTCCCTGTGACTTATGATCTTCAATGAAACTGTTTTGTATTTCTTTATTACTCCTTTGTCTCACACCTCTGCTCACTGTTTCTATTATGCTTTTCTTGTACTTTCTTCTCTTGCTTCGCGTGCTACACGGAATATGGCGACTTGAACTTCCGCACATTTGTGCAAAGTTCTATGTCGAAAACAGACAGACAGACAGGAATTAAAGGATATGATAATAATAATAATAATTTTCGTTTTTATTTGTACTGCCAACTTCACTACCAATATCATATTGTATGTGTTATAAAGTCAGATATTATAATGTTAGTTAAAGAATTTAGTATTATCATTATTCTACTCACATTGCCCCCTCCCCTTCGTTTAATATTTGATTCCATTGATCAACATTGTTCCAAATGTTGATGACTGATATTTTATTATGTGTATATTTATGTGGTGAGCTTGATGAGAATTTACGCAAAAACACGTGTTCTAAAGTTATCTTAATGCGGGGGGGGGATATTCAAGTTACTAATTTACTTATAACTGTAACTTCATTCTTACACCCTGAATAGTTATAGCCTGACCCAGCTTATATTATAATGGCAACTTCTAACTTCTATCCAAATGACATATTTCTAGGAATGCTGTGAGACCTGGAGGATCATTTATTCCTGCTAGTATAGTAGCTGATTGGGTTATTGTTGTGATATGCGCAAGCCTGACAACTATGTCAAGGTTAACAGTTATCGGTCAGCAATTTATTGTGAAAAATTGATATCAGTTTTAGTTATAAGTAAGTCATTAAGTAAGCCAATCTGTCATTTTACTTTTTGCATGGTCGCTAGTAGATAATATTTTCCAAGAGAAATTACTGCTACCAAATACATTCACTGTATTGTAAAATGCACAAACCCTTCCCTATCTGTCGGTAATTCACTGTTAGCTGATAGATTACAGTATGCCAGGTCCAATTATTACTATTATTATTATTATTGTTCCCTCGGATTCCGAGTCGAGCATAGGGCTTCAGCAACACATCTCTACTTTGTTCTATTTGGTGCTGTCCTCTTTAGTTGGCTAACTCCACGACTGCTCATAATGTCTTATCTCCTCATCCTCCTCCTTTCCACACCATCTTCTCCATGTCACCATCGCACCAACGACCCACTCGTCGCTTCCCGTTGAGGTTCCACTGGAGCGATGGCCTGGTTGGCGCGCGATATCATTCGACGGCCTCCTCAATGGCGTGTGCCCGATCCATTTTCATTTTCTCCTACATATTTGTTTAATAGTCGGCTATCACCTGTTGGTTTGTCGCTTGTGTAATATTTCCCAGTCAGAAGTTTATCCGCATAAATTGGTGGAGTGACCAAAATACCTTTAGAGATAAAGATTTGAATGAGACATGCTCTTAGCTCAGCATGAACATTTACTTCCTCAAGGTGGCACATACACACACACACACACGCCTTCTTCATGAACCGCAGTGGCTAAAGACGACCCTAGGCTGGGTAAAACTTCTTGCCAACTAACTAACGTGTGTCTTACCGTGACTGACTGGTTTCAGCATAGAACTTTGTATAGAAGTGCACCAGTTGGAGTTCCCACACACTATACAAAAGAAGGCAAAGATAGGGAAAAAATAAAGAGATTTGAAATGGCGATAATCAACAGAAATGTAGGGAATAAAGAATAATAACATGGAGAAGCAATAGGGTTTCGACGCATAGAGAGCGATGATTTTGAGCCGTATCAATAATTGTTTGCAGCTATTGATTGATTGGTCATGAGAATCGCACAGACGTCAACCAATCAGTCCTATGTGTGGCTAGCTAAAACCAACTGTCGAAGATTTCATTAACTGATTCCAGATTTTGGTTCCATTACCATTAACTCTTTTCCAGCCTAAGCCTATGTCAGCTAACACACTAGTTGTCGTGGTAGGCAGTGCCTTTGGATGCGTAAGCCAGACATGTTCTAGCCATCTGACAATCGATGTAGCCCCTCTTTGTCTAACACACTCGATGCATAATCTCAATCGCCTTACCATGTCTCCTAGCTTGGTGGTCTTCATTGTAGATTTCTCTGATAAACATCTGCTAACTAACAACTGGAGCTGAGTTCTTACGACTGGTGATCAATTGGCGAGCATAAGACAAAACAAGCATCAGCACAATACCATCAAAGTTTTCATATCAAATCTTATCAACTGGTTATTATAATAATTATCATTAAAGCTGTAAAAGAATGTGCTTCAGTGTATGAATTTTACCATTGCCTGAGTTCCAGGTGGAAGTTAAGACTTCAAACTGTGAAGTTTCAGTAGCGTCGGTGTTGTTCTTCTTATGGGTTGAAGTTGCTAGTCTGACTCCCGATCTTACGTCTTTTCTGAGTTTACTACCGTTTTAGTAAACCAGGTGAGGCTTATGAGTGCTTCCATGGTCGGGAATCGAACTCGAATTTCCTCCGTGTGTGTGTGTATGTGGCTCATGAGCATTCTACCACAGTGGACCACCAACTCATAATGTATGAATTACTTTGACACAACACTGGATACTTCTTGTTGTAATTCCTAATAAAAATGCTTTCTGGATCATGTTAAAGCTGATTAATCTTTTTTTTATTTATTCAAATATTTTCCAAACAGACACTTTAGATGATTTGGAGACATTAGTACGTGAAATTTTCTCTGATATACCAGTAAGGTAAGTCAGTCATCTATCTTTCTATCTTTCTAGTCATATGATAAGAATCTCGTTTTATGTCCCCTTTTTATTCATTTGTCTTATCGGTTAGTATTCATGACATTTCGACTGATTTTTGTTCCAAGTTTGACCACGGATTGATTGATATCAGTTAAAGAATCTTTGAGAACCAGTCAGGGTGTACTAGACAACTGTCTGTGTCGTCCTACTTTGGGGCTCCTCAGCAGTACACACACTCTCTGGGGTTTGAACTCAGGACCTTCTCAGCCTACAAGTCAGGCTTGTAGAGAGCATTCAGCCACTGAGAACCGACTCAATGGCTAGCCCAGGAATTCTGACTGCCTACTTATTAGTGATTTCAACGTGACCACCTGCAAATGTCATCCACAGCGAGTATTTGTTCCCACTCCTGATTGGATACTTACTTTTTACTTTACTTCGGCTATCTCCTACGGGAGGATGAGCCGGCTTCATGAACATCTCGAATCATCGCTGCCCAGGCGCGGCGATCTGATGCAAGATTTTGCGACAGGGTTATCCAGTTCTTGTTTTGTTCCACAGACGGAGTCCGTAGACGGTTTGTAGCCCCAGCCCAGTCACTCCATATCAGCCTTGACTGTACCAAGCCATGTTTTCATCTGTCCACCTCAGCGACATCGCCAAGATGGAAATGGTGAGGGATTTAGAACTGATTTGACCAGATCGTCATCTGGTCGGCGCAGAACATGGCCAAACCACTGAAGGCGATGTTGTTGGACCAGTACTGGAATTTGGTTGATGTTGTTTGTAGAGAGTTCATGAAGTTTCATGGGAATTAGGTACGAGTGATGTCCCCAGAATCGCTCGGCCCTTTGTTTGAGAGTGCAGCTCTAGCCTTTACACAACCAAGTGTGACCTACAAGGCAGTAGCAGTGGAGTAGGGAGTCCACTATCCATTGTCAGCCGGTGACCGGAGTCCGGTTCATACGCCTTTTTGAATGGGGCCAGACATCCAGGGCATCCAATAAGCCCTTTGTCCATACGTCTGCCGGTGAGCTCCTGATTGGATAGAATCTCACTGGTCACGATTTCTCACTAGAACTCCAGGCATACAAAGGACTATAATATAAGCAGAAAACTGAAGGATAAAGAATAATAGTTGGAGGATTTCATCATGAGCTGACACTAGTAAGAGAACCATTGCAAAACCATCACAAGGTGAACTAGCTCGTAGACTATTCAGCCAATGGGACACGACCCAATGGCCAGCTTATGAATTCTAACTTCTGCCAATTCATGACCTGGCGTGACTACTTCACAATGACCTCTTCGATGAGTTACTGCCTCACCTTCAACTAGAGTTATTATTATTATTGTTACTATTATTATTAGTAGTAGTTATTATTCTCATTTTGTGCTTTGCACATTTCTGACATTATTGCCTTTTGCAAAGGTCGACAGATATCTCTGTTTAATTTTGTTTTAATTTTATTTACATTTTGAGTAAATCAGATGCAGGATATTGTGACAAATGCTGAGAATTCCTTTCTGTATAATAAGTGTACTGTCTGTTTTGGAATAAAGTAGATTATTATTGCTATTGTTATTATTATTATTGTTTTACTTTACTTTATAAGTTTCTAGGTGAATTCGTTTTCCACAAACTTTCTGCATCCTCCTACCCATCTGTCTAGTTGGTTGACTGGTTGTCGATATTGTTGTCAATATTTCCAATTTTCAGTGTACATTTTATGGTTGTTTTTTTTGTTCCTCGTCTACTTACAGTGGAGTACCTGCACCAAACTTTTTATCGGCCAAAAGCTTTGATGTTGATTCATTTGCTGGACTTTATAAAGGTGATCATTATTATTACTATTATTATCATTATTAATATTGATATTATTATCACTCTTATTAATGGCATTACTAATACACCAGAGTTAGTATGTGTTTTCAAGCAAATAATAAACATAATGTGACTTTCCAGTATTGGTTTGTAGGGATCTGATTGGTTGGGCACAGGATTTTATCATGAGTTGACAGTAGTTATAGAACCATTGGAAAAATATCACTGGAGTACTATGTATCTGGCGATTACATCCTAGTATGGGACTCTTCATTAGGACACACCCACACTGTGGGGTTGGAACCTAGGACCTTCAGGTTACACTTTGCAGTGGCTTAGTGGTCTACTAGCTAGCTCGCCTTGTAACCAGAAGGTCCTTGGTTCGAATCCCGCAGTGTGAGTGCATACTGTTGAAGGGTCCTGCGCTAAGACGAAATAGGCAGCTAGCTGTCCAGTACTCCCATGTTTTCCGATGGTTCTCTAATTGATGTCAGCTCATGATGAAATCCTGTATTGTGATTTCCCTGATTTCAGAATGTTATTGTAACTTCCTGTAATTCCTAGAGGAACATAGGAAGAACTTCAACAGTGCTCATCTCCATTTCATCATATGTTCTCTGCAGTCCTCTTTTAACCTGGCTCTATGATTCACTATAAGCTCTTATCTCCACTGCACACGATCTCCTCTATGTCAGCCATCGAACCCCCCTTACCTAACTCATCGTTTCCTATTACTCGGATTCTACTCAAGGACTTGCCTAACTGGCGTGTTATGTCACCAAACAGTCGCCTTAGTGCACTGCCAGACAGCTGTTTCACTAGCTTAGTTTGGGAATCATCGTCGTTATCAACCGACACCATGGGGTTCGAACCAATGACCTTCCGTTTACAAGGTAAGCTAGCTCGTGTACCATTCAGCCACTGTGACGCGATTCAGTGACCAGTCTATGAATTCTAACTTCTACCATTTTGTGATTTAGTGCGACAGGCACCAACCAATGTCATCGGTGGAACATACATCCTCACAATTGACTGGATGGACCTTACTGTAATCACGACTTCTCGATAGAACTCCAGGAAACTCCATCCTGTAGCAAGTCACTAGCGGGCATAAGATTAACTTTCTATAGTTGGTTTGTTTATCTATATATTTCATATATACTGACTCTATTCTGATGAAATTCTCTACTTTTCTTCTACTTTATTGCTCTTTTCTTTTTGAAATTTTAGTTTGTCCTTTAAGCGCAAAAGAAAAGCTACGCATTATCTGGATTTTACCTTCACAGCTTGCGAATTATGAGTAAGTGATGATGATTTATTCAATGTTGTTATTGAGAGAGAGAGAGAGGTGACAAAAAATTGAGGCTGGTTTTAGGATTTATTCTAGGCACTTAAACAGGGTTGCTGACCCACTCGATTTTCGACAGAGCTAGCCACTGACCAGATGTGTTCATTCCTTTTCGCAACTGCTACTGCTGTTACTGATGGCGGTGTCTTTTAATTCATAAATCAGGGTTCTTTCCGTCTAAATTCTATGGATCTGCTCTGCAAGCTTATCGTTCTCGTGAAGCTTCTTTTTAACTTTGTAGATACCATTGAATAAATTCTCCTTGTGTACATTGAATGACCAGTGTTGAATATATACGTTCAATTACAGCACTCTTTATTGATCCATTGTTACCTTTTATTTTGTAATCAAACGGGGTAAAGTTCTTTGACTCTTCTAAACACAACACAGATCGAACGTCCCCTATATATCTCACTCCACACGAGCAGATAAATTGGTTGATACACATAGAAGTGGTTAAATGCGATAGGTTTATCTTTAGAGTTGTTGAGGAGTAAAGAACCCTGGGTGGCAAGAGAATCTTGTTCGTTATGAAGCAGCGAAGAACGTTCTTTTCCAAGGTCTTAGACATTCTCTTCTTTAGGGTGTTCGCCACTGAAAGCAACATTCATGCATAGTATTTTCTTTGGCATATATAGGTGGTGTGTTCTTTGTTGGTTTTTTAGTTTTATGTTTATCTGTGAAGCGTGGGTAGTGGGGTACGACCAGTTTTGCAAGTAGTGTCTTCCTGGAAAGGGTGGTCTCTTCTTTGAATTTTTCGGATCCTAGTCGCAAGATATATTATCAGATTCCATTTTCGATTAATTGGGGGGAGGGTATCCAACTGTCAATTTGCCTTTCCACATAGGCTTTCTATATTACTGACCCTGTTCAGAGTCCAGTCAGATTTCTTGGTTAGTCTAGTGTCCAGAAAGAAGATTGTTTGTCAGGTTTCTACTTTAATAGTAGTAAACTTGATGGCTAGGCGAGAGCTGTTAAAAAGTGTTTAGGACATTGCTTAGGCCACAATTGTTATATATATATATATATATATATATATATATATATATATGTATTCGTTCTAATTTTACTCTCTTTAGATCAACTCCGATGGATGTTCTATCTTCTCTTATTGGTCATGAAGGTAGAGGAAGTATACTGGCATTACTTAAAGAAGAGTAAGTATCCCCTTTTCGTGTTGTGTGTTAAGCAATGTATCTGCATAGTTGTTTTTTATAGCTCATGTGTTATGATATTGATTCCTTCGCGTTCCAAGAGGGGTATTGGTCTTCAGACATGAGCTTTGACCATTCAGTAGTTGTACTTTTGCTTTTACGCGGTGAGGAGGTTGCTAGCCCGCGTCTAATCTTCCTTTTTTTTCTAACCAGGCTCACTATCAACCAGTCAAGGTTCAGAAGTATGTCTGTTGGCCGAGAATAGAATCCCGGACCACATCAGGGTTAGTCGGTAGACGCTTAACCATTGCACTACCGATACAACACTAGTTATAGCACAATTTGCAAATTGTGAATTTTGATTTATGGATTATCACCAGCTCGACCACGTGGCTTTCCAGACAGAAATCAGGTGGTTTCAACTGACTGGGCTCTCAGAGGTCTAAGTCAAACTGGATACATCGCTGATGAGGCCGTCCGGTGGTCACCTCAATCTGGCTATCAAGCACTACTGGTTGATATGAGTGGCTTACTACTGCTCATCTCAGTCAGTGAGTAGTATATATTTGTGCGACTGATTTAAACCAGAATCGGTTGCTAATGGATCATATTTAGTCAGTAATTTAATTGGTCAGTCTTCGATGCTTTAACTTTATGCAAGCAATCAAATCAGTTATTGGTAGTGTATATATTTATATGTGTTGATGTTTGTCTAATCTAATAAAGTTGTTCTTTCTCATCGACACTAACCCCATCTTATCCTCTAATTCTCCTTTGGGCTAAGTGCCAACAGAAGATATTTGAGGGAGAACAGTTGTGTGCCACCTGCAGTCGTATTGGCCATTGTATTTCAACATCTTAGCTAAATCCTGGTATCATTATCCTTGGTTACATTGCAAACTTCAACCTGAGGCTAGCCATTCCACCCTGTAAAAAGAAACTCGGGACTGAAATATTCAAACTTTAAAGCTCTATATTCATTCCACTTGTAACTCAAGCGTTTTATCAATGTTTCATTTGTAGTTTGTAAGAGAGTGTCGATTTCACTGGAAGTCACCTGTTAACATTCAGGAGTTCGTTATTCTAGTACTGTATTGCTCCAAGTTATAAATCAATATAAATCTTCAAGTATTGATTTACAGAGATTTGACTGATCGATAACACTTTCGATAATGAATTGACTTCAGTTAGAGAAATTAATGGACAGATGTTTCCACCTTGTTTGGAACTCCTCATCAGTACACACATACATGATCCCACCCACATTCGATCCTACCGATGACCTTCTCGTCACGAGGCGAACTCGTTAAGCATTTAGCCAAAGGGAGGGAATCCAATGGCCGCCGGTGCATGAAATCTGCAAATTCACAATATGCAGCTCGACTGCTAGCTAATGCCATCGGTGAGTTTCTGTTCACATGCTCGACTTATTGCACCCCGTGACCGATCACGACTTCCCACAAGAGAACTTCAGGCAACGTTAGATAAATTTTCAAATGTTAGTCTGCTGAGATTGGCTTGTCTACAGTTTTGAATAATGCACGAGCTCATCACCTTGTAACCTGAAGGTCCTGGGTTCAATTACCAGTGGAGTCATGGCTGCGTACTGTTAAAGAGAGTCTCAAACAAGGGCGAAACAGCTATTTAGTAATCTCTAGTTTTCAATGATTCCCCAGATCTCAATTCGAATACCTTCCTCTAAAATCATGAATTGTGGAAAGTTAGAATTCATAGGCTAGTCACAGAGTCGGGTCGTGGGGGATAAAAATAGTCCACTAGTGGACTTGTAGACAAAACTAGGCAGCTCTTTAGACTCATCAGGGAAACGGGTGGGAGAAAGCAAATCATAAGTGAAACAATCTCGGAGAAAAATGGCACAATAATTAGCTCCCAGGATAGACGACTGGATCTCTGGAAAGAGCACTATGAGGAGCAGTTTAATTGGCCTACAGCCACGCTCAACCTGCCGAACATCCAACACCTCCCCGAATGGGATATAGACACAGGTCCTCCGTCCTTAACTGGGTCACTAAAGCTGCCACTAGTCAGAAACAAGGCAAAGCAGCAGGACCTGATGGAATGACTCCAGAGGTATTTAAGTACGGTGGAGACAGTTTACTGCCTGCATTAACTGAGGTACTAGGCAGCGTCTGGGAATCAGAAGAAGTCCCATCGGGTTGGTGTAAGTCACTGATTATCCCCATACACAAGAAGGGAGACAAGTCTTCCTGTGATAATTACAGAGGGATTAGCTTGACTAATATAGTATCTAAAGTCCTAGGCTCAATAATCATGCGTAGACTAAGTGGTGCTCGGGAGGAACAAACACGAGAGAGCCAGGCAGGCTTTAGACCAGGAAGAGGGTGTATTGATCATATCTTCACCCTCCGACAGATTCTAGAACATAAGGATTCCTACCGGCGCCCAAAAATCACTATATTCCTTGACCTAAAGGCGAAATTCGATTCTGTCTACCGAGAAGTTTTTGATGTGGTTATGTTCTCTGAGCTGGATGGTTAAATCATCCACCTGAGCTACAAATCTTCTCTGTCAGACCGAGAAGTTCTCTGGAGATGCTTGGCTGTAAAGGGGATTCCGAGAAAATACATTGCACTGTTTAAGGCACTCTACTCGTACTCATACAGCCAGGTGAGGGCTTATGGCGAGTTGTCATCTGAACTGGTGACGACTAGTGGTGTCCGTCAAGGACGCCCATTATCCCCATTTCTGTTCAACTTCATCATAGATGTACATAGATATTTTAAGTCAACGAGGTTATTCCCTGATGGTAGCAAGTCAATCCCTGAGTCGCTGAAGTTAATCAGGGTTAAGTCCATTAGTACATCTATGATGAAATTGAATAGAAAGGGGGATAGTCAGTATCTCTGATGGACACCACGTACTCCTTGGCTGGTTTTTAATGGTTCTATTCGTGGTAAAACTCGTCAGAACAAATCTAATCCTTAGAAACCAACTATTGAAAAATAATAATAATCACGTCTAAAGACTGTATTAAATCACAGCCTTTTCCTAAAAAGCTTTTCGAAGTTGATTCAGCTCTTCTCTAAGTGATTTATTATATGCATACATATGTATCTTCTTTGTTAAATAATGTATGAAGATATTTTGATTTAAGATGTACATACCTCCTTGTTCATCTAATGGTTGTCATATAATGATGTTGATGATGATGAGAGCTGATCGTTATTCTATGAATTTCGTTAGTTTACTTTATGATATCAACACAGTGTGATGTATACTATATTTATATATCTTCGTGTTACTCACACACCAATCATCCTGTCATATATGATCCTTTTTTTGTTTTATAAAAATTTAAATTAAAAAAAATACTAAATAATTCATTTATGTGAAATGTACTCACATTTGAAGAGATATGTATGTTATGTATGTTATTTGGTTTTGAATGAAGTGTGCATTTCGTCATTAATACTCAACTTTTTGTTACATATGCATGCACATAAGCACACACACACACACACACAAACGTGCATTCAATATACTTTTTGTCGCACACCTAAAAGTTAAATGTGTATATTACCCTTCAGTTAGATATAAATAATAGATAACGAAAAACTAAAATATCTCTCACGTCATTTTCAAAATTCAAACATGAGTTCATATTTTATCTTAATTGAATTTTAAATTTTCCCGTCGATTGACAGGATCGAAGTAGTCGGTTTCAGGTTGAAATGTCGGCGGCTCCTTGTGCAGATACTTCGATGATGTCTGGGCATTTAATATAGAATTTAATTTGTGGATGTTGACTAGCAGTGGAATCCAGGAGAACATGCATTTCGTCCTATTTGGGACTCGTCAGCTAGCTGGATGTAACTGTGTTTCCCAGTGAGTGATGATGTTCCCATCACCGAGGCTTGAACCCAGTGCTCTTTAGTTTCAAACGCTAATGAAATTAATATGACCCGTTGCACAAGAGGTAGTTCTCGTGTCCCAAGTGGTCTAGTGGATAACGCTTTGGCGTTTGAAACTAGACGGCACTGGGTTCGAGCCTCGGTGGGAAATGCAGGTACATCTAGATGACAAGTCCCGAATAGGACGCAATACACGTTGTCCTGGATTCCACTGCTAGTCACCATCCACGAATTAAATGAGTTCATATCAGTAAGAGAACGCACTGGGTGCGTTGGTGGCACAGGGGTAGAGTGCTCATCGACCACGTAGGTAGTCTGGGGGTTCGATTCCCGGCCGACGACGCACTGCCTTACCTCAGTAAGCCAGTAATAAAACTGGTAAAGAGGGAAGGTTGGGCATGAGGTGGCTAGCAACCCCAACCGTGTAAAAATAATCACCACTGCTGCCGGAACTTCAAGCCTCTAGCTTGAAGCCCAATGTTCCACTGGGAACGTAAAGGAACAAACAAAAAGGTGCACTAGGCGGGTCTTTGGTCCTGGTTTGAGACTCTTCAGTAAACATTATATTGTTGTTATCATTTCTTTGGGTTCTAAGTGAAACATAGGGCTTCAAAAACACGCATCCAGCTTGTTTGTAGTCCTCCTTATCTGATTCCGTGATTGTTCATAATTTGTCATCTCCTCCTCTCACCATCTTCTCCATGTCACTATTGAACCCCAGGTTTGAGTCGTTGTTTCTCATTCTCAATCCACTTGAGCGTTTTCCTGACTGGTGCTTGATATCCCTGAACAGTCTTCTTAGTGTGTGCGCGTGTCATCGATCTGTCTACATTTTCTTTGACATACTTGTTAAGCAATAAGTTCTTGGTAGGTTACGTAGGTGTTACGTATGCCTAGTCATCGCCTTCCTCGACGAGCAATGTTATCGGATATAGGGTCAGGCTGGAAAAGAGCTAGCGGAGGTCAAACAAACATGGCACCAGTCAATCAAATCCACAACAGTTAGTTTAAGCCAGCCAGCCACGTAGGAAGGTGTAGACTTCCTGACCGGTTGGGGTCTTCGGGACGGTAAAAACCAATGAAGGTTGGAAACAATTGGTGACATGGCTCAAAATAGTTCTCAATGGTTGGTTGACTTATAATTTCGAATGAAATTGTTTTGTTCTTCGTTACTACTACTCCTTTTGCTCACACCTCTGTTTACCGTCTCTATTATGCATTTCTTGTACTTTCTTCTCTTGCTTTGTGTGTTACATGGAGGGAGTGTGGCGACTTGCACTTCCGCACATTTGTGCAAAGTTCTATGTCGAAAACAGACAGACAGGTTTCATCTCAAAGTTTTTTGTTGCTAATTCTTTCTGGCCAGTCGTCCATTTGGTCTTCAGTATAGAGGCAGTGAGGTGTTCAGCTTTTGATAAAATTCTACATCAGACTATTGGAAATGTATTCCGCGACGGGAACACCTGTATATAACTGCATTGACTGGCTCAACTGACTGACTGACTGAGTTCAGAAGATTTCCAAGGTGATTTGAGAATGATCAATATCTGATATACCTTTCACAGTTCTGGTTTTTTACGTCGTCATTTATGGGGTGGCCTGTATTTGTAAAAGGATTCTGACTTGACTGCCAGGCTACATGAATGAAGCAGCAGCAGCTGCAGCAAGAATGTGACCTCTTTCAAATTCTCCTCGTTGATGCAGTGATTAGTGTTTGTTTTTTTGGTTGGTTGGTTACACTTTCATCACCATTTCCATCTTCTCTATGGTTCGCTTGAGGTTCTGTTTCCAATGCTTACTTCTTATGCCGACTTGTTGGTTTCGCCTGTAAGTCTGTAACAACAGAATCGCAACAGATCGTTTTATTACGGAAATCAGCACGTATTTATGTATATATTTTACGTACATTATTAGAGCTTATTCAAGTAGACAAACGCAGTCTTCTGATTGGTTGTTTTCAAATTCCCCGTAAAGTGGAGCCATCTATCTGCGAAGCATATTTGCCCACGCTTAAGTCTGCTGTGATTGGTTGTTGAATCAGCCTTGTCAATATTTTCTCACGGCCAATATTAGTGACCTAGACATTGACGTAGATTAATGTCGACCAATCGGCTAGCAGCCTGCTCTCACCAAAAGTCTATATATATATATATATGTATATATATACATATAAACTAATTACTATTTGTACTGAGCTATAAATTGAGTGTTTGCATATAGCACTGCTACGCTAAGCTTATGTTTGATTTGATATGATAACCTGTTTAAAATTAATCTCCCTGATTTGTTTTAATTAGGAATTTAGCTGTTCATCTTGGCGCTGGAATTAGTTGTACATCAGATTTTGATAATTCTAGTCTATGTGCAATTTATTTGGTGAGTATTGAACTCACAGATTACGGTCGAGATCATATTTTTCGAGTAAGTTTTGTCTTTTTGTCTTTCTTTATTGCTATATTATAATTATAATAATAATAATTATTTTTTATTTGATTACAGCTTGATTCCACACTGTATTTTTGGTACAAGTATGGAATTTTCAGCATATGATACCGGTAGCCCATATTTTCAGGCTGACCATAGATATCAGGTGTGCATCGGCGGGGGATCGAACCTCGGACTATATGCATGGTCGGCGGGAGTCCTAACCACTGTGCCACCGACGCACACAGTCTAGTCTTAAAATGAGAGCGTATTTAATGTTTTAATGATTATTTTTTAGATCGTATTCATTGAAGGAGAATATGATATCATATTAGTGTCTAGTATGTATGTCTATGATTCAATAATAGACATGCTAGCCATGCCAGTACACTCCGAAGCTCCACCTAGGTTAGTAGGCGAATATTGTAAGCTTCGAAGAGAAAGAGGGGATGGTTTAGAGTTGTTACACGATAGGAGCCCCGTACTCGTAGAAGGAATCATCCTTACCACTACTGAAGCGATGTAGTGAAGCTTTGACACTGTATTTTATTTGTTATTTCCCTGGGTTCTGAGTGGAACATCTCCACTTTGTCGTATCCTCTGTAGTCCTATTTAGCTGGTCCATGAATGCCTATATCCTCTGACCTCATTGTCACACGATCTCCTTCATGTCGCACCTTCGAAGTGTCGCCGGATTCGGCACTCTCCATTTGGGTGGTTACACACTAGCGATCTGTCTTTTTTCGACATAACGATGGCCTGATATTATTATTTCCCTTAGTTCCTAGAGGAACATAGGGGTTCAGCCGCGTTTGGTTCTCTGCAAACGTTTTCATCACTTTGCTCCACTTCTGCTACATGCTTTCATCTCCTCTTCACGTTTACTCATCCTCCGAATCACCCTTGGATGACCAACTCGCCGCTTCCCGCTCGTGTTCCACTGGAGCAACGGCTTGGCGTGTGATGTCACTCACTTGATGGTTTGTTTTCTCAGAGTATGGCCAATCCACATCCATTTCTTCCTGCATGTTTGTTGCAAATTTGGTTCCTCCTGGGTTGGTTCGTTGGTTCATTGTCAGAGATCCCAGTTGCTGATCTTTTCTGGCCGGCCATCTGATGTTGAGTGGCATTGAGCGAAGATAGCTGTTGATGATGAAGGTGTGTAGTTTGTTCAGAGTGCCCTTCGTGATGCGGTTCGTCTCCAAGTCCCTGATCCGTGCAGTAGCACTGACTGACTTCACATTCGAGTTGAAAATCCTCATCTTATTTTTCATACTGAGTGCTGAGTGTTGATCTCCCACAGACTTAAGAGTAATGAAAGCTTGTCTTGCTTTCCCGATCCTCGCTTTGATATCTCTGTCACTTCCGTTCTCTTGTAGTTGAAACGATGCTTCTTTCAGATTCCTCCCATTTGTGTTGGCTGATTGTTGTCTGCTGTTGTTACTGCTGCTGTTGGCCAGGATTCGTCACCACCTCTGTTTTCTCTATGTTCATCTGAAGTTCTATATTTGATGCTTCTTCTACCAACTTGTTGCTTTTCGCTTGCATATCTTCCGGTTTGTGAGAAATCAGACATATATCATCGGCAAAGTCCAGATCCTCCAAGTTTTGAGTGTGTCCAATTTAGTTAGGCCTGTTTACTCTCTGTCCGCTGTCTATCACATCATCCATCCTACCTCAGTCAGAAAAATCATTGCAATAGCAGGCAGCCTTGTCTTACTCCCTTCTTCACTTCAAAGGATTCCATAAGTTTCCTGTTGTGGGTTACTTGCCAGGCGATGGCCTGGTGTGCAGTGATAACCGACGGTCTCTTCAGTGGCGTGTGTGTCTGGTCCATCTCCTTTTCATTCGGAATATTTGTTGAACAATCAGTTCTTGCCTGGTGGTTTGTTATCCGTCAGAGTTTCTTACTACTAATTCTCTTTAGCCTTCTGATCTTCAGTGTGTGTGGGGTCAGGGAAGGTGGTGGAGGCTGTTGATAAAAGTCTACAATGGCGTCTTAGAAATGCTTTACCTGGTGCACATTGCCAGGTTACTGACTCATATAGAAAAACTAACTAACTCACTTGGCATTTTTTGGTTCGGTTTTGCAGTAGATTTCTAAACTGTTTTCTTATCGATAGAGGTCTGTCTGTCTGTCTTACATTCCCGGTTCTGGATGTTTTTGACATCGTCATCCGTGTAGGCGGGGCGGGGGGGGGAGCAGCCTGTAGTTGACAGGATGCTGGCAATCCAGATAAATGAAGGAAGGAAGCGTGATCTCTTTCAAATTTAATCCGTTGACAGTGATTGGTGCTTGTTGTTATTGTTGTTGGTTAGTTGGTTGACTATCTTCTCTATGTTTATTTGAAGTCCTCTCTTCCTTGCCTGCTTCTTCCGTCGTTCGTCTTTTGTTTTCGCTTGTAGACCTTCGAATTTGTGTGATGAATCGTCCGTGAAATCCGAATCTTCTAGAGTCGTTTCATCGGTTGGATAAGAAAAAAACACACACCTTTTGGCATTATTTACAAGCTTACATCATCACTTGTGCACAGAGCTTTTGATATCCAACTATCGATCAAACGTTGGGCGTACTGCACACACTGATTTTCTGCGTCTATATTTTTCAGGTGTGAAATATGCAAAGGCTAGCTATCTCTGTGTTGTATCTCTTGTGCTGCTGTAGATGGTGTATAATTTGGTCGAGTAATTGTGAATGTTAGGTAAGGAGTGACAGTCAGTCGTCAGTGAGGTAGCTGGTGAGGCTGTGAATTTCCACTGATTAGCATGCCTACAGAACACACGTTCCAACCTACGATGATGTTCCTCTTGGAACGATGCTGTTGACATAGCAAGTAGGGTAAGATTGAAAATAATTCACTGGGAACGGGGTGGGGGTGGCGGTGGTCATATAAAAGTATAGCATCAGTTCGCTAAGTCTTTGACCACTGTTCATATTGTCCTATTGTGGGAGCTGTAGACTGTCTGACTGGACTTGTTGACTCAAAATCGTTCTCAATAACACAGATATATATATATATATTCACTGTTTGTAATCTCTAATAGATCCACTAAGCGATTCTTCTTGTAGAGTGGGGTTATTCTTTCTCTTACGATAATTTTTGGTTCGGTTTATTATTCATGATCGAAACGTAAAACAAATCGAATCCCTACAAACAAACTCATGAAAATTTATCTGATACTCGCTAGTGACTACAGGACGAAGTGGGTTGTAGTGGGTTATGTTGGTCGTGAGGACAAATACTGAGCAATAACATTAGCTCTAGTGGTGGTCCCGCTAAACAAGTCACTAAATGGTCAAAGTTGGAATTCATCAACCAGCCTTTGACACTGATGCTACAGGACTGAACTACATTGATTCACTGCTAGCTTTTTAAAATAGGAAGTGGAATGGTAGAGCGTGTTGATGACCACTTCACTTATTTTGTGGGAAGTTGCATCAACCAGCCCCAATGGGTTGATGGCTGACAAAATCACAGCACGGATATAGAGAGATCGTTTGGAATATGGCTAATTACGCCGTCTCTGGCTTAGTAGACATGATATCCGGCTGACTTTCAACTGAAGCGGGGGGAGTGTACTGCACAGAAGTCCGCTCCTTTCTCCTTTACGGCTAACAGCAAGACATGACCATTGAGAGTGGAAGATATGAAAAGGCCGGTCAGCTGTCTCTGATTACAGGTGTCTGCGTTCTATCTCCCGTGTAAAGTGGTACAATAAGGTGAGCAATATTGAGGTTGGGAGTCTAGTGAGTGCTAGGTAAAGAGGGGAAATCAATATACGTGACTGTGAAGTTACATCAATTGAGATGGTTAGGACATGTGTTACGCATCCTCAGCCATCAATCGCCTTCCTCGATGGGCAATGTTAGCTGACATAGGGTCAGGTTGGAAAAGAGTTAACCATTGGTGGTCAAGCAAGAACATGGTTTCATCAGTCAGTGCAATCCATAACAGTTACTTTAAACCATCCACTTTAGGAGGTGTAAACTGCCTTCCTGGTTTGGGTTCTGGAGATTTTAAGAACCAATGGCAGCTGGAGACAATTGGTGATATTGTGGTGAGAGCAGGCTGCTAGCCGATTGGTTGGCACTAATCTACGTTAAGGTCTAGGTCACTAATATGGGCCGTGAACAAGCCTGAGTCAACAACCAATCACAGCAAAGTTAACGTGGCAAAATATGATTCGCAGAGAGAACTCTATTTGTCAAGGAATCCCGAAACAACCAATCAGAAGCCTGCGTTTGTCTACCTAAACAACCAATCAGATGACTGCGCTTGTCTATAATAATGTAGTTGAAAGATGTATAAATACGTGTTGATTTTCATAATAAAACGATCTGTTGCCTGGCCCTTGTCTTCTGTTGTTACATTTGGTGTCGCTGCCTACCGACAAATGAAAAGCCTATACCCTGCAGTTTTTGATGGAGACATATGGATCTTCGGGCAGGACTTCAAGGCTTCTGCGCAGTTGAGTGGCGTTCAAGATCTGTCAGCGATGGAGCTGCTATTTGAGACGCTGCTGGGAGGTCGGGCGAAAGCAGCATATGAAGGTGTGGGCCGAAGTATGGACGAATGTTCGACAGGGTCAGGCAAACAGTTTCCAAAGTGGGAAGGACCATATATGGTCACTTCGAGATGGGGTTACGCAGACACAGTCGCAATGGCGAACAATGAGAGGCGCGTGAACGTCAGCGAGCTCCAGAAATGGATACAGCGAGACAAGCCAACGATGACGCCTGCACCAAGTAGATCAAGCCGACTTCAGTCGCACGTATTTGACGGGGGGACGAGTGTGGTGAGAGCAGGCTGCTAGCCGATTGGTTGGCACTAATCTACGTTAAGGTCTAGGTCACTAATATGGGCCGTGAACAAGCCTGAGTCAACAACCAATCACAGCAAAGTTAACGTGGCAAAATATGATTCGCAGAGAGAACTCTATTTGTCAAGGAATCCCGAAACAACCAATCAGAAGCCTGCGTTTGTCTACCTAAACAACCAATCAGATGACTGCGCTTGTCTATAATAATGTAGTTGAAAGATGTATAAATACGTGTTGATTTTCATAATAAAACGATCTGTTGCCTGGCCCTTGTCTTCTGTTGTTACAATATGACTGAAAATCTTTATCAATATCTGGTACCGATGCATTCACTTTTTGTGACTTATCCAATAAAACTATATGGTTCTTCCATATTACTGTTCTTTTCTCCTCAAACTTCTGTTTGTTATCTTTGTGTACTCTGTGTGCTCCATGGAGGGAGGAAGAGTGAGGCAACTCATACTGCTGCATATCTGTGCCAAATTCTATTTTAAAAGTAGTCAGTCAGTCAGTCTGTAGTTGAATCGGATTCGTTGGCTGAGAATAGTCTTGGGGCTTGCAACTCCTGGGTTCGAATCCTTGCGTATGATTACTGCTGAAGAGTAAGAGAAGACAGTCAACTGTGAAGTACTCTCAGCTGCCGTGTCCAATAGTTCTCTAATTATTGTCAGCCAGTGATCATTCTTGATATAAATCAAATCCTCTGTAAACTAACCCATGTAAATTCTTACTTATTTGGTTACAGGATTTCATCATGAGCTGACATTGGTTAGAAAACCATTGGAAAACCTGGGAGTACTGGACAGCTGCCTGTTTCGTCCTAGTTTGGGACTCTTCATCAGTACACGACCACCAGGGTTCGAACCCAGGACCTTCTGGTTACAAGGCGAGCTAGCTCGTAGACCACTAAGCCACTGGGGTCTGAACTAATGGTCAGTCCATGAATTCCAACTTCTGCCAATTCACGATCACAAGCCAGTGTCATCGGTGGCGAGTATTTGTCCTCACACCCGACCTGCTGCACCCTACTGGTCACGACTTGTTAATTGGTATTATTTCTGATATGGTTGTTTTATTATATTTGAGATTTGTGGCTTTCACAAATCAATCGCTGATCAGAATTAGGTGATTTGTTCTTTAAGCATTAGTGGATTAGGTGTTATAGTTTCAAAATACCCGGTAATTTACGACTTTCTTGTTGTATTCCATCTTTGTTATTTATCTCTCCTGTTTTTATATCCTCTTTAGGTTTGTAGTATACTATTTGATTATATCAAAATTCTATTACATTCTGCTACCTCATCATTATCATCATCATCGTCGGGCAGTAATGCTAATTCGTCTGACGTCAACAACTTACCAGAGATGCATACATTTGCCACCTATCTACCAGAATATCAGTTAACTAGAGAAGCAAGCTTTTTATATACAGAGCCTAGTGATGCTGAAAATACTGTTGTTACACTGGCGAATAAATTACACCTTGTTAAGCCAGAACATGTTTACTCTGGTTATCAATTGCTTAAAAAGCCAAATATGCAAGTAAGTTGATTTTGCTTATGCTTGGTGTTTCATTATTATATATATATATGATTATTATTCCCTTGGGTTCCGAGGTTCTCGTTGAGGTTCCACTGGAGCGGTGGCCTGGTTAGCGCGCGATGTCATCTAACGGCTCCCTCAACGTATGCCCGATCAATCCATCTCCATTTTTCTCCTACAAGTTTGTTGAGCAATCGGCTCTCGCCTGTTGGTTGGTTTATTTTCAGCCAGAGATTTTTTTGTTATCAATTCTTTCTGGCCAGTCTGCCGGTCATTTGATCTTCAATAGTTTTGGACTCATTGGCGGTACGCACCCACCGGCCTTTCCGGTTACAAGGCAAGCTCACTAGTGACTATAACTGCTTGATGGAGTTTCCCTGGGTTCCTTGTGAGAAGTCGTGAACAGTTGGCGCATCCTGTCGGGAGTGAGGATAAATGCTCACTGATGACATCAGCTGGTGTGTCAGTCGAGCTAAAATCACGAATTGTTAGAAGTAAGAATTCATAGGCCAGCCATTGAATTGGTTCGTAGTGGCTGAATGGTCAATGAGTTCGCCTAGTAACCAGAAGCGCCTGGGTTCGAAACTCGGTGGGTACGTACTACTGATGAGTTCCGAAACAAGACGAAAGAGCCGTGCAGTACTCTCAACTGGTTTTCAATAGTTCTCTAACTGATATCAATCAGTGGTCAAACTTGAAAAATAAATCAAATCCTGCATATCAAATATTGTGGATAGACTTTAACAACGTTTTGATTAAACACTATTCAGTAACTAATGTGATATTTCTAGTCCTTGCTTTGGTGCAGACTGAATTCTGTCAGTCAGGTTTGTAATGTGGCCACCATTCTAGGTAGCTTGCCATCACGGTGCACATTGATTCGATGATATTAGATAGTTGGAGGCAATCGGTCACAGGAAGCATTGGACCTAGGTTTCGTGCTAGTTGGCACTGATCAGCGAGGTGTATCCGCAACCTTGAAGGAACTCGTATCCCTTCTGAATGTCTCTAACCATCTAATATCATCAAATCAATGTGCACCGTGATGGCGAGCTACCTAGAATGGTGGCCACATTGCGAACCTGACTGATAGAATTCAGTCTGCAGCAAATAAAGGACTAGACACGTCACACTAGTTACTGGCTAGTATCCAACCAAAGCATCTTTTATAGTCCTACAGAAGGTCAATCGTAAGCCCGAACAGTTCAGTGGTAACGTCTCTGACTGCAGGTGGCACTGGTTGACGCTGGTTCGAATCCCCGAAGGGACATGAGTTCCTTCAAGGTTTCAGATACGCTTTGTTGATTGGTGAGGACCAACTAGCACGAAACCTAGGTTCAGGGCTTTCTGTGGCCAATTGCCTCCAATCATCTAATATCATCAGAATTCAACATGGTACAAAAATGTTTTAGTTTAGAATGACATATGGGACAAGTGAAATAATGCCGGAAACAGTTGAAAGTAAGAATAATAGTAATAATCGACGTATTAAGGGTAGGATATATACAAATTGAATAAACAAGACGAAAATAAGTAGGAACCCAAAATATGAATGGAGATTATCATACTTTAGCGCAGACAGCGTAAGACCATGGTAGGTGGTGGAAGGGGTTGAACAAACAGACATCTGGCTTCCCTATTTCGATGGCCAAAGCTTTAACATTACAGATGAGTTGGATATGTAATGATTTAGTCAGGTTGTTGTTTTCCGCTTTGTAGATGACTTTAAAGGCGAAGGTGCTGAAGATAAAGTTGTGGTAAGAGCTGGCTGCTAACCAAATTGGTAGACAATAATTTACGTCAATGTTTATGTCTCAAATATTGGTCGTGAGAAAAATAAGAACAAAGGATCTGTGTAGGTGGATACAGTTAGCATAGAGATGATCTGACATTCAAGAAACAGTCACAAGGAGATGAAAGATTAACTTTCAGTGAGAAACAACCACCAATGAGAAGACTGTGTTTTTCTGCTAACAATAATCTATAATAATGCATATGAAAATCTATAAATATGTGTTGATTTCCTCAATCAATGACCTTTTGCCTGGCCATTGTCTTCTGTTGTGTTACAAAGTGACCAGTGTATCGACTAGGTAATCAATTGTTGAGCTTCTTATAGCCCCACTTCCACTTCGTCATGGTAATACTGTCCCTTCATAAATCCTTCATAAATCATTTTACCAACTAAACTATTCCTGCTACCAAGTACTAATACTACCGTACTACCGTGTTGTGGTGGCGTTACATTTATTGTCACCTCTAGGATTCAATCTTGGGGTGAATGCTGAAATTATCTTCAGTCTATGCTTCTTTCTCTTCTTTTCATAAGTAATAAAACAACGTTTTCATTGTTTTTTGTTTTCCCATCTCCTGTTTGTTTTTCCCTGTAGTTGTATATTGACCTACTTAAACTGATGACACCTGAGAGAGCTGCAATCTTCTTTTTATCGTCTTCATTTGCAGCATCAGTTGGTGATGAGTCGAAACTAGATCATGAACCATGGTTCAATGTAGCCTATCGAAAAGAGAGTAAGTCTTTTTCAGTGTCTGTGTGTGTGTATTAGTGCGTTTACTCCTGTTTCTCTTCTCTTTTTCCTATGTTTAATACATGTTTTACTTCTATGCTAATCACGTTTCCAAAGGTGGATTCATAAATACCATCCTTTGAAAAGTACTCATTGGGTGATATGCAAGCCCAACCACCACGATCGTCGATGTCGTCCCCATGTATCTCTCCTTCGTTCATTCACTTAGAAGAGGCAATCTATGAAATCTCTGTAGACTTTTTCCCCCACATTCTTCAATGGAAAAGGAAATTTGTATAAACTATGTATGATGCTAAAGTGTGTTTTTAAACCAATTTCGTCATCGGTTGAGGTCTTCTATAATCCCGCTTGTGTGTTTGAGTTATGATACGTCCTGTTGCGTTTGTATAGTGAATTCTGTGTTTGTAAGCGTTTTTGATGTATTCAGATATAATTTTCAATGTGTCAATTTTACATGTCCGTTTGTCTTTGTCTCACATAATTTAACGATTTATGACGTGACTTCCTCTCTCCCTACTTATCACCTTTGGAATCCTATTGGTTGTTCTCTGTCTTAATTTATTGATGACATTAGTGCCTCTCAAGGTCATTTTTAACATAAATATATGCGAACTCTGTCAACGTTTCTTGACTGTTGTTTTGAGACAGTGAAGCTCTCTCATTAACGTCCGGTCTTTTCCCCTGTCTTTGCGGCCTGGCGGTGTTACTGACGTGCGATTCGGACAGATTTGCCAGCTCATTGAGTTAGTATTTGCTCATAGTTCACTACGTCGTAGCTCCGGTCCCAACAGTTTTTCATTACTTCCGATTTTCGTATTTTATTACGTGATCAAATCAAGTCGAAAAAATGTGAATACTTCAGTAGATTAACGGATTATTTTCACCCGGATTTGCTTGTTTGACCATTTACGGGTACTAATAGAGTTCAGGATGCTCATTGCATCCTGTTTTGAGACTTATGTCAACTAAAGAAGCACTTGTTCCTCCTCAGTCAGTGGAAACACTGTACCCTGTATCTAAAGTCCTAGGCTCAATAATCATGCGTAGACTAAGTGGTGCTCGGGAGGAACAAACACGAGAGAGCCAGGCAGGCTTTAGACCAGGAAGAGGGTGTATTGATCATATCTTCACCCTCCGACAGATTCTAGAACATAAGGATTCCTACCGGCACCAAAAAATCACTATATTCCTTGACCTAAAGGCGGAATTCAATTCTGTCGACCGAGAAGTTTTTGATGTGGTTTTGTTCTCTGGGGTGGATGGTTAAATCATCCACCTGAGCTACAAATCTTCTCTATCAGACCGAGAAGTTCTCTGGATATGCTTGGCTGTAAAGGGGATTCCGAGAAAATACATTGCACTGTTTAGGGCACTCCACTCGTGCTCATACAGCTAGGTGAGTGCTTATGGCGAGTTGTCATCTGAACTAGTGACGACTAGTTGTGTCCGTCAAGGACGCCCATTATCCCCATTTCTGTTCAACTTCATCATAGATGTACTAATGGACTTAACCCTAAGTAACTTCAGCGACTCAGGGATTGACTTGCTACAATCAGGGAATAACCTCGTTGACTTAGAGTATGCAGATGATATAGTCCTTCTACGTGAGGACGCTGACAAAATCCACCAGAGTCTTGTAAACACCTTGAGGTGCAATCTACGAATGTTTGCCATGCGATTCGCTCCCCTTGTTAAATGTCAGATGGTGTTACAGGACTGGACTACATTGACTCCTAGTTTAGAAATCTGGAGTGAAGTGGTAGAGCACGTTGACCGCCTCACTTATTTGGGAAGTACCATGAGCCAATGCCAACGGGTTGATCGCTGACGAAATCTCATCACGAATACAGGGGGCTCGTTTCGGATTTGCCAGTTTACGCCGACTCTGGCGTAGACGTGATATCCTACCGGCTGTCAACCAAAGGGCATGTGTACTGCTCAGAAGTCCGCTCCGTCCTTTTTTTTGGCTGTGAAAATGACATCGCCATTGAGAGTGGAAGACATGAAAAGGCCAGCTAGCTGTCTTTGATGATAGATGCCTGCGTTCTTTCTCCCGTGTGAAGTGGTATAATAAGGTGAGCAATATTGAGTTTAGGCGTCGAGTTCTAGGTAAAGAGGGGAAATCAATCGACGTGGTTGTGAAATTACATCAACTGAGATGGTTAAGACATGTGTTACGCATACATGTCTGGTCATTGCCTTCCTTGACTGACGGTCAATGTTAGCGGATGTAGGGTCAGGCTGGAAAAGAGCTAGCGGTGGTCAAGCCAAAACATGGATTCACCTGTCAAGGAAATCCACAACAGTTAGTTTAAGCCAGCCAGCCAGCCACGTAGGAAGGTGTAGACCTCCTGACTGGTTGTGGTCCTCGGGACGGTAAAAACCAATGGTTGGTAACAATTGATGATATGGCTCAAAATCGTTCTCAATTGCTGGTTGGCGCAGATGCATCCACTCCTTGTGACTTATGATTTCGAATGAAACTGTTTGGTTCTTCGTTACTACTATTCCTTTTGCTCACACGTCTGTTTACTGTCTCTATTATGCATTTCTTGTAGTTTCTTCTGTTGCTTTGTGTGCTACAAGGTGGGAGTGTGGCGACTTGAACTTCCGCATATATATGCAAAGTTCTATGTCGGAAATAGACAGACAGATTGATCCATCGCTACAAACACATCAAAAGCACTCTCCATCTTAACCAGGAGCTCATTCACCCGAAATAAAGGCGATCAGTGTTGGCATGTCAATGCGTAATCGCAAACATGTATTCGGAAGTTACATCATCACTAAATTATCTATCTGTTTGTTGTGGATTATACTGTAGCCAAGCTTTCATGTAGTTATGAATTGTGATGAAAGTATCTGTGCTATTCTCTTTTTTCCCTTTGTACTATAAAAAAAAATCAGTTTCCTAAACCACCACCGTAATGAAGAGATGAATACTGTCTTCGGAGTGCAGATTGAAATCTATCAGCCGCAGCAAGTGCAAGACAGATGTCAAATCTAATTACTTATTATATTCCCTACTTGAAGTTGATCGTGAGTTCGAACAGCTCAGTGTTAGGATTTCTGACTGTAACGCAGGGCGACCACGGTTCGACTCATAGGGGGTGCATGAGTTCCTTCAAGATTGTAGATAGGCTTTAGTGATTAATGAGAGTGCCAACAAGTACGAAACCTAGTTACGAGGCTATCTGCCGATTTCATCTTTAGAACAATTCAGAGTTCACCATGATGTCGAGCCACCTAACATGGTGACCACATATGCAAACGTGACTGACAATAGAATTCAGTGTACAGCAAACAATGGAGTAGACGGATGGTGACACTGGTTGCTGCCCGATTTCCAAACAACATATGCACAGTATTTTTTGAATTACTTAAGATGATCTAGCTTTCATGTTATACATGACTCTTAGCCTGAGGAGTTCCTGATCTTGTGTGGTTATTCATTAAGCTGACTGACCGATTCATTGCCTCAAAAAATGGTACTTGTTTTGTTTGATGCAGTAATTATTCTGAAACCTTCCAGTTTCCAGGGATTTTCCAGCTGTGAATATGATTCCTGTCAGGTATTTCAGGTCGTATTGAATGGCGGTGTATCGTGGGAGTTGGAAAATCTTAAGGTGTTAGGATCTGTTACTCAGGCTGAATAACAATAATAGTAATAATGTGTAGAAAGAAGAATTCTACAGGCGACTACAGGCAACAATGGACAATACTCCAGCTGGCGACATGAAAATACTAATGGGAGACATGAACGCCAAACTGGGACCAGACAATACGGGAAGGGAACTCATCATGGGTAGAGAAGCTCTAGGAGAAATGAATGAAAACGGAGAACTCTTCGCCGACTTCTGCGCCTTCAACGAACTGGTGATTGGTGGCAGTGTATACAAGCACAAAGATATCCACAAGGCTACATGGGTGTCACCAGACGGGCAAACCAAAAACCAAATCGACTTCATCTCAATCTCAAGGAAGTGGAGGCGCAGCCTACTGGACACAAAAGCAAGAAGAGGAGCAGACGTTGGCTCAGACCACTATCTCGTACAAGGGACAATCCAAATCAAATTAAAAGCTTTCAGGGAATCAGGAGCTGCAGATAGACCACAAGCCAAGTTCAACACTCAAAAGCTGAAGGACCAGGCTACAAAGGACATCTTCATTGCAAGCATAAAGGACAAAGCCGAGACACAAATCAACACCAGCGAAAAGGTCAGTGTCGAAAAGCACTGGAACAACTTGAAAACGGTGTGGAGCCAAACCTGCATAGAAATTCTAGGCAGAAAAAAGAGACAGGACAAACAGTGGCTCACTACGGACACTTGGAAACTAATAGAAGAGAGAAGGACAGTGAAGCAAAAGATTATCCAGTGCACTGACGAGCAACAAAAACAGGAGCTGAATGCAAGCTACAATACACTGAACAAAAGAGTGAAGAAAAGTGCCAGGGAAGACAAAAGAAAATATTATGAAACCATGGCAAACGAAGCAGAACAAGCTGCAGGCAAAGGAGACCTCGCCACACTCTACCAAACAACTAGGAACCTTTCGGGCAAACGTTCGACACAGATTAAGCCAATAAAGGACGACAATGGAAAGTCAATCACCAAAGAGGTGGAACAGAGAAAGCACTGGGTTGAACACTTCAAAAGACTTCTAAATCGTCCGCCACCTACAACACGTCCAGCAATACCAACAACGGAAGCAGAACTACCAGTGAACACTGACCCCCCGACGAAATCAGAAGTCCTGAATGCAATCAAGATGCTTAAAGCTGGGAAAACACCGGGACCAGATGGAATCCCAGCAGAGGCTTTGAAAATAGACCCAGAGACAACAGCGGACTTGATGACACCACTACTGGAGAAGGTGTGGAAAGAGGGCAAAGTACCCGAGGATTGGAAGAACGGATACTTATTCAAACTTCCAAAGAAAGGAGACTTAAGTCAATGTAAAAACTGGCGTGGAATTATGCTTCTGTCCATTCCAAGCAAGATACTAAGTCGCATCATCCTGGAGAGAATCAAACAAGCCCTAGATGAAAAACTTCGTCCGGAACAGGCTGGATTCAGGAGAAACAAATCATGTATTGATCAAATCGCCACTCTACGGATCATCATTGAACAAAGCTTGGAATGGCAGTCACCTCTCTATCTCAACTTCATCGACTTTGAAAAGGCCTTCGACAGCGTCGATCGAGAGGTCATTTGGAAACTACTTCGCTACTACGGGGTCCCATCGACAATTATACACCTCATCCAACAGTTATACGACAATGCTGCATGCCAAGTAATCCACAACGGGAAACTTACGGAAGCCTTCGAAGTGAGGACGGGAGTGAGGCAAGGCTGTCTACTATCACCAATGATCTTCCTGATTGCAATTGATTGGATAATGCGACAGACAACGGCAACCAACGAGGGAACAGGCATAAAATGGACTGACACAAAAGACTTGGAGGATCTGGATTTCGCCGATGATATATGTCTGATTTCCCATAAACTGGAAGATATGCAAGTGAAAAGTAACAAGTTGGCAGAAGAAGCATCAAAGATAGGACTTCACGTGAACATAGATAAAACAGAGATGATGAAGATTCCTAGCCAACATCAACAACAACAACAGACAACAATAAGCATAAATGGGAAGAACCTGAAAGAAACAACCTCCTTCACCTACCTGGGAAGCATCGTCTCAACTACAGGCGGAACTGACGAGGACATCAAAGCCAGAATCGGAAAAGCAAGACAAGCTTTCATTACTCTCAAATCTGTGTGGAGGTCAACAGCACTCAGCATCAAAAATAAGATCCGGATTTTCAACTCCAATGTGAAGTCAGTGCTACTATACGGATCAGAGACTTGGCGAGTCATAAAGAGCATCTCAAACAAACTTCAAACCTTCATTAACAACTGTCTCCGCTCAATACTCAAGATCAGATGGCCAGAAAAGATCAGCAACAGGGATCTCTGGGAGCGAACCAATCAGGAACCGATTGTGAAACAAATAGGCAGAAAGAAATGGAGATGGATTGGCCATACGCTGAGGAAACCATCAAGTGACATCACTAGACAAGCCTTCTCGAGTGGAACCCGAAAGGGAGGCGGCGAGTTGGTCGTCAGTGCAAGGGTGACTTGGAGGAGGTCATGTGAGGAGGAGATGAAAGCATGTGGACAGACCTGGAGCAGGGTGAAAAAGTTGTCAGAAAACCGAAGTCAATGGAGGTGCGCAGCTGAAGCCCTATGTTCCTCTAGGAACTAAAGGATACAATAATAAATAATAATTATCACATAACCTAACTGTCCTCTAGACGGGTTAGAAACACGCATTGTTACAACCGAGTGCAACACCTGTCAAGTACTCCTTCGTCATCTTTCTCCAGCAGTTTATCCAACTCACCTCTTTTCTTGAAGAAAAAAGCAACCTTCAGAATTTAAAAAAATATATTTCATCATATTGCAATCATTTGGCCTGAAATAGATTAACAGTAAATTTAGAATGGATTAAGTTGACATTTGATTTCGTCTGTATTTATATACCTGTAACAAGGAACTTTGACAGTATACACAAGCCGAAAACCTATCACCGATGAGAGTAGAGGTGGATTCAATATAGTCTACGGCGGTCTTAAAATGACGTCGCACACCAAGCGTCAGGGTGAATGGGAAGTTGTGAAACTAGCTGAAAGTGATGACGAAGAAATGAGTCCACCGCTGCTAAAGCCATATATTCTATTGAGAACATATGCAATGTGCGATAATAACAATAATGTAATGTAGATGCATTACAGTCCTACAGGAGGTCAATCGCGAGCCTAAATAGCTCAGAGGTAACGTACGTCTCTGACTGCAGTACTCATTGGGTGACGCAGGTTCGAATCTCCTCAGAAGGGACATGAATTCCTTTGAGGTAGTTGCAAATACACCATGGTGACTGGTGAGTGTCAACTAGCACGAAATCTAGGTGGTGTCCAAGGCTTCCTGTGGCTGATTGCCTCCAACTATCTAATATCATCAGATGTAGATACAGTTAGACATCTCACTGGTAAGAAGGTTTTGTCTGAAGATTGGTGCAAATTTTCAGTTGTCTAATTAGACGGACATCAGATTTCATTTTTTATCAGCAGTCGAAGTCAAGTTTTCCCTTAATTTTGACGATAACTGTCTTTTATGAACCTGTAAACATGTATATATATGTTTATACATTGTGTTTATAGAGGCCTACCGAAACATTTCTTCAATATATTCAGTGGATGCCTTGACGAAAAATTGATATCGAAAAATATTTGGTTTCTTTCACTCATATCATAAAAAGTAGAGTGGTTACGTTATTGTTATTAGTGTTATTCTCTTGCCTTCCAACTGCAACATAGGCCTTTTACAGAACATCGACATTCCATCCTGTTTTCAAGTATTGATTTTGTAAGGATTTTGTTTAATTTGTTGGAGGATTTCATCATGAGCTGAGATTATTGGAAGTCAGAACCTTCTGGTAACAAGGGGACTTAGCTCGTAGACGGTTAAGCCACAGATATCTTATTCAATCGCCAGTCAATGAATTCTATCTTCTGCCAATTCATGACATAGCGTGACCACTTTGCAATGTCTTCTCTCCTCCTGTTCTCTACAGACCTGTTTATGAGGCTCCACGAAAACGCATAGACTTTCATTCCCTCCATAGATGATCCCCTTGATGTCACTGTGGAAGTAACGTCCAACTCATTGTTCTTCCTCGTTCGGATACAAATCGAGTGATGATCTTCGCACGTGATGTCACTCATTGGTCTTCTATAGTGTGTTTGTCCTATCCACCCTCACCCCTATTACCTTCTGTATGTTTGTTTACCAGTAGGTTCTTGGTTGGTTCATTGTCTTATCTGATCTTCATTTGAATATCATCACAGTGAATTTTCAATTAGTAGTGTTCTCTCTGAGCTGGTTGGTTTTAGTTGCGGAGCTTTCGTCGTCCTTTTGGACAACTAGACCAACGAGCTCAGTGAGAACACTACTAAATTGCAAATCATCCAACTGAGCTACAAATCTTCTCAATTATAGTGAATTTTCATTGGTTTTAATTATATTGATTGATGAATATGTAGGTAAGCGCTATATGTGTCAAGCCTTTTTTGATCCAATAAGTAACTGAGTACCTACTGTCCTTTGTTTTATTTAATTAACTTTGTGTGTGTGTATTTCGAATTTTAAAAAAAATAATTTTTTCTCCTTTTTTCAATCAAGCTATTCCTGACAATATCATGAATGATTGGAAGACTTCAAAGCCTAGTAGAAAATTACATCTTCCATACAAAAATAATTTTATCAGTAAGTACTTTTGTATGCATCATCACACTGTTTGCCAAATGTGAGGTCATCACATGATTATGTATTACCCTTTGGGAGTCTTATTTCCATTGATTTTACACTGACACAATTGTCTCATCATCTAGGGATTGGTTACTCATTAGTCTAAACGTTAGAATTCCAAATGCGCTGCGCCATAGGTTCGATTCCCACTTCATGTGCACTGAGCAGGTCGGGCAGATAGTTAATATCACTAGTCTTCTTGAAGTAGTTTAGATTCACTGTCAACTGTATGACAATGCGTGTTTGTGGAGTAGAGTAACCTTATCTTTTCTTATATCGTTACGTAATACATCAAGGTTAGTAGTCAACTCTGTTGGTCAGTTTACTCACTAATTCCTATAATGTTCCCCTAGTATATTGTTCTGTGTTTTAAATGGCAGTTTTATACTTTTGCGCAATGTTTGATTGAACAGGGATGTCCGAACAAGTACACAGACGTGGCGATCATTCATTTATCGCTTGTCCTACGCCAACAATGTTATACTACGACAGCTACCTGATTTCCCAACCCACTACTTAGGTGAGAACACACCACCAGGTGACATATATATATTATTGTTGTTTCTTAGGGTTCGAAGTGGAACAGGGCTGCGACGGCACATCTCCACTCTGTCCTATTCTCTGCGTTCCTCTTTAGTTGGTCCTACGGTTTCTCGTAATCTCTGACCTCCCAATCGCACAATCTCTTTCACATCACCCTCGTACACTCAACTCGTTGCTTCTTATTCAGCAATATTTGCTGAGCATATGGTTCGTTCCCAGAGTTTCTATCTGATCTTTAGGATGAAACTAACGCAAACACCTGTTGATAAAAGTCTGAGACCAGTAAGAAATGACTCTTTGTGACGCCGGAGCCAAGTTTCTGACCCATATAAAAGAAGTGACTGAATTAACATTCAAGTGTTTGTTTGCAGGGATTTGATTTGATTGGTTACATGATTTCATCTTGAGCTTACATTGGTTAGAGAACCATTGGGAAACCTGAGAGTGCTAGTTGTCTGTTTCGTCCTAGTTTGGGACTCTTCATCAGTACACGCACGCACACTGAGGGGTTAGAACGCGGCACCCAAGACTTAACATTGGTGTTAAATATCCGAATTTCGCAGAAAAAAAATTATTTCAGTGTGATGGAAGTCTGTTTTGTCTTTCCAATGTTCTGGCTTTACCATAATCATCGTAGTCAGTTGGCTGTAAGTCAAACGACTCTTTTTAGAAAAATGAAGTGACCTCTTTCAAACTTGTTCCGTTCATAGTGATAGGTGTTTGTTGTTGTTGGTGGTGGTGAGCGGGTATCTTCATCTCTTCCGTCTTCTTTATGTTCACTTGAAGTGCTATCTTCGCTGCCCACTTTCTTTGCAAATTTGTTGGTTTTCATCTGCCTGCAAATCTTCGATTTTGTGTGACATTACACAAAAATCGTCCACGCGCGATATCCAGATCTTCTAGAATCTTCTTGTTGGTCCAACGCATCCCTGTCTTCCGTCTCCCCATAGTCTGCTGTATAATCCAGTCCATCACAGTTAGGATTATTACCGGTGATAGTGTGCGTCGGTGGTGCTGCGGTAGAGTGCTCGCCGCCCACGCAGTTAGTCCAGGGTTCGATCCCCGGCCGGCGCACTCCAAAACCTCGCTGTGCGTCGGTGGCACAGTGGTTAGGGCTCTCGCCGACCATGCACATGGTACGGGATTCGAGCCCTCGCCGACGAACACCTGATATCTATGGTCGACCCTGCGAAATTTGGCCTACCGGTATCACATGCTGAAAACTTCATACTTGTACTAAAAATACAGTGTGGAATCAAGCTGTAATCGAAATAAAAAAATAAATAAATAATCGCATATAGTTTAATGTAACTCCGAAGTTGATGTTCGCCAGTGCATACTCTAAACGCGTAATCTATTATATCTTAAAGTACTGTAATTCCTACAAAGTGAAGTAAGCGTGATAATTTTCTTTTTCTTTTATTCCTTCACATAGTAGCGAGGGCTTCAAGCTAGAGTCTTGAAGTTTCTGTAGCAGTAGTGATTACTTTTACAGGTTGGGGTTGCTGGTCTCATGCCTAACCTTTCCTCCTTACCAGCTTTTTTGTTATTACTGGCATAGCGAGGTAAAGGAGTGTGTTGGCCGGGCGGGGATTAAACCCCGAACCATGTGCATGGTCGGTGAGCGTCCTAACTGCTGTGCTACCGACGTGTGATAATTATAGATATTCATTTGAGTAACGATTTCTATCGATTATACAAATTTTTAAAGACTGATTTGTAGTCAATAAAGAATATTCATATTTTCAATAACTTTAATATGTTTTATGTGTATATGTGTCTGTAATAATGAAGGATCGATTGTTGTTAACAAAAAAAATTTTTTTTAAAATAATATTGAATGAATAGGATCAACCTATTGCAGTTCAAAAGCATCGACCCCTCGTCAACTCACACCTGTGAAATCAGTTGGGTGGCCTCAAAAATTTAGACTACCGATATCACATACTGAAAATTCCATACTTGTACCAAAAGTGCGGTATGGAATCAAGCTAAAATGAAATAACCATATGGATATTTTAAAAAGAAAAGAACACGAAGTTCAGCATTTGTCAGTAGACGTCGGGTTTGAGTTTTTAAGTTGAGATATTGATTACAGCAATCGAAGATTGTTGACTTAAAGTGTGGGAAATCTGCATCGAAGACTACTGTAATATCATGAGTTTGACTTATGAGGTTCTCGAATTGAATACACGTATGAAGTCTGTTGCTGTTATGATTAAAATCACAGAATTTTAGTCCGAAAGAGATAAAGCTTTTAGTTGTACCGTTGGTAACGGAACTGAAAAAATGATTGAAAACAAATTTATTAGGACTTCCACGGGCTTCAAGCTTTTGTTTAGATCTGATTTAACATATTCCACTCTTCTGTTCTGCACCAGAGTTAACGTATTCATTGAACGATTGTCTCTCACACACGATGATAATTCACAAAGAGCAGTAGATCGCTGAACTTCGTGTTCTCTTCTTTCTAAAATAAAATAAAACACAACTAAGTGTATCAGATAAATTATGAAAAATAAAAAAAAAATTTTAGAATGTGTAAGTTCTACAACAGACTAGGGTAGTGTAATAGTGTCTGGATGTGTTTCTTTCGCACGTCGAGTCCTACTTGTTTTCACAATAGCCCTCTGCTGGTTGAAGTGTTTTCTATCTAGAAACTCTATGCAGTTTTTATTTGATCTGTCCGATAGAAATATGATAGAAAAAGACTCTTCAATGTCCCGAGGTCAGGTGGTCTAATATATCTACTTTTGTTCGTTTTCACTACACCACTGGTAAGTGGTATATAGCATGAAATAACTAAATTCACGGAGCAATGGGCTGATATAAAGTTGACTCTAGATGAGGTATTGAATTGATACACAAATAAAAAGAAGAGATGGTTAGTCCTAGGTACTTTGTTATTTACTGATGTCATTTCAAACAATCCTCTTTTTCCATTCAAAAATTCGAAACATTGATTGTTAAAACAAAGAAATATTCATCCTTTCGATAACCCCCTTCTTCATCAGGTTCTACAATTACATGTATGCATCCATCTATAATAGTGAATGAAAGAATGTCTGTCTCGTTTCAACACAATACTTTGCACTGATGTGCAGCAGTTCCAGCCACCAAACTCCCTGCATGTAGCACACAAAGTCAGAGAAGAGGCAGAAAGTAAAAAGAAACGCAAAATAGAGACAGTAAACAGAGATATAAGGCGAAAAGAATAGCAATATCGAAGAACAATATAGTTTCATTGAAAATTATAAGTCACACGGAGTGGATGCATCTCCGCCAGCCATCGAGAACGAGGATTCTGAACCATGTCACCACTTGTCTCCAGCCTTCATTGGTTTTTACCGTCATCAGGACCCCCAACCAGGAAGCCAGTCTACACCGCCTCACGTGTCTGACTTAGACGAACTGTTGTGGACTTCATTGACTGATGAAGCCACCATGTTTTCGTTTGACCACCACTGACTCTTTTCCAACCTGACCCTATGTCAACTAATAATGAAGGAATGACTTCTGTTGACAACATTAGTGGTTTTTGTTTTTTAAAAAAAGAGAGAGTAACATCGAATCCTTTAGGAGAGAATTCCAAATGTTGCTTACAATTAGATTGTTCTAATAGATTATAATCCAAAATATATGTTTGTATGTGGTATTATGTATAAATGTAATCCTAAATTGAACATCAATATTACAAAGTAAGTGATTATGAGTGACAATGAATGTACTGAATGAATGAGTGTTGTTCATAACAAGTTCCATTCATTATTGATAACTCATTCATCTGAAGTTTATAATCAATATGAAAGGACCCTACTAAGAACGTGACTCATGACAATTTATTACTCTACATTCGTTTTCATTCATAATCATTTAGTTTGTTATATTGGTGTTCTTTTTAGTATTATGCGTACAATTATACATTTTACCACATACGCACATATTTTAGACTATAGCAAATTAGAACAATCTAATTGGATGGAAATAACATTTGAAATTCTCACCTAAATGATTCGATTGTAACAACAGAAGACAAGGGCCAGGCAAAAGATCGTTTATTAAGGAAATCAACACATATTTATAGATTTTCATATACATTATTATAGATTATTGTTAGCAGAAAAACACAGTCTTCTAATTGGTGGTTGTTTCTCACTGAAAGTTAATCTTTCATCTCTTTGTGGCTGTTTCTTGAATGTGTCAGATCATCTTTATGCTAACTGTATCCGCCTACGCAAAGTCTTTGTTCTTATTTTTCTCACGACCAATATTGGGGACATAAACATTGACGTAAATTATTGTCCACCAATTTTGGCTAACAACCAGCTCTCACCACAGATGTTACTCTCTTTTTTAAAAAAAACAAAAACCACTAATGTTGTCAACAGAAGTCATTCCTTCATTATTAGTTGACATAGGGTCAGGTTGGAAAAGAGTCAGTGGTGGTCAAACGAAAACATGGTGGCTTCATCAGTCAATGAAGTCCACAACAGTTCGTCTAAGTCAGACACGTGAGGCGGTGTAGACTGGCTTCCTGGTTGGGGGTCCTGATGACGGTAAAAACCAATGAAGGCTGGAGACAAGTGGTGACATGGTTCAGAATCCTCGTTCTCGATGGCTGGCGGAGATGCATCCACTCCGTGTGACTTATAATTTTCAATGAAACTATATTGTTCTTCGATATTGCTATTCTTTTCGCCTTATATCTCTGTTTACTGTCTCTATTTTGCGTTTCTTTTTACTTTCTGCCTCTTCTCTGACTTTGTGTGCTACATGCAGGGAGTTTGGTGGCTGGAACTGCTGCACATCAGTGCAAAGTATTGTGTTGAAACGAGACAGACATTCTTTCATTCACTATTATAGATGGATGCATACATGTAATTGTAGAACCTGACGAAGAAGGGGGTTATCGAAAGGGTGAATATTTCTTTGGTCTAACAATCAATCTTTTGAAATCATGTTTTCAATAGTACACTTATACACATTAAGTGTTACACAAACATAACAATTAACTCTGATAAAGTGAAGTTATCGGAAGTGTGAACGAATGTATAGTTTTTGTTCACTGTTTATCTATAAATGTCTTATAAATTTAATTGGTGGGTGGTGACTAGCTGTGGAATTCAGGACAACTCTCATTTTGTCCTGTTTGGGATTCGTCAACTCGATGTACCTGCATTGCGAAGTGAGTAGGGATGATGTTCCCACCGGGCTCGGACCCACTGCCCATAGTTTCAAACGCCAAAGCGTTATGCACTAGACCACTTGGGCCACGAGAGCCACCTCTTGGTTTCCACTGCTGGTCACCATCCACCAATTAAATTCTAATACATGCCAATACATCGTTCAAGCATCTGCACAAGAAGCCGGCAGACATGTCAACCTGAGATCGAGCACTTCGGTCCAATCAGTCGACGGGGGAATCTAAAATTCAATTGAATGTCTTATAAAAATGTTTGTGATTATGTATATAATTGCTGTCCCCAATATACTCGTGTGTAAGTGATAATTTATATTGTTTCTTTTCTTTTTCTTTCCGTTTACCATCCCATTTATTTTAGCTACGGATTTCAGTCTGTTGGATCCGGCAAATGATATGAAAGTAGGCCTCGTTTATTTTGTATATTCACAAACAGGAATCTATTACTTCTTCTTCCTCTTCTTGTTCTTCGCCTTTTTTAATACTCGAATCAGAATTCTGCGCCGACTCCTTGTTGTTTAAAGATGATCCGGAGTGTATAGGTAGTTGAGCTTGTGGGGCACACGTCATTTATTTGAGGTGGGCGGCTGAGGGGGGAGGAGGATTTCTCATCAGCCTAAATGGTATTGATTATCTATCAAATGTAAACACGGATACAAGAGGGTTGTGTGGCTTTTACTAACCTTCTTGTCTGCCTTCTCGTATAGGTGATATCCAGCTGTCGATTAATAGGCTGTGTGCAGTAGTTCTCTTTGTCTTTACTAATACTTGTGTGGAGATATGACCGCTGAAAGTATAAGGTAAGGTGAGGAAGTCAATTGATTAGGTTGTGAGGGTGCATCTATTGAGATATCTAGAGCAAATGTTACAGATTGCAACTCGTGTCCTTCCTCGTCTGACGTATGATGAGTTGGAATGCAGGAGGATGCATGCACACCCACTGACGAGTCACAAATATGACGAAATGCTTGTTTTCCTGGATTCCACTGCTAGTCACCATCAACTGGATTAACTTCTAATTACAAGCCTAGGCATAGTCGAAGCATCTGCACAAGAAGCCAACATGTCAAGCTGAGACTGAGCACTTCGCTCCAACCAATCGACGGGAAAATCTAAAATTCAATTAAATAGTTAATATGACCCGTTGCACAAGAGGTGGTTCTCGTGGCCGAAGTGGTCTAGTGGATAACGCTTTGGCGTTTTAAACTATGGGCACTGGGTATGAGCCTTGGTGGAAACATCACCACTCACCGGGGAATGCAGGTATATCCAAACGACGAGTCCCAAATAGGACGAAATGCGCATTGTCATGGATCCTACCTCTAGTCACCATCCACCAATTAAAGTTGGAAAAGAGTTGAGCTACGTTGGGAGGTGTGAACTGTCTGTCTGGAGTCATCGAAGATCCATTGGTAGAAATAGCCAGTATATATATATATATATATATATATATATATATATATATATATATATATATTTAATGCTGCGAGTTCTTTGTTACCATTGCAACTAACTTTTGCATAAGTAAAATTCACCTGAGAGAACGCTCTACAGGCACTCAGGTACAAGACATATTATCAGTCCGTGAAGTTATATGCCCCCGATAAAAGTTATCTACATAGTAGGTGGAATGTTGGTTTCCTGGTTGGGATACATTGAGACACTGAACGTCAATTGTCAAAAGCTTTTGGTGAGGTGATCCAATAGGTGGTAGATCTATCAGCCAACTCCTTAACATATACACTCTGTAGAGCTTTACTAACCCTCATTTCAATTTACTTAACGTATTGTGTAGTATCATTTTATTTCTATTCTGGTTTTTCGTGTTGTTTTACATACAGTGTGAGGCAACTCGGATTGATAGACTTTCTATGCTAAGTTTAGTTTATCAGATATACGATACCAACTACAAAGCATCAGGCAAATAACAAACTATGAGTGTAAATCATTGTCTGTGTACAGACTGCGCACTGTTCCTCTCTCTCTCTCTCTCTCCTTATTTCTCTCTTTGTTGTTTATACGATTTTCAGCAACCGAAAGATCTAAACTTAGAACCTGGTGGAGAATCTCGTTTAAAATATGGTCATTTATGGTTTCAACAAAGTACACGTTTCAAATGTCCTAAAGGTGAGTCAGTTAGTCAGTCAGTGAGCGAATGACTCAGTTTATGTTGCATTTTGTTTTTTCAGCTTTCCAATTTTTTTTTAATAGTGTGAAATATTTCCATATCATGATGAATTAAAAGTCAATCTAAAAGATGAATATTATTCTCAATAATTTCTTCTCTTCAGGTTGTTATACAATTATAAAATATAACATTTGTTTGAAAGAATTAATTCCGTTTATGAATTTAGACAAAGCAATAAGAAGATGTAATTCGTTGGAATCGTGTAGTACATTTGCGCAACACATTTTGAACAGTCGGATCCATCAGGCACACCACACTTGTCATAGGAATATATATAAAATTAATATTGATTAAAAATTAATTCTAATATATTAATTAGTTAATTAAGATGTGAGTAAATAAACTTGGGTCAAAATAACAATGAAGTTCACTAAACCCGAATAAGAGAGGTATTAGTATGTCTGCTGTGGTATGAAAACAAAGTTTACCAACAAGGAAGGTTTAGTTAATGTGATGACAAAGTGTTGCTTTCAACGCGTAAATATAGTTTACACTTGGATAGTGTGTTATTAGGAGACGAAGATTATCTGAAAAATGGGATGTATTCACGCTGAACATTTCGAAGAATCTGAGACCGAGCACTTCGGCCCAGTCAATCGACGGGAAAATCTAAAATTGAATTCAATAATCTGATCACGCATTTATCTGTCAAGCTTAGACTTCCTGATTGCTAGAACTTCCGCAAACGGTGGGATACGCCCTAAACACGTTCTATAGGTAGGTTTAAAAGATGTGTTAACGTCAATTCTATGTCCTGTCTCTGTAATATGTTTCGCAATAGAAGAGCTGGGTCTTCTGTTATCACCATTAAAGGGTTCTGAGGATTCTGTTTGCTTCTGGAGCCATTTAGGATGTGTGCCACAAATACATTACACGATTCAGATGAATTACGCCTTCTTATTGCTTTGTCTAAATAATATTTGTTGTTGTTACAATAATGATAGCCAGTTACGCGGTGGATAAATTTTTTAACGTAGAATAACAGATTACCAGTTATGGGGTGTCAAAATAAATAGTCGTATTTGTGTGACAAACGTTCTCTGGGCTGAAATCGATTATAAAACATTGTAAAATGGGAGACATTGATGGTGACTAATCATAATAGATTCGTAGAGTGTCAGTTCATGGCTATAAAAGGTGTCAGGTGAGTGAGTGGCTAGTCCAAAGTGGTATGTATTAAAGAGGAAATGTCTGTCTGTCTGTTTTCGACATAGAACTTTGCACAAATGTGCGGAAGTTCAAGTCGCCACACTCCGTGTAGCACGCAAAGCAAGAGAAGAAAGTACAAGAAAAGTATAATAGAGACAGTGAGCAGAGGTGTGAGACAAAGGAGTAATAAAGAAAAACAAAACAGTTTCATTGGAGATCATAAGTTACAAGGAGTGGATGCATCTGCGCCACTGAGAACGATTTTGAGCCATGTCACCAATTGTTTGCAACCATAGATTTTTACCGTCCCGAGGACCCCAGCCTGGAAGTCTACACCTTCCTACGTGGCTTAGACCAACTGTGGAGATAGATAATAAGTCTGCAATGGGAGGTTCATAATGAAATAACGAATGTATGAAATAAAACAGGTAGACGCGTATATTGAGAAAACAGATAATATCACTAGTGTAATAATAAGTTCAGATAGTATGAATGGAAACTTCGTTAGTATTGAACGTTTGCATGAAAGGCATGAATTATGACAAATAATAATAATAATTGTAATAATAAGCAAAAGGAAAAAATCCAAAAGGGTTAAGGGGAAGTAGCACTCCGGGTGAGAAGAAGAGGAATCATCAATCCAAGTTTCGCCACGGTTGGAACAGCGTCTGAACGTGTTCTTTTTAGATACAAATTTCCTGTGTCGTTGATCTTATTGTAACAGCTTCAGTTATATGTGTGTAGGAGACGTAAGTGAACTGTGCGTGATACCGACTTTGGAATTTGGTATATAACCAACCCTGAAGACTGTTTTGTGGCGTCGATGCGATGTCCAGTATCGACTAATTGTGACAGAATCGAGAGTTTTATGCAGTTTAATTTCCCTCTTGCTGAACCAAGCTGGTTAATTTTCTCAAACCCCTTAGACAAACCTGCCTAATCGTACTCCCTTTCAGATTGACTTTTAATGTTAATTGGAATTATTCGATTAGAATTGTGTTTACTTGAAAGAGTCATGTTAAGTTAGAGATAAAGTTGTGAGAAAAATAATTGGGTACTCGGAAAAGTAAAAGACCGATGGGACAAAGTACTGTGAACCCTTCTTGGATTATCCTCCGTTAAAATACTGTGTGAATCTGTAGTCAATATGATTGATTTTTTTTCCATAGTACTCAGTCGGTTTAAAAGAAATTCTTACGACGAAGTGTCAACTGAAAATTTCCCTCAGTTGTAGCCGTATCCCGTATTATTTAACTGATATATCCAAACCTAACTCTATACATGTCATTTTTATACGGCTGTTTGCACCCCACACTTATTGTTTTATGGTTAAATTTCCCCTCACAATACTTATGACTTTTGAAATATTATTGGTTGTTCAATGTCTTAATTTATCACTGACATTAGTGCTTCTCAAGGTCATTTTAAACGTAAATATTACTCTTTTCTGATAGCTGTCGTTTTGAAACGCTTAAAACGCCCTTATCAACATTCAGTCTTTTCTTCTGTTTGTGACCCGGAGGTGTTGTCATTGTTGTTGTTGTTGTTGTTTATGTCGTGCTATTAGGGGAGATTAACCAGCACATTAAAGTTAGTATTCGCTCGTTGTCTATTAGGTCGTAGTTCCGGTCATAACATTAACAAGAAGTTGTGTCACTGAATTTTATTCTTATTATCATCATCTTTTTTCTGATCCAACACCTTCCGATCCCTTTTGTTTTGAATTTTTTCACCCCTCTTGGAATACTCGAAGAGTAGTCTTCAATAATTGAAGATCACCCAAAAGTGGTTATGACTAAATGTCAACTTAAAATCTTCCTAAATTAAGTTGTGCTCAATTAGCTGACTAGCTAGCTAACTAACTAATTAACAAAAGGCAGTATCACGGAATATTTTTTTAATTACAATTATTACTGTTATTATTACTGTTTATGATGACCCCATGGCAAATTACGAGGCCTGAGCTTCGTATTTTGCATAGCTAGTGCTTCAGCTATGTGCCCAGATGCCTTGTTCCAGCTTCCTTTAATGATTGATTTGATTGAATCATGCGTAGGATATTGAAAGACTTTTCATCAAAAAGAGTTGAATGTCCGGAGTGTTCACCAGATGTTCTGTTACCAAGCTACGCAGACACACAAACTTACATTCTCCCTTTTCTAGCCAGGCTTAATGGAGTTTCCCATGCCTCTGCAGCTTATAAAACGTGCTAGGGAACACTATCCAACGAGAATCTCAGATCAAAGCATCTAGGCACATAGCTAGAGCTAGAGAAGAAAGTACAAGAAAAGTATAATAGAGACAGTGAGCAGAGGTGTGAGACAAAGGAGTAATAAAGAAAAACAAAACAGTTTCATTGGAGATCATAAGTCACAGGGAGTGGATGCATCTGCGCCACTGAGAACGATTTTGAGCCATGTCACCAATTGTTTGCAACCATTGATTTTTACCGTCCCGAGGACCCCAGCCTGGAAGTCTACACCTTCCTACGTGGCTGGCTTAGACCAACTGTTGTGGATTTCATTGACTGGTGCCAAGTTTTTGTTTGACCGCCGCTAGCTTTTTTCCAGCCTGACCCTATATCCGCTAACATAGCTCGTCGAGGGAGGCGATGGCTTGGCATACGTAACATATGTCCTAACCGTCTCAGTCTTTGTAACTTCACATTATGAACTTCATTATGAACAGTCGCTTATTTATCGCAATAATGATTATCCTATTACAATTATTATTATCATTATTATTTTTATTTATTATATCTATAAAATCCTTTATCTGTTGTGTGCTTTGTTTGATTTTCGATGCATTCTGTGTTTCTTATTTTGAATTTATTTTATCTAGAATCAAAATACTAGTAATTGTATATAATTTTTCCTATAAATAAATTTAATAATAATAATTCTTTATTCAATATAAACTGAATTGTAGTCAATAGGCGCTTATTTTGACGATGTATTCTAGTGTAAATGTATTAAAGCGTTTTGATAACGATAAGCGTATATATATATCTGTATACGCCCTTCGGGATAAATTACAGCTGACCTAGTTCTCGGATAGTATATATATATATATAATTGTGATACTCTGGATTATGCAAAAGACAGCGCCTAAGGAGACTGAGAAGACATAAATACGTTTACTGATAAGATGACTGTAGGAGACTAGGACTTTACAGATGATTTATTTAGCATGTGGAACAAACTCGACGACTTACAGGCGAAAATCAAAACGTAGGTAGAAGAGACAGGTAACGTAGACAGAACTTCAAGTGAACATAGAGACTATGGAGATCACCTCCCACGCTTATTTGTGCAGTAGTATCGTTCCAGCTCCAGCCTACAGTCTGGATGGGGATGTTAAAACCAGAGTCGGATTTTAAACACTAATCCTAAGTCAATCACTCCTTCTATAAGGGTCAGAAACTTGGCGTAGGTGTCAGGAAAAGCGTTTACAACAGGCTTCTGAGAACTTTTATCAACAACTGCCCACTACACTATCTCCTTACTGAAGATCAGATCACCGATCATAAAGAATAAGTGACAAGGTACTCTGGCGGGTATTGGACCAATCACCAACCTACTGGTCAGCAAATATTCCGAACAAGATGGAGATGGATATGATGCACACCACAGAGACTGTTGAGTAGCATCACATTGGCCATTGAGATGAATCAGAGTAGGAAACAACAAGTTAGGCGTCTGAAAGTGACATGGAGGACACCGTGTGTGGAGGAGATCAGAGCCTACGAGCAACTGTGAGTCCAGCTGGAGAGGACTGCAAAGAACATGACAAAGTGTAGATTGCTGTTGAAGGCGTATGTTCCACTTAGAACCTAAAGGAATAATAAATATACATTTGTGACATGAGCTGACTGCTAGCCATATTGAAAGACAACAATTTACGTCAATGTTTCGTCTCATATCTTGGTCATGAGAACAAAACAAGAACAAAGACTAACTCAACAACCAATCACATCAGACCTTGTGTTGGCGGATACGATTAGCAGACATACGAACGGACTGTCTAAAAAATAGCCGCGAAGAGATGGCAGAATAACTTCCAGCGAGAAAACAATCAATCAGAAGACGCTGTTTCTCTACTGACAATAATGCTAATAATAATGTACATATATATATCTATAAATATCTGTTGATTTTGTCAATAAACGATCTGTTACCTGGCCCTTGTCTTCTGTCGTTACATAGACATCTTTGTTGTTTATGTATTTATAACCTATTCAATATACATACTAAACATTTATTCTTCTTTAACTTAGAAATGATGTAATAATAATGAACTGAATTGGAATTTCTCAACGTTGATCTCTGCACAGATATGCATAGTACTTCAAGTTGTTATTCGTGACAGAAAACACACAGAGAGCTTTAGAGAATGATTTTAATAGGCTATTATTCTTGGAGTATCAATATGGAAGTTAGAATTCATGTACCATCAAGTTGGCTCCCAGTGGCTAAATGGTCTGTTAGCTTTTCTTGTAAGTGGTATGTGGTTCGGAATGGTGTAGTAGATGCGTTCTGCTGACGAGTCCCAAACTAAGACAACACAGATGTCCGGCATTCGTCACCGGTCTCCTAAGTGATATCGATCCGTGGTCAAACAGGCGTCATAGTATTTTAATTTATCAGAATTTCGGTATGATAAACATTACTAAGATGGTGTACATCCTCACTGGTGAGTATTCAACACTATATGATCACATATTATCTCAAAGTGTTTATTTTCACTATTGTAATTTTCGTCTCATATTTATAATTTGCAGCCAATGTAGCAGTTCATCTATGGTCTGGTCTTGTAACAAAGACAAAAGAAAAGTAAGTTGGATAAATGTTTATTTGCTTGCCATCACCATATATGTAAATATATGATGTCATCCCACCAACTAACTAGTTGCTCCTCTCATTCGTGTTCCACTCGAGGACCTGTCTGGCGTGTCATAGCATCCAACGATCTCCCCAGCTTGTATCCGATCCATCTCCATACTCTCCGACATATTTGTTGGTTAGGCAATGGCTTCTTGGCGTATTCTTCGCTTGACAGCGTATTTTCTTCTTTATTGCTCATGATTTCCAGCCAACCGATTGGCCATCTGATCTTCAGTTCACAGAGAAGGTGACAGACAACTCTTGTTGAAAGTATGCAGTAGTCCGTTGGAAATGCTTTTACTGATGCACGCGAACATCAAGTCTCTGACCGTATAGTCGAAGCATTAACTGACTTGATATTAGTTTTGAAGATCTAAATACTGTCGTTTCTGCTGAACACAGTAGACTTCGACAGTGATTTCTGATCAATAAAGATCTGTCATGCTCCTGTGAACCCATCCCGTAGTTGGCTTTGATATCCTCATTTGTTCCATCTGTCTGTTATTGAAGTTATGCTGCTTAGATAAATGAAAAAAGGTGTGATCTCCTTAACATTTCTCCTGTCGATACTAACCTTCACTCAATAGACTGATTTTCTATTGAAAACGTATGAACATAATATATCGGTTATCCTCACTACCGTTATAAAATGTTTGGGTAGCATTTATATCATAGAAATTGTAAGTTGAGTTTGCTCACTGATGGAGGTGATTGCAAAGCAATAACCCCTCATATGGGAAGTTATATTAATTCATGGTGTTTCATTCTGATTAAGGCATATTTAGCGAAATCTTATGATGCCTTTTGAGTATGACATGGAGATGTTTGGCTAAAATACATGGGTTCAATTCCCTGTCCGCCTACTTCAACTTGAAGTGTCACCAGCTCTTAGGCAATAATTGTATGATTGCTACTCCTCCTGACCGATTGCTGTTACCTTGATGTAGTTGTCGGGCTTGCATAATCGCAATGACCTGACGAGCTACACTGACTGGAACTATTGTTCCTGCAGATCCTACCATGCCAGGAAGGTTGTTAGTAGAGCGATTTAACTAAAAGTAGTTACTAGCTTAGTGTAAGAATTTCTCTCATACTATGCTAGGGGTCTGTGGATGAAGTCGTACTGATGGAGAATAGGGATGTAACAGCAGTGAGGTGTTTCTCTTAGATGACCAGCATGTCAGCTATGCTGTGTTTCCATTCTGGACAGAGAGGGGGTTAGAAAAGGTTGACCCCAACAATTGTACATCCCGACTCACTCCACCGATGGTGGTGGTCCGTAACTGGCGGTGAGTTTACTAATACGGAACCAAAACAAGAAATCATTTCATACAGGTCGTGTGTGACCGGCTTCAAGCAGTTGTCCGCTGGGCTCTACGGTCACGCAACACTAACCGTCTTTCTGTTTCAGGTACCTGAAGAATCAACCTACTTTCACGGTGTGTGGGCAGCCGGAAAGTAACAACCGCCCACATACTTCAAATAGCACACAGAGAGGCAATTGCTACCCCTGGATACATGTAAGATCTGTTCTGGGTTGAAGCGTCGTCTCATAAGTTAGTTTATTGTGACAGTGTAAGTGATCTGTCAATTCGTCCTCTCAACCTGTTCATCATATGGATACAGTATTACCTTCTAGCACGATGAGAGTTTTTACGAATAGTTTAGTTCACATGATTATTGAATATATCTGTTATAGAATAATTGCAAACCAACCAGATGGTACTGGACACCCCTTTGTCCTACTTTGGCATTCATTGTCAGTACGTATCAACCCACTGTGGTTCGAATCCATAACCTTCCGGTTATATTGACTATTCAACCACTGGGACCCGACTCAATGACTAGCCCATGAATTCTAACTTCTATCAATCCGAGAATTCTTTTTCAACACGACCAGCAGTCAAGATTTGTTAAAAAGAAAACCATTGTAAGTGTCTCTAATAGACAATGGGGATCTGCAACACTGCTGCCCACCCGACTGAGAATCAAGACAATAGATAAAAACTTCCAAGTAGTTTGATAGTCTAATTCGATTCGATACCAATTCGTCATGTGAATTGTTGGAGATTCTAAGGTAGTTTAACATTACATAAAATGTCCTGTTTTTTCAAATAATAAATGGTGGGACAGACAAGCGCAATAATTACAATAAAAAAAACTGTTCAAACCGAAAGACACAAAGATAATAACAATTATAATAACGGAAATACTGCATAGGTAAAATAAACAAGACGTAGGTGGGGCAGTAACTCATCGGAGAAGACATTGCGAAGTGGTCGCACTATGTTATGAATTGGCAGGTCCCAGTGAGTGGCTTAATGGTCTACGAGCTAGCTCGCCTTGTCACCAGAAGGTTTTGGGTTTGACCTCCACGATGTGGGTGCGTACTGATGAAGAGCCAGTACTCCAGTGATGGTTTTCCAATAGTTCTTTAACTGATGTCAGCTCATAATGAAATCCTTCAACCAATCAAATAAATATATGTTTATTCCCCTGCTGTCAAGGGGCTGCACGTACTTCTTTTGTGTATATAAACGTCTGAGTTGAATTCATGGATAGCTGCTACCTCTGCTGTCTTCGGATGTTTGTAATGCGGTAAAACGCGTCAAGTTAGCACGAATTCCACAGATAATCTTAAAATCATGGTCAGGGTTGATAGAGTAACACAAATCGATCAAGTGTATTATAGGACAGACCTCTTTGACAGCCTTCCTTTCTCTCTCTCTCTCTTGCTGGAATACACCCTTGTGTCCGGGTGGAATGCATTCTTTGACTAAGATCGATGTACCTTGTTCCATATAAGCAGGCGAATTGTTAGATGCACATGGATGTGATTAAATAAGGCAGGCAGCTTTTGTTTCTATATTAGAGACAAAGAACAACTTAAGGCTGGTCAAGGTGATTTGAAGTTTCATTGCAATGAAAGTCTTACTAACTGATCTGAAGTTTGAACTTGAGTTGCTGGCGAGACTGTTGGTATTGGACACGGACGGACACGGTTTTGAATCGCTTTCAATGCCTTAGATGTATTCACTCTTTATGTGATTCTCCGTGTAGATTCATTAATTCTTTATTATTCTCTGTGTAATTATTTTTCCACTTTTACATGTTCACTTTTATTATAGTGTCTTTGTCTGTTTTCAATTTACAGCGTAGCACTGCATGCACTAATGGTCTTCGGTTTTAATCAATCTCTAAGCACAATAACTTATGAAGCTAGTGAAGCAGGATTAGAGTGAGTTTGATTCAACTGAATATATATATATATGTTTAAATACTTTTTTTCTTGGGAGTGACCCAACGACGTAGTCGATAATCCTCTCACGTATTAAACGATGGGTGTCACTGATCGCGAGTCTGAAGAAAAAAAATTTCCTTTACGTTCCCAGGCTTCTAGCTAGAGCTTTTTTGAAGTTTTGGTGACAGTGGTATTTACTTATTTTTCCGGGATGAGGTTGCTAACCTCCTGCCCAACTTTCCCTCCTTACCAATCTTATTACTGCTGGCTTAGTGAGGTAAAGGCGTGCGTTGTCGGCCGGTGATCGAACCTCGGACCGCCTGCGTAGTTAGCGAGCATTTTATCACTGTACCACTGGCGCACAGGGCTTGAATCTCAGTTAGGGAATATTACCACTCACTAAAGATGCACTGTATGTAGCCATCTGGTGGTGAGTCCCAAGTGGGATGATGCTACATACACAACCGCTGAATTTCACTTCTTACCACCATGTAACAAACAATTTTTAGTGGTTAGTCCTTGTGGTTATCTAGACAGTCCGTTCACAAGGAAGAGACCATGATGCACCCGACTGAAGCTGATCAGTTTCGGTCACACACACACAGGAAATTACAAACACGAATGCAAATAGCGTTTCCACTTTTAGTGTACAGCTTTGTACGATATTTGCGTTATAAGTGGCTGACTGACTGGCCAACCGGTTTCTATATAGAGCTGTACTCACAAAGACAATTTCACTTGCCAAACTTCATGTACCACAAAAAGAAGACGAGAGAGAGAGAGAGAAAGGGAAATAGATTCGAAGGGACAATGATAGGCAGAAATGTGAGGGAAAACGAAGAGTAACATGGAAAGACAATAGGATTTTATTGGATATAGGAGAGATCAAAGAGAGAACGATTTTTAGCCATGTCTGTCTGTCTGGATTCAACGGAGAACTTGGCACCGAAGTGCAGCAGCACTTCGAGTTGCCACCTTCCAAATACCACACAGAGGTAGACAAGAAGATGAGTGAAGAGAATCAATAGAGTTTGACAGGTATAAGAGCGAAACAGAATGGGTAATGGTAGAAAGAAATATGAAAGATTACAGAGACTGAATACATCTGCGCTAGCCATTGACAACGATTTTGAGCCATGTCACCTATTGTCTCCAGCCATTGATTCCTAGAGTCCTGAGGGCCCCAACTCGGAAGTCTGCATCTCCCTACCTACTGTCAAGGATTTCATGGATTTCTACGCCTAACCTCAAAATTATTCACCCTGTTGTACTACATAACATGTGAAACAGGATGCAAACACGTGTGGTCAAAGACACACACACACAGCTAGCTAGTCTTTTCATATCTTCCACTTTCAGCGACCACGTCTCCTAGCCATGAAGGAGGATGAAGAGCACTGGTGGTGTGTAGTACACGCGCCCTATGATCGATACATAACTGGATATATATCACGTCAACGCCAGGGATAGTGCAATTTGAAAAATCCATAAAAAAAACCGTCAGCATTAATCAGCATTTGGCGCTGCTGGTACAACTTCCTAAATTAATGAAATGGTCAACACGCTCTACCATTTCACTTCTTATCTTTAAGCTACGAGTCAATAATATCCAATCCTGTAGCTATCATCATTTTACATTCGACACGAGGTGATCGCATGGCAAGCATTCGAAGGTTGCTGCTTCTCAAGGTGTGTTCACAAGACTCCGCATTTTATCAGCGTCCTCACCTAGAATGACTGTATCATTCTCAAATTCCAAGTTGCCAAGACTAGTATTCTCAGATGACAAGTCAATCCCTAAATCACTGAAGTCAGTTGGGCTTATTTCCATTAGTACATCTATGCTGAAATTCTACAGGATTAGTGTAGGGAATGGTTGCGTATGGTTATTTTTTTTCATTGAAAATAGACATTGTGTTCACTAGAGATTGACTACTAGATGAACTACCTAGTGTTCTACTCAGAAGTTGTAACTATTGAGGTCATAAAAGTCGGCTGTGTGAACCAATACTCGCAGATGTAGATTGGCTGGCAAGGACGTTGTGTATATATTTCGCAAATAGACATAGAAATTAGGATTTATCGACCAGAAATTGGTCTCCGTCCTTAGTGGCTGAATTTAACGGTCAGCGAGTTCGCTTTATAACCTGAATGTCTTTCGTAAGTTCGATGTCTGATGGATAGATTAGTTGATGGGTGTGCATTGTTGAAGAGTCTCAAACTGGTAAGACTAATCAGTTGTGTCCTGTATTCCCTGCATTTCAGTGGTACTCTGCTTGATGGTAACTTGTGGTTTAACTTTAAAAGTTTGCCATGTTTTTGTTTGATTTGTGAAGTGCACAAAGAAAGAGGGAAACAGCATTATTATTACGGTGATTATCGATCTCGCTTGACAAGGAAAACTGTGCCGACGAGTATGTCAATGCATATTTCTTGTGATCGAAGCTGCACACCTGAATTAAATGTATTTAGTGTAGGTTCGCAAGGAATTAATTGTTTACAGTTTTAATCACTTGCTGACATAAATTAGAGGACCATTAGAAAACAATCTGGGAGTACTGCTGAATAGCTGTTTCGTCCTAGTTTGAAACTCTTCAATGGTACTTATCTACCACTCACTCAGGTAAAGAGAACAGTTACTCCTCTATGGCATTGAGTTAGAAATCGGTAGAATTTTGAACTCACTGTCGATTTGTATCAGGTCCCACCAGCTGAGTCGTCTACGAGCTCAGAGTGTTACCAGAAGGTTCTAGGTGAGAACCCCGGCAGGTTCATATTACCGACGAATCCTAAAATAGAACGAGACGGATGTCCAGTACACTCCCTGCTGGTTTGTGATGTCAACTCATGATAAAATAAGTTACCAATCAAACCCCTGCAAAGCAACACTTAATAATTCGTCTTATACTTGCTCTCTGGCGACTGGCTTTAATGCAGGAAGTTACCTTGTTTTGTGATAAGAAGTTGTAATCGGTGTAGTTCATGAAGTCTCAGGTAGGTAAGAGAGCAATTACTCGCCTTCTTCATAATCTGGCAGTCACGTGCTATGTCGTTAAATATATGTCTGTCTTTTTTCGACATTATTTATTTTCATTCTACTATATTTTGTGCCTACTACTACTACTTTAATTTTACTTTTTGTTCTATATCTCTGTGTTTTGTAGACAAGATGTTAGATTCCGGGACACTGGTTTATGTATTTATGTCAGTGGTTTTAACGAAAAACTCTTCGTAAGTTTGTGAATTAAAGCCGATATTTATCCTTATTACTCAGGCAGTACTAGGCAGTATCGCCTCCCCCCCCCATGCCATCATGAAGGAATTCATATCCATCCTGGGATTTGGACCCATGTCATCCAGTGCTACAGTCAGAGACTCTACCAGTGAGCTATTCGGCCCCATGATTGACTGCGCCTGTGTTGGCTACTTTGATTGACACTAGGTTATAACTTGTGTAAGGCGTCTAGTCTGTTGTTTGGTGCAAACTGCATTTTTTCTCAGCCATGTCAGCAATGTGACCTTCAAGCTAGGTAGGTTGCTGGCCATCAAGGTGCACTCTAAATTCGTGTTTAGGTGGTTGGAGCTTCTTGCTAGTCATCAGCAGCACGATGTATCCTACAGTATCGAAGAAACTCATGCTTCATTTAAGAATCGAACTTGGATCATGCATTATGAACCTCAGCTATAGATCAGTTGTCAATATCTGTCCGTCTACGTTTGGTGTAAGCTCTTGATTATTGACTTTCTGAAGTATGTGTATATTCGGATATATTAATAGATGATAGTATATGGCTGAGTAATGTGGGTGGGTAGGTACCACTCACATATACCAGTAGAGCCTGCTAGCCAGTCAGGCAGAAGTGGTCTAGACATAGTAGATGACAGGCTGCCTTTTCGCGACTGGCACTAGCCAATATCATTAACGAATATTTATCCTCACTCCTGACTGAATAGACCCCTCACTTGTTCTCCAGTCAACTTCATCATGCTGTCAATCACTAGTTGAATGGCTGAATGATCTACGAGCGCTTGTCTTGCAATCGGTAGGTCGTGGATTCAAAACCCGGTGAGTGCATAATAGTGCAGCACTGATGAGTCCCATTCTAGGAAGAAACGAGCAACTTTCCAGTATTTGCAGTTGGTTTTGAAACACTTCAGGGATTTCTTCGTTTTCTTGTACAACTTATTGTAGTCTCTAAACCATTCGAGATAGGTTCAACAAATGGATCTGGATAATTGTTGATATTAGATGGTTGGATGCAATCAGCCGTAGAAAACCTCGTCAGACCTAGGTTTCGTGCTAGTTGGCATTCACGCGTCAGTCAACAAGGTCAACCCTGCAACCTTGAAGGAACTTATGTCCCTTCTGAGATTCGATCCCGCCTCAGCTAAAGAGGAGTGCAGAAAACAAGATCAAATGGGGGTAGTGTGCTGTTCAAGCTGTGTGTTCCACTCTGAACCCAAGGGGTAGTAATAATTATAATAATAATAAATAATGACAATGCATATTCGGCGTAGTATTTCGTCACAATAGTTAGCGAATCTTTGAAACTATGGTACACCGGATTAAATTACGGTCAACATGCCTGCTTCACAACTTAAAGGTGCCAGATTCCATTCCTACTGGTAAGGTCTTGATTTAGGGCAGCGCTATCATTATCATTATTATTATTATTGTTCCCTTAGGTTCCTAATGGAACATAAGGCTTCAACTGCACATCTCCATTTGCTTCTGTCTTCTGCTGTACTTTTCACCTGCATCCATGTTAGTCCATACTGTTTCAACTCCTCTTCACACGATCCTCGGGGCTTTTAGCTTCACCTTGAAAGTCCCTTGTACTAGATAGTGGTCTGAACCCACATCTGCTCCTCTCCTCGACTTTGTGTCCAGTAGGCTCCGTATCCACTTTCTTGAAATTGAGATGAAGTCTATTTGGTTCTTGGTGTTTCCATCTGGTGAAATCCATGTCGTCTTGTGTATATCCTTGTGTTTGAACACACTACCACCAATCACCGGATCATTGAAGGCGCAGAAGTCTGAGAAGAGTTCACCATTGTCGTTCCCTTCGCCGAGGGCCTCACGACCCATGGTGAGTTCTCTTCCTGTGTTGCCTCGTCCCAGCTTCACATTCATGTCGCCCATCAGGATTTTGATATCGCCATTCAGGACGTTGTCCATTACTGTTTGTAGTTGTCTGTAGAAATCCTCCTCCTTCTCTTGTTCTGAGACGTTTGTAGGCGCATAGCATTGAATGACTGTAACTTTCCTTCCTTTTGAGTTGAACCTGGCTGTCATTATCCTGGAGGAGATTGGTTCCCACTGCATGCGAGCTTTGGCTGCTGTTGGTGACATCATGATGGCCACTCCCTCGGTGTGCTCATGGTTGTCCTCTAGGTGGCCGGAATAGATTACTGTCTCTCCAGTAGGTAGTTGGCACCTTCCAGTTCCGTTCCATCTGCTCTCGCAGATTCCCAACACTTCTATTCTATACCTTCTCATTTCAGCGGCTATCTGGGCAGCCTTTCCAGTTTCGTACATTGTACGAACATTCCAGGTACCCATCCTTATTTTTGCTTTCGTCGAAAGAAGGCACATCGGCTGACTGGCTTCCCGAAGGCTTTGACCAGCCTGCATCATTTCACTTCCCCGATTCCAGTGAAAAATAAGGTTATTGTTTATATTTTTAGAATTTTTAATATATTTGTGCATTGAAGTTTCTGTAGCGATTTGGTTAAGTTTTGGGGGAATAGTTGCTAGCCCACGCCCCAACCCTCCCTCCTTATCTGGGCTTGGGACGGGCTAGAAAACTAGCAAGTTGGTAATGTAGGCGAGGTTTAGAGCAGCGATACATATCATAAATTCACGCGTCGTTGAATTTCAACCCAACTAGTTGAATCCGCAACGTGCCTGGTCTCGTAACCTTGACAGTCTCAGGTTTTACTTTGTGAAAAGACCCTAATTGTAACAGGATAGCTGTCTTGTGTTTGTATATTCTGTCTCTTTGGTAAACTATTAACTAAATTGTCTTTACTTTTTGTTAACTTTTCACAATTAATAGTCTTTCTATTCAACTGTTTTGGATCATATTATGGATCAAACAAATGATTTATCTAAGGAATATTTTGAATCATATCGTGATGCTGCTCTTAAGTTATACTATAATCAAGCACTTAAACCAGATGCACTTAACACGTAAGTGAAAAAATATATTTGAAAAAAAAATCTCCTCTTTTGTTTTCTTACTCTTCAATCTTTATATGTTGTAAATAGTTTGGTTGGGAATCCACATCAACTGACGTGTCTAATCACCATCTGGTTTTAGGAAATAGGGACACTAAGTTGGATAGAGACCTGTTGATCACGACTATCGACTGGCTAAGCCAGCACAACATTATATGATGGCTACCTGTTTATCCAACTCGCACTGCCTGAAAGAGAACACACAAATTCGTTAACTTCTGTTATGTGTGAATCAAAATATCACCAAGGTTACATGAGTTAATCTGTAATCTTGATCAATAAAATAGTGGGCGTTATTTCACGGGGTCCTATTCTGATTGGCTAAATTTCCAGATTGGGTATTGATCATGCATGTGGGCCGAATTCTGATTGGTGTATTTCCAGACTGTCTTTCGACTAACATATGACTTTCATTATAATAAAGGTTTTTGTATTCCCCAATGAATGAAAAACAAAACGATATTGTTGCTTTTACTGACGTCTCGCTATTTAATGCTAATAGCTTTCTCAAAGTAGTATTATTAAACCAGAATTTACAAAATCTCAGCATAAATATATATATATATATATATATATATATATATATATATATATATATATATATAACAAAGAGTTAAGGGGTGAGAAAAAATATAGACTTAGTTCAACTTAAAAGGACATATTGAAAGTCGAAATAACAATGAAGATCGTTCAAATTAAATACCAAAGAGAATAGTATATCAAAACAAAGTTTTATAATTTGATCATCGTTCGTCAGTCTGGGTCGTTTTTTGTTGTCAAGTTGGCGAATTGGTAAAGATAACAAAATCAAGTGTAGATTGTTGGATTTTATCAGTGTGTAGAATTATGAAAGTAGTGTGTGTTTACATAGTGAACTTGCTTATCACATTTGTGTTGATTTTGCGACTTCATAGGGGAGGAGGGTGTTGTAACCAGGTCAGATTCTGTTTTAGTCCATCATTCCTATTCGGCTCAGACAATTTGGATTCCACTTGATATGAATTGCTTCTGATATTAGACGTTCTTTGTGGTTTCTGAAGTTTTTCTGGATTATTTCAATATTGTCAAAATCAATTTTGTGGCCTGATTCTATAGCATGTAGACCTATGGCTGATGATTTTTGAAGTTTTTCTAGTTCAATTGGATTTCTTGGTGGTCGAAGAGATGCTCTACGGTGTTCATTTCTTCTGATTTTGATTTCTTGAGATGTTTGTCCGATGTAGATCGCATCACATTCCGAGCATTTTATTTTATAGACACAATCAGATAGAGAATCTTTAGGGATTTGGTCTTTTATGTGGACAAGGTTGTTTTGAAGTGTGTCCGATGTTTTGAAGAAAACTCTAATGTCGAGCTGATTGAGTACTCTTCAGATGTCGTCTGATGTCTCTGCTCTATATGGAATGACGACTGTTGAGGTCCATGTTTTCGGCCATACTTAATGCCTGCGTTGATTTTGTTGATGAAAGTCCTTGGGTATTTGTTTTCCTTGAGTGTTTCAATAATGTTTGATATTTCTTCTTCTTTTTCTTGCTCATCCGTTATCGGAGAGTGTGCTCGTCTAAGAAGACTTGAAACAACTGAAATCTTTGCGCTGATGGGGTGTGATGATTTGAAGTCTAAATATTTATTCAAATCATGTATATATATGCCTTTTCATTTCTAAATTACCATCACTCAGTGTTATGCATTAATTATGTGCTACTAACCCCATTGTTTTGCGTAGACTATACCACTCCCAGTATCTCTGTACTACTGGTACCATTGGGAATTTCATTTTACAAAATTATTTATTATCTTGATTGTTTGGTATTCGCCCTGTTTTTCATTCTTTGAATTCCCAGTGGAAAATATGGCGGTTGGGGCCTCGAGTTATGAAGTTTCAATAGACTTGACACCAATCCTCCAACGAGAGCTGAAGGCTTGAATGCGATCAAGCTTCTGAAAGCTCGAAAAGCAGCTTGACCAGATGGAATACCTCCCGAAGCACTGAAAGCGGACTCAGAGACGACACCAAATATGCTGACTCCATTTTTGCAAAAAGTCTGGAAGGAGGGAAAGGTGTCTACTGACTGGAGGAAAGGTTACCTCGTGAAACTACCAAAGAAAGGCAGCTTAGGACTCTGCAAGAACTGGCGAGGAATCATGCTTCTGTGGACGTCAAGTAAAATGCTGAGTCGCATCATCCTGGAGAGATCAAAGGACGCACTGGACACAGAACTCCGACCAGAACAAGCTGGATTCAGGAAAAGCAAATCATGTACTGACCAAATTGCATCTCTACGCATTATTATCGAACAAAGCATGAAATGACAAACAAACCTCTACCTCAACTTTATAGACTTTGAGAAGGCCTTCGACAGTGTTGATCGCGAAGTAATTTGGAAATTTCTCGAGTACTACGGCGTACCCCAAATATTCATCAACCTTATTCAACAACTGTACATGTCACGTGATCCACAACGGAAAACTCTGAGGCGTTTGGAGTAAACCCAGGAGTCAGACAAGGGTGCTGGCTTATTATCACCAATGATATTCCTAATTGTGATGGACTGACTGGATTATGCGTCAGACAGTTGGAAACGAGAAGACAGGAATATCCCGGACCGACGCGAAGTACCTAGAAGACCTGGATTTCGCGGATGACTTATGTTTGATGTCACACAATCCGGAGACTTACAAGCAAAAATCGACAAACTGTTCGAAGAAGCAGCCAGAGGAGACATGACTCCAAGTGAACATAGACAAGATGGAGGTTATGAAAATAACCAGCCAACAACAACAACAGCAGCAACATCCAGCGTCTATCACTATCAACGGGAGGGATTTGAAAGAGGTTACTTCATTCACTTATTTAGGGAGGGAGCATTGTCTCAACTACAGGCAGTCGGAACGGACGAGGATGTGAAATCAAGCGAGAATCGGGTGGGGGGCGAGGAACACAATCATCAACCTGAAACTAATCTGGAAATCTTCGTCACCCAACTTCATATCAACAACAAAATTCGGTCGGATTTTCAATACAAACGTCAAGTCAGTCAGTTCTTCTATACGGATCAGAAACATGGCGAACGGGTCACAAAGAATATTTCCAACAGCCAGTTGCAGACCTTTATCAATAACTGTCTTCGGTCTGTACTGAAGATCAGATGGCCGGGCTGGAAAGAATCGCCAACAAGAAACTATGAGAACAAACAAACAAAACAAGAAGCAATCGCCTAACAACAGGAAATATGCAGGAGAAAATGGAGATTGATTGGACACTCGCTGAGGAGGCCGCCGCTGGGTGACATTGCGCGTCAGGCCGTCGCGTGGAACCCGAAAGGGAAGCGGCGAGTGGGACATCAAAGAGTGACATGGAGAAGATCGTGTGAAGAGGAATTGAAACAGTATGGACTAACATGGATACAGGTGAAAAAGACAGCAGAAGACATAAGCAAGTGGAGATGTGCAGTTGAAGCCGTAGGTTCCACTAGGAACCCAAGGGAGCAATAATAAAATAATAATAATAATCAAATCCAACAATCTACAATTGGTTTTGTTATCTTTACCAATTGGTCAACTTTACAACGTGAAAGTTACCCGATGCGGATGAAGGGTGGTTAAGTTGTTGTATATAACCGGAGTGGATTTTGTAAGTTATGGTCTAATATTACTGCTTTAATAACGCTATCAGCAGCAGCAGGATTAAATAGCGAAACGTTGTGTTTTTTGTTCATTCATTGGGAAATACAAGATCTTTTATAATCGTAATTATAGCGCATATTATTCAAAATAAATAATCACATGGGAGGAGTTGGGATTCATGGTGCATTGAATCGGATCCCAGTGGCTTGCCTTGTAACCGGTAGGCCCTAGGTTCGAACCCGACGGTTCTAGGTGCACACTGTCGGCGAATCCCAAACTAGGCAGATGATGAAACAGCTTTCCAGTACCCCCAGCTGATTTTCAATAAACTGTTTTCTTTCTTTCTTTTCACCGCTTCTTTTTTCTCTCGTTTCAACAGACATCTTCAAGTTTATCTTCTTCGTCGTGAAGCCTTCCTGCTAACAGATTTATTAAATACGTTGAAAGATCTGTCTGTAGCTGATTTAGCAGCCTACAAACAGCAATTCTTCTCAAATCTTCATATAACTGTATATGCATATGGTAATATTAGAAAAGAGGTAAGCCAACAGTCGTTGTATATCTTGATATTATGACGCCGTTAGATTCTTTGGTCAGAACTGCTATCCTGAGACTTAAAAAATACACACCTATTGACTCTTGGCAGGGCACTTTGAGGGAGCAGGTCAACTAACTAGCTAACATAGTCAGCACCAAATATTGTGTTCTCTCTGAATGAAACTGTAAGTAGTGGAACGCTACATGACAACTGCCGCCTAGATCGCCTACACCCGACACTTTTTAAACCTACCGGTCGCGTCTTACATACTGACAGCTGTCTTGCTTCACAGACTGTGCAAATATGTGAGGAATTGATTTGCGAAGAATAGGCTGAGTTTAGTTCAAGCAGTGGATGCTTCGATTATGTGTTCACCTTATGTTAGTTTCTAAAATACCATCACACGTATTACAGATCAACGATTGTTGTGTTTTGTGATATTAAGGCTGCCTTCAATTCGTTGTACAGAACTGCTTCCTAGAAGTGTCTGTTGCAGAGAAAGAGAGAGTGTGAGGCTGTTCCTAAGAAATTCTTAACCATTTTGAAAGGCCTATACTGAAACATCTCAGGGGCACACAACTGGCTATGAATGCTGTTCTCGATCAGAAGGATGGTTGACCACCGTGAATGTTCTCCTTTAATTTTGTACCATCCACAACACTACGGGGACAGTTCTGAGGGATTTACAAGTGATGGCGGTATAGACGCATTACATGCAGAAAGGCTTTGACCTCGAGTATGCAGACGATGTCGTCTAACTGCATGATAGATGACGATCAGTGTATTTGTAAATACTGTATTTGCTTTGACCCCGTCCAAGTGGAAAGTATTGTTGCAAGTTTGGCAAGAGCTTGTACCTACACACACACACTCTCAAATAAATCATTAGAAGTGGTCGATATATTAGCCAAACCCTTATTAATATGTGTGTAAAACTTGGGCACTGTGGTAGTAATTAATTCCCTATTAGTTTGTTTATTAGATGTATCACACAGTCTGGGAAACCGTATTGTTTACTGGATGACACAGTTTTGAACAAAATTTATTGTTCATAATCATTTCATCAATTATAATGACACGACTTTGAAACTTCAGTTTTATAGTTTTCTTTGTTCTCTCCTATTTGTCTTCGTTAGGGTAGTAGAATTTTGCATATGTTCTGACTGGACAGGCGTTGAATCATTCCTGTTACACGTATTCGGCTCAATTGATTCGATAAACAAAGCCTCAGTCAGTTATCAATCTCTCCCTTCACCCTGTGACATTAGATTTTAAAACTGTCATTCTATCGAATCCTGTTGTATGGTTGTAGTGGTGTAGTGCTATAGCTGAGCTATTCTCTAGATTTCTTATCTTATTTGGGTCAACTAATCTAGATTTTGCTGCTAGGTTTTTATGTTCGGCTAGTCTGACTGCACCTGTTCTACTAGTTTTACCTATGTATTTGACCTGACAGTCATTGCAGGCGGGGTATATTAGATAAACTAAATTGTTTTGTTTAATTAGCTTCACAGGATTGATCCGTTAACCCACAAAACTTGTTTCAGTAGTAATTCCATACAAGGAAGTGACCTTGGAAACCTTATTCAGAATTCTTAACAAGGCGGGAATAAGGAAAGTGACTGGCATTCAAACTACCCACAAACTCAATTATGAGTGGGCCTGCCGACCCGAAATCGAACCCTTAACACATGTGTGTGGCTGGAGGTAATATTCTATCATGTAACCAACTATGTACATGAATTTTCTCATTGAATCTATACCTAATAATATTAGTAAAGCTTTCCTCAACTGTTGATGGAGATGAACGTTTTATTCCGCATTACTATTGGCGTTGTTCTATTAGTTAATAATACCAGGCAAATGTGAGCGTGTGAAGTTCAAGATTTCATCGATGGGCCACCTATCTTATTAATAACTGATTCCCTATCATATTAATATTCTTTGAAGTTATAGTCAAATGAAATCTTACAGTGACTGGGCTTAAAAGTCATTCACTAAAAAAAAGAAAAATACCCATCCAGTTACACATATAAGAACACAGTTCAATGAAGAGATGCCTGTTCGACGAATTCAGTCAGTTAACTGTGCAATCACCGCATAAAGCCTAAAACCCCGCAAAGTATATACCCCCTATCTATATGCCGAAAAAAAAATAATAATAATGATTTACTTTATTCCAAAAACAGTACTTGTGATACAGAATGGAATTTTCAGCATTAATCACAATATTGCATCTAATTTCCTCAAATTATAAATAAAATTAATCACACAGAAAATTTTCCACATTTACAATAGAGGTAGTGTCAAAAACATGCAGCATATAAAATGGAAATAGCAATAATAATGATAACAGCTAGGGTAATAATATTTATAATACAAGTGAAAATTGCCGTTGGCTTGTGTCACACAGTATTGGCAATGTGGTATAGAAATCCTAACATGTTTAAAAATATTGAATATAATGTTCTCTTTACATGATATGGTGAAGGGAAAAACAAAGATTACAGCCGTCATGGAGATAAGTTGGTGTTTGCAATTATGAGAGTAAAACAGAGAAGTAACAGGACCATAAATATAATAGAAGTAATAAAAGTAAAACTTGAAGGTATATAAGGATGGATGGAGGAAATTGTTTATTTACTAGATGAAAAAAGTTAGTTAATTCTTGCCTGACACTATTTTCATCACATAAAATACGTGCCAAGTATGGTATCATAGAATTCTTATACTTAGACGTGCGAGCATACAGTTTTCTGAAGTTACTCCTTGTTCTACCTGAGGAGATGCAAGGTGAAAGCTGAGGGTAAAGCGGATGCTCCAAGTCAGACAAAATCCCTTTAGCAAATTTATTGCACGAAGTCAAGTGCCTATCGACAACGACGTTAACTATGTGGTCCACTGGGACACCACTCACCCCACTGACAGTCTTCAGTATTCTACGAATTGTGACATAGTCTTTTTAAGCAAACCAGGAAAGAATAAGGGTGAGCAATAAAGAAGAATAGGTAGGATGCAAGAGTTTATGAACTGTAAGAGGAGGGGTTGAGTTATACCCGAGTGTCTTAACTTCTTAATGTAAAATGTCAGGCGGAATATTTTACTGGAGATTGCTAAGACATGGGAAGACCAGGAGAGATCAGAAGAGAGAATGAGTCCAAGATACTTAATTTCTGATTTGATTCCTATATCATTGTCGTCAATTTTACAAGTGTCATGAGAATCGATGACTTCTTTTAACTGTCGTTTACATCTTAAGCTGAAATCAACAGTTTGACACTTAGAAGGATTCAGTTTAAGACCGTTAGACTCAGACCATTTGCTGACTTCCGATAGAAAGCTATTTATTTTAGTACAATCTAGCTGGGAGTTAACAGCCATTGAAACCGTTAAATCATCAGCGTACTTCACAAAGTTTATTTCATCAGAGTGAGGCAAGTCATGCAAGAAGAAAGAAAAAAGAAAAGGAGAAAGAACAGCACCTTGAGGGACACCAGCTTCAGTAGGCAATGAAGTGGAGGACTTCCCTTTATATACGGTGTACTGCTTTCTATCTGAGAAATAGGAATGCAACCAGTTAACAGCCCAACATTCTGTTTGACTAGCAGCAAGTTTATTTAATAAGATGTCCCTAGGGACCGAGTCGAAAGCAGATGTATAGTCTAGGAAGGCAACACGAACAAATTTAGCCCCCTTGTCTAGACTGGAAGCAATGTTATGATATAAGACGGCAGCTGCATCTAAAGTGCTTCTACTGTGCTTATAGGCAAATTGTTTAGGGTCATTAAAGGATTTAAGCGAAGGTTCAAGACTAAGTAAAAGTAATTTCTCCATAGTTTTCAAAAAAGGAGACGTAATAGCAATGGGTCTAAATTTGACACATGCTCCAGTAGAAGATTTAGGTATGGGTACAACTTTAATGTCCTTCCAAACGGCAGGCACAATATTATCGGAAAAAGATTTGTTAAATAGATCAGTAAGAGGGTGACACAGAATATCAGAACATTTTTTAAAAATAATACTAGGTACATAATCGGGACCTAAGCTCTGGGAAGGGTTTAGAGACTTGAGGCACTTTTGAACATCATTTGTGTTAAAACCTGGAAAGGGGCTATTATTAACACAAGTGATGCTGGGAAGCATGGCATTTGAGGGAGAGTAAATAAAAGATTTGTTAAGAGTACATACATCAAAAGAATATGGAATATTGTTTATCTGCTTACCACCAGTGATTTCCTTAAATAGTTTCCACATATTAGAAGGATTTTTGCAGGACATGAATTTCTGGTTATATATTACATTCAACCTCTGCATTTCAGACTTAATTAAGAAGTTAGTTCTTTTTACACCAATTTTATCTTTGATTTTATATAGTTTTTCCTTCTCTCTACGAAGCTTTTTAAGTTGAGGCGAGGAGAAACGGTCAAATTTGACGAATAGTGTTTCTTTTGGACAACAGATTTCAAAACAGAATTTCAGATAGGATGTAATATTAGAGATATTGTCATTAAGTGAATCAACATTAAACAAATCCCATCTTGTGTCACTGAGCATGTTTCTAAGATGATGTACGTTCTCATTTGAGTAGCATCTGTGAACAACTTTCTTAGACAAGTTTGAGAGGGCTTTACTGTGTAACTTTCCGTAAATTTTGGGTAAGACTCGTACAATACAATGATCAGAATTGAAGAGTGGGGCTCTTTTACGAGCTTCGTATATTCCAGAATCATTTATAAATACTAAATCAAGTGAAGTATTTTGTCGAGTTGGGAAATTAACAACATTTGCATGGCCCAGCAATGTAATAAAACTGCAGTCGCTGGAGTTGAAGTCGCCGGTCACTATAGATAAGGAGTTACCAAACGAAGCAGCAGCAAAAATAGTGAATTCATCAGCGAAGATAGATAGTTCTGAGGGACTGCAACAAGGTGTGATATAGATATTTGTGACAAAAATGGAGCTGTACTTAGGTAAGTGTTTAGGTCGACATTTTACAGTTATACAGTCAATATTGTCATTTGAGAATTTGAAGCAGACGTTGTTGGCAGTAGACCACTGAGAATTAATAAAAGTGGCAACACCACCACCTCTCTTCTTCTTTGAGCTGCATCGGTCTTGTCTGTAGATTGTGAACCCACTTAAGGAGACTAAATTATCGTCATATGAATCATGGAGCCAAGTCTCTTGAAGAGTGATTACACCAGTATTACAATATACATTTGAGTATAATAGAGAATGCAAGTAGTTAATCTTGTTCGATAATGACCTGCAATTTGTGCTCATAATCACAGGAACAGTCATCTGATGCATTGGAGTACACTTTAATGATCTCTGCCAACCTCCATGATGCTTTTTCTTAACGTTATTATATACTCGTAAATCAACAGGTTGAAAACATTTTAAATAATCGCGAGAGTAAGTAATGCGACTTGGATACATAATTGAATAATTAAAACAAAATAAATCCGAGGAAATAGATGCAATATGTAGGATGGAAATTTTGGTAGCCCAAGATTTAAGCAGGCCGCCTGCTTATATATATATATATATATAAATATATATGAATGCTGCGTTCAGTAGCAACCTTCTGGTCGCTGTTCGACTTTTTAGTGCATTTTTTTTAAATAATTAATAGACTATCATGAAGGCTATTGTTGCTCTCTATTGTGTTATAAATGACTTTTTATTCTCCGCTTTGCTTTTATTCCGTTTCTCTATGCCGTGGTGGTGATGAACATTAGGATGCTATAAATTTCTTTGATTACACTGTCAAGAAAATTAATCCTGTGCCTATTCCAAAACGAAAATTGGTAAGTCAATCCTCTTGACGAATGTATGTATGTATGTGTCATTTCTGTTTGTTAAGTATTTTTCCTTTTTTTCATGGTGCTGTGTAAATGAATTTATTTCTGTGTGTGTGTGTATATATCATGGCACCATTTAACAACTATCTATCTAAACCCTGATGTGTATGTGAGTTGTGAGGATGGGGCAGGATTCCAGCCTAAAACCAAGTGATTGTCCGAATTTCAATAAGTAAGTAAGCGTAGTGTTCGAACTCGTGACACACACTAAGTTAGAAATTTAGTGCTTAGACCAATACACTAAGACTCGACTTTGTGTGTGTGTAGTCTTGTGTGAAAAAAGAACAAACCAAATGTTGTGCGGGCGGGGGGGGGGCGTCGGCTTAACGCGTGTATATGCATCGGAAATGTAAAGATTGACTATGAAGGGAAATTTTGAAAAGGTAGGTAGATTGTTATATATGTCCCAACCAAGTTTACTTTTAACGGTTTGAAAAAATTTGAGTATTGGGTATATGATACTCATAATAATAAAGGTTTTTTGTATTCCCCAATGAATGAAAAACAAAACGATATTGTTGCTTTTACTGACGTTTCCCTATTTAATGCTTCTGCTAATAGCTTTATCAAAGCGGTATTATTAAACCGGAATTTACAAAATCCGCTCAGCTTATATATAACAAAGAGTTGAGGGGTGAGAAAATAGACTACTTAGGTCAAGTTAAAAGGACATATTGAAAGTCAAAATAGCAATGAAGATCACTAAACTAAATAACAAAAGTAATAGTGTGGTGAGACCTGGCTGTTAAACAAAATTGGTGGACAGTAATTTACGTCAATGTTTATATCCCCAATATTGGTCGTGAGAAAAATAAGAACAAAGGCTTTGCGTAGGTGGACGCAGTTAACATATAGATGATCTGACATTCAAGAAACAGCCACAAAGAGATTAACTCTCTGTGAGAAACAACCAACCAGAAGACTGTTTTTCTGCTAACAATAATCTATGATAATGTATATGAAAATCTATAAATATGTGTTGATTTCCTTAATAAACGATCTGTTGTCTGACTCTTGCCTTCTGTCGTTACAATAGTATGTTTGTTATGGTATCAAAATAAAGTTTACTAACTTGATCATCGTTCGTCTGTCTGGGGGCATTTTCCGTTGTCAAGTTGGTCATTTGGTAAAGATAAAAATATGTCCTTTTAACTTGACCTAAGTAGTCTATTTTCTCACCCCTCAACTCTTTGTTATATATAAGCTGAGTGGATTTTGTAAATTCCGGTTTAATAATACCGCTTTGATAAAGCTATTAGCAGAAGCATTAAATAGCGAAACGTCAGTAAAAGCAACAATATCGTTTTGTTTTTCATTCATTGGGGAATACAAAAAACCTTTATTAGTAGGTAGATTGTATCGTGACATACTCATGAACCTCGCTTAATCGATATATCATTAAGTCTGGAAAAGAAGGAAGGTTTGGTGTGTTAGTCTGGCAACCCCACATCGTTAAAAAAACGATATCATCACGTGTGGAATTGGGGCTCACTGAACTGCGCGCCTCCCTATCACCTATCAGGTCACTGGTTTGAACGCTTTTTCACCCAATGAAGCTTGTGTAGCTCAGACAGTGATAACATCATCAGGCTTAACACAACAGGTGTATAACTACTCATTGTCGAGCTGTATGGATATACAAGTGGTTACTGAGTACCATTGAGACTCAGAAATACAAGAGTAGTAATGGGAATAATATAAATATATATATATATATAATTAGGATTTTCAATAGTTGGTTTATAATGATTAGGTTTGTTTTTACGAGTTGATCACGCAATGATGTCCGTTGGAGAACCATTTGAAAATCAAGGAGTACTGGACAGCTGCTTCATCCTAGTTTGGAGATCATCGACAGTACGCGCTCACACCGTGGGGTTCGAACCCAGCACCTTCTTGTCAAAAGGCAAGCTGAATGGTATACAAGCTTGCCTTGTGACCAGAAGGTGCTGGGTTCGAACCCCACGGTGTGAGCGCGTACTGTCGATGATCTCCAAACTAGGATGAAGCAGCTGTCCAGTACTCCTTGATTTTCAAATGATTCTCCAAAGGACATCATTGCGTGATCAACTCGTAAAAACAATTAATTAGGAATTCAAACACCCTCGATATTACTGAGCTATATAAAGAGAAATTATCGTCAGAGGTCCTTAAAAAAATAGGATACTTAATACAATTAGATGGAATTACAGTGACATTCTAGCCAACCGACTTGCTCAGATACAAACTTCAGCTTAAAAGCTCGATATTTATCTTTATATATATATATATATATCCAATTTTCAAGTAATTGGTTTTGTAGGGATTTTGTTTGATTGCATGGATGATTTCATCAGCGCTAACTGATGTCAGCTCATGATGAAATCCTCCATGCAATATATATATATATATCCAATAGGCAAATTTAATACCATGTAATGACTGTGACGTTAACTATACATATGTCAAACTACCAGATTGGGGTTAAATTAAATTATCGGAACGTAACAATCTACTTAGAATTAGTGAGTGGTTGACCCTGCTAAATTTAATAATTTGGAAAAACGCCTAGTCGCACACACACACACACACACAATACATTTACTTCTGTGTAATTACATATTCTAAGGTAGGATAAGGTAAAATTAATAAAAGAGTTATGCAATTGTGTAGATATAGAGAAAGAGAGGTTAATCACACAGTCTTTGTCCTTTGAATCAATCAATACCAAACACGTGCAATCAAAATAGCGCAACGCGCCTGCACGGAAAATTGTAACAAAAAAGAGAGTGAATACATTGAGATATATTTAATGACCAACAGTCTGTATTTGAAACATCATCCCTAGTTAACAGCACTTTATCTCACTCCTCATTGTGCGCATTATATCAAATAAACTTATCCAATATGAAAGGAAGGTTATAACGAGTTCCAGTGTTGATTAACATTGTAACTGGCTTGTAGTTTGTTCGTTTGCATGATTCTACTATCAAATGGATGGCACTCAAGTTATAAACTAAGTCATAGAATTTCATCATGAGCTCACAATGCTTAGAGAATCATTAGGACAGCTGCCAACTTCGTCCTAGTTTGGAACTCTTCATCAGTACGCACCCACACTGCGGGGTTCGAACCTAAGACCTTTTGGTTACAAGGCGAGCTCGTAAACCTGGATTCGAACCCCTGTGAGTGCTTACTGATGAAGAGTCCTAAACTAGGACGACGTAGGCAGCTGTCCAGTACTCCCAGGTTTTTTCGATGGTTCTCTCTAACCAATGTGAACTCATGATGAAATCCTGTAGCCAATCAATCAAATCCCTACAAACTAATACTTAAAACTAAGTCAGTTGATTGTTAAGCCCCTAGGAGATTGTGTACTTCTTCTGATTATTTCCTGATCTTCCTGTATCATGTTAGTTCATGTTCTAGAAATATAATTCGTTTAACTTCAATGGGTTTTTTTTAAAATTCATGTATTCTACCTACTTGACTACTCCACCTTAATCTTTTCTGGACTACTTAAGACAGACTTTGTTACACTACGAAAGGCACTTAAAGCTGTCAGTGTGGCGAATGGGTTGTCGCTAAACCAGATAGCTGAATAACACTGTTGTAGACAGACACATAATGAACTCATGCGAACGAGAAATTAGCAAATATTATCTTGTCACAAGTCCCCTGAGAATCCTTTCGGTGTATACTCAAATCTCTCCTTGAATCTTATCGGATAGAACTAAAAGCAACTGTAGAAGACTATATGATCTGCCGATGAAGTGTATAAAATCTCCACAACCAGGAATCACTGGACAGGCAGCTGTGTTACGTTATATAAATATACGTACAACCCTAAGATCTCTTTGATTTTATTCGTGTTATGATGACATCATTAGTGTACACTTGGGAGAAGTGTGTACAGAAAAAGCACATTCACAGGGCAATACACACACTTCCGTAGTTACGTGCCCATTAAATATAAAAAGAATGTTGTAAAATGTCTCGCGAGCAGAGCAAGGAAGATGTGTACGGAGGACCTCTTACAAAAGGAATTTCAGTATATTCACGATTCCTTGACGGAGATGGGTTATCCGAGTAGTTTCATAAAGAAATATATGAAACCATCAGAGAAAAAACCTGTGACTCTGACTTCACATAAGAAACCTCTATTTATTAAGTTACAATTTAATGGTGACTTATCTAGTGAGACATTGTTCCAGAGACTCTCCAGTAGTATACGGAGAACGTTTTACGCAGCATAGCTATGTTTGTCATTCTCTAGCTGGCAAATGATTCGGACACAATCGAAGGATAGGCTAGATAGTTTTGCCACATCTATGTGCATTTATCAGTTTAACTGCACCTGCGGTGACAGTTATGTTGGGCTTACTACTAGACAGCTTATCTAACATGTTAGTGGACATCTCCCATTGTAGTTTGGCAAAAGACAGACAAAAACAATCCGTAGCTCAATTTCATCACGTTTAATTGATAGTGGTCATGTAGTCGAGAAAACGAAAGCCTTCAAAGTAATTCATCGTATCCCACCGAATCTTTCCAATAGACTTCGTATTCGTTTACTGCACACAGCTGAGGCGATAGGCATTCGAACTATTAAACCTAAACTATATATGCAAAAAAGTTCGTCCAGCCATTATTCCTCCCTTGCTTGGCCTATTAAGATATAACCAACTAACGACTTCTACACCACCCCTTGTTTATATTTTCAACCCCTTTCTTATCATCACTTAATCTTATCTTCATTATAAACGTGTTTCATTCCCTTCCCTTACAATCGGTTCATTTGCTTTCACCAGCCTTTATTGACTACTTCCACCTGAACAATTGTTTATTTAATCATGCTGTTTTTCATTATTCGTGTTATCACAGATTGCCTCATTTTTTCATCCTTATTATTGATAAGACCATTATTATCATTATTATTATTACTATTATTAATATTATCATTACTGCTATTATAACTAATTGCACAATTTATATTCCCCATCTTATTGTCCTATAGACAAAACACCATGATTGGTTTATATTTGAATTTTTATTTGTAAACTTATATATACATTAGAGTTAAGCCTGGTGATGAGATCTAATTGAAAACAATCAATATTGTTCGCTTAAATCTGTTGTTCTAAATTTTACTATGGGAATGTTTAATATATAGTGTACACTTCTGCCAAATCCTACCTAAACTAGGATGAAACGGCTGGCAGCAACAGCTGGCCACTGTATTCCCTGGATTTAAATGGTCTTTCTAACTGCAGTTGTTTGTCCGTAGTAAAATCTAGCAATTGAAATCGACCCAATTCTTCATGGAGAGAAACGCATGATATAATTATTAATTTTTTGGGGGGCATAATAAAGATTGTTTAAATTGTGTTCTTTTTATTGAAATAAACGCAAACTCAAAATGTTCAGCATTCAATACATATATCTCACTATTAGTTAAGACGAATCTATATTTACGTTCACACTAATATCAATAATAAGTTAATTAATTTAATTTGTTTTATAGAAGGATTTGAATTGATTAAAGTCGACTCCACCTCCTAGGTCCTCCCTCAGCCACTCACTGTATTAAACTGACCCAATGAGAGAATAAATCGATATTGATTCAAGGAATGAAACGTATTCCCTATGTTGTTTATTATAAATAGTTTATAATGTGAAGCAGAGTAGATGATAACTGTTCAACGTTTGAGCCGATAGAGAGTTGGTTAACATTCTATGTATGAAGAAAATCATCACTCATTTGAGGATGATACAGGATGATACATTCAGCTGATAAATCTGAAGTATGTCAAAAGGTGCGTCGTCCATTGCACTAATAGCTTCGCAGAGGGGAAATCAATCGATGAGGCTGTAAAGCTACATCAACTTGAAATGGTTAGGACATGTGTTACGCATGTTTAGCCATTGCCTTCCTCGACTGACGGGGCAATGTTAGCTGACATAGGATCGGTAAAATGGAAAAGAACCAGCGGCGGTCAAACCAAAACATCTACAACAGTCAGTTTAAGCCAGTCACGTAGGAAGGTGTAAAATTCCTGACTGGTTGGGGTCCTCGGGACGGTAAACAAGTGATTATATGGCTCAAAATCCTCGTTCAAGATGGCTGCCGCAGGTTGATCCACTCCTTGTAACATATAATTTCCAATGAAGCTATATTGTTCTTCGTTATTACTATTCCTTTTGTCTCATATCCCTGTCTACTGTCTCTGTTGTGCATTTCTTCTACTTTCTTCTCTTGCTTTGTGTGCTACAAGGAGGGAATGTGGTGACTCGAACTGCTGCACATCGGTGCAAAGTTCTATGTCGAAAACAGACAGACAGTGTTTTTATGTAAACAGTGAGTCTTCAATTCGAATTGTATAGCGCAATTCAGACATTCTTCTTCTTAACTTGACCTTATCACTTCTCTATGCATGTACAGTTGGTCTAGTTTTCACGCATATCCCGAACAGTTTGATTCATACATATTAATTCTCTCTCTTTCTACTCCACTCGTATGTTTGAAATAAAAACCTGTCCTGTTAAGTTAAGCGGCAGAGGACTAATATCAGATAGTCGGCTGGCCAGTCACGAAGTCAACAAGCTGAGACCAGATAGACTACTCAGTTGTCTACTGTAGAAATGTGGTGTATAATAGCCAGCAGCAAAATCCATGACTTGTGTTTCCTCTTCTTATTACGGATCATCTGAAGTGGTGGCAACCAGTGCAGTGCTGTCACTCAGTGAAGCCCACTGTCTCCCTCTGGGCTTCTTTGATTTCAGATTCATATTCTTATCAATAAACTTTTCTGGGTAACCATTTTCACTTAGCGACCGTTTAATATTATTAAGTTTCTCATCAAGACATTTATCCGAGCAAATTGCTCATGCTCTGTGAACCAAGCACATTATCAGATTGCGTTTGTATTTCAAGAGCACGAAGGTGAGAAAATGAGTATACTGATCCGTTGATGTACATTCTTCTACATATACTTCTTATTGTGCCATCCTCTTTTCTGGTCATAAGGACGTCTAGAAATCAAATACTAGAGCCTTTTTCTCTCTCTCAATAGTCAAATTTATTGGAGGATGACACTCGTGGAATTCATCCAGGATGTTCTTTGCTTCCGCCTCATTTTTCAAAATCAAAAATGTGTCATCCATGTACCGACAATAGAATTCAAGTTCATCAATAACATCCTTCAAAAGGCCTATTTTCTAGTTTCGTTCACTTTAGGCTGTATCTTCGAAACCACTCCTATTTTGCGTTCGGGTGTAAAAGATAAACTGCATAATTTCGCCTCTTCCATGTGAATCTACAAATTTAACTGCTTCTGTACAGTGGTAAGCCAGTTAGTTGCTTAGGCAGTACAACTGCGCATGTTTCTTTTCGGATTTTCGAACATCACCCTGTGTGGTTGGTTAAGTGTACAGGACAAACAAAATCCGTTCATAGCTCGATTCTCTCTCATATTATAGATACATAACACAAGATTAAAGTTCACCAGGCAGCTTTCAAAGTCGTTTACCGCATACCGATAAATCTTAACTTCGCCTTTAGAATTCGTCTACTGACTGTTGGGATCCACATTAAGAAGCCTAATTTATCCGTCCAAAAGAAGCTAGTTTAGACATTGTCCTTACTTTGACCATCTAGTTTCGAATGATCCTCAATTTTTTTTGTAGAAATTGCCTTAATTTTAGTTGATATTCTATTTGCTATTATATTATTATTATTATTATTATTTAAGCATCTTTAATGAACTGTAATTCCATTGTGATCTTACTTAACAAATCGATATTATTTAAAAAACACTAATATTGGTAATGACTGCTATTCTTGAACATTCTGTGTGTATAAACATATATATATATATATATATATATATATATATATATATATATATCAATCGACGGAAGAGGAATTTATGGAAAAGAATATTCTTTTCTCAATTATTTTGCTTTTTTTATAAATGTCATAATCGAATTGACCCTGACTGACTTCACTGACTCAGGAGTTGAATTTTTTTTACCACGGAATAATAGTCTTGTTGAATTAGATGATGTTGATGATGATATAGTCCCCCTTCTCCTCCTCCTCCTTACAGGTGAAGACGTTGATAAAATCCAGAGTCATCTAAGCAACAATCTGCAAATGTTTGGCATGCCATTCGATCCTGCTGTCAAATGTAAGATTATCCTACAAGAGTGGACTACATTGACTGACTCCTGGCTTAAAGACAGAGACGCGTGAGTGAAGTGGTAGGCCCTGTTGACCACTTCGCTTATTTAAGAAATTGCATCGGCCAACGCCAATAGGTTGATCTCTAACGAAATCTCAGCACGGATACAGAAGGCTAGTTAAACATTTGCCAACTTACTCCAACTGTAGCTTAGAAGACGTGATATCCGGTTGGCTGTCAACCAAAGGGTGTGTGTACTGCTCAGTAGTTCGCCCCGTCCTCCATTATGATTGTGAGACATGGCTGTTGAAAGTGAAAAGTAAGAAGAGGTTAGCTAGCTATCTTTAATCATAGGTGTCTGTGTTCTGTCTCCGTTGTTAGTTAGTGGTATAATAAGGTGAGCACTATTGAGATTAGGCTTCCAGTGATTGCTTAGGTAAGGAGGGACAATCAGTCGGGGCGGTTGTGATGGTTAGGACATGTGTTTCGCACCCCTATCTCTAGTCATCGTCTTCCTCGACCGACAGGCAATGTTAACTGTCTGGCGTAGGATGGATCAGGTCGGAGAAGAGCTAATGATGGTCAAATTAAAACTTTGAATCAGTCCATGAAATCTTTGGTTTGAACCACTCGGGGGAGATGTCGGCTTCCTGATTGGGATCCTGGGGATGTTATAAGACCCAATGACTGGAGACTATTAATGATATGTCTCAAAATCCTCGTTCTCAATGTTTGGCGCGCAGATGCATTCACTGTTAGTGATGTGCGTCTGTGGCACAGTGGTTAGGACTCTCGCCGACCATGCACATGGTCCCGGGTTTGAGCCCTCGTCGACGCACACTTGATATCTATGGTCGGCCTGCAAAATTTGGGCTACCGATATTCACGCTGAAAATTCCATACTTGTACCAAAAATGCGGTGTGGAATCAAGCTGTAATCAAAAATAAAAAAAATAAAAAAAATGTCCAATATCCATCAAATCCTTTCTCCCTAACATTTCAGCTCATTACTGCTGTTTTCTAATGTCTCTTTTTTCACGCCTTTTATCAGCCTTTATATATATGGTAGAGGAGAAGTGTGACCCATGGAATTGTTACCATCGTTTTTTACAAAGCTTTATGTTGAAACCAATCAGTTTGTCAGTCAGTCAGTTCATCCTTTTTTTTCGTATTCACCCAACTGCTGCATATACCTGCAATCCGGTCGTAAATTTGTAGATAAGGTTATGACACTTTTTTTGTTTGTATAAGTGGTGAAAGTTCTTAGAAATTTTTTCTCCGAATAACCTTGTCGCTAATGTTAAATTTTTCCTCTCTCTCTCTCTCCCTCTCATCATCAAATATCTAGACGGATCCTTCTATTCTCGATCCAGGAACTTATCACTTACGTTTAATGAATTGTAATCCAAGCGATGTAAATATGTGTTTAGCTCGAGTTCATCTACTCGGAGAATCTGATATTAAAAGTCAATGTTATAATAAATTATTAGCAGTAAGTTCTCTGCTTTGTGTTTTTGTGTTCTTTTACCGTATTTTAAAGATTCCGTGTAGCGATTGGATTGTGTTTTTTTTTCAATTATTGGTTTTGTAGGGATTTTGTTTTATTGTATAGAGGATTCCACCATGAGATGACATCAGTTAGAGAACCACTGGAAAACCAGCTGGGAGTACTGGACAGCTGCCTACGTCGTCCTAGTTTGGGACTCTACAGCAGCACGCACCCACCGGAGTTCGAACCCAGGACCTTCTGGTTACAAGGCTAGCGAGCTCGTAGACCATTGAGCCACTGGGACCTGATCCAATGGCCAGTTTATGAATTCTAACTTCTGCCAGTTCACGACATAGCGCGACCACTTCGCAATGTCTTCCTCGAAGATGGGGCAGTAACTCATCGAGGAAGACATTGCGAAGTGGTCGCGCTGTTTTTTTTCTCTCATGGATTCTTATGTAGGCAGGGAGGGTCATTAGTCCACCAGTCAAAATCAATCTTTCCTTCATCTTTCTCTTTGCTTTCAGGAGTATTTATTAGTTAAACTCGCAAAATGATTAGTTCATACCTGTGAACTTGTTGATTTCGAAATCTTATAGCAATCGCCAATAGGAACACTGATATCAAGTCATCTGGTGCCTCTAGATAGTTTGGATATTTGGATGCGTCATTAATAAGAACTGGCTGGAAATTTTCATCAATGACAGACTGACTGGTTGGCTATCCTTCACGCAATAAGCAACTAAAAACTAACACAAACAAGAAAATAACCAAGAATCTATGAAGATGTTGTAAGACCACACACTCTAAGCCCTCAGGTGGCAGTGGTGGAACACCATGAATGGCAAGCCAACAGGTTGTGCATCGCTTTGAGAGTGACAAAGGAGGAGATCATGTGCAGACAAGATGAAAGCTTATAATGGACAGTCATGGAGACATGCTACTGACGCTGTATATCACACTCGGTATCTAAGGGATGAATACTACTACTCTGGTGAGAGCAGGCTGCTAGCCAAATTGGTAGACATTAATTTACGTCAATGTCTAGGTCGCTAATGTTGGCCGTGAGAAAATATGAACAGGACTGATTCAACAAGCAATCACAGCAGACTTAACGTGGGCAAATACGATTCGCAGATATATGGCTTAACTTTCTGAGAAACCAGTCACAAGCAGTACAGAATAACCTTGAGCAAGAAACAACCAATCAGAAGACTGTGTTTGTCTACTTGAATAAGCCATAATAATGTACACGAGATATATATAAATACATGCTGATTTCCTTAATAAAAGATCTGTTTCCTAGCCCTTGTCTTCTGTTATTACACTACTACTACTAATAATAATATGTATTCGACAACCAACCGTTCAATATGAGTTCTTCTCCATGGGTCTGAAACTTGGTGCGCGCGTTATCGAGGGAGTTGGCAGCAACCTTCTTCTCTGTTGGTCGGAGAGATAAGATCAGCAACAAGGGATTCCGAGAACCAACCAATCAAGAACTTATTGTTCAACAAATATTCTGGATTGGATACACGCTGAGGAGACCGTTGATTAACATGGCTCACCATGCTGGCCTTCGAATTTGTAGTCGGAGTGAGAAACGACGAGTTAGTTTTAGATTCTATGGTTACATGGAGGGAATCGTTTGGGGAGGAGTTGAGAACCTCTGGGCAGTGGTTAATGCCAGTTGAAGAGGTTGAGAGAGAACAGGACGAACCTGAGATGTTTTGTTGAAGCCTCATATTCCACTCGTAACCTAAGGGAATAATAAATAAACAATAGTTTGCACCGGTGTGGCAAGTCACCTTACTTGGTGAGTAAACCTGAATGATATAATTTTAGTTTGAAGCTTTAAATATGTGTTTCATTTGTACATTTAATCGGTCAGTGATAAGTGTCTCTAAGCTCGGTATGTGCTTTACTCTGTCTATGCGTAAAGTATTGTTGCAAAATTGACAGGAATTTGTACACCAACACTCTCATTCTTGCAAGTGATCTGCTTGCAAGTTGTCGATAAATTGGTGTATCTCGATAGTTGTGTAAGTGCTGATGGACGAGATACCTAGGGCTGATATCCACTAATTTCTAGCGACGTATATTGACGTCGTCATAACATCAGTCTGGCTGTCAAAGGTCGGGATTACAATGTTTCGGTGCGAGCAGTCTTGTAATACGCCAGTGAAACTTAACCTCTTTGACAACTCTGTGTATTCGAGTATCTTGCATCCGATAACATCATCGTGTAAATTATTCTGAGGTCCGGTAGCATGTGTTCTGACACGCTAGAGGTCAGCATTCATTGAGTGTGGTGGTCACATGAAAACAACCGGCTTTGGTGGTGATGGTGGCGTGGAGATGCACCACGCCTATCACTCCCAGCGGCTCCTATACTGCGATCTCTGTGGATATTAAAAGTGGAGAGGTAGTCAGTCTATGACTTGGCGCTGTGGATTGTTAGTTTGGTAAATTGTGACTCGCCGATTGGGCGGGGCGGGGCGGGTTCCAAGCGGTTGTTCGATTCGATAGCTGTGAGACGTCAAGTTTTCTTTTGCTTACTAATAATAATTCACGTTATCAGACTACTTATTGCACATATCTAGTAAAAATTGATCCCCTTTTTATATCGATACTTTCAGTTTATCCTATCTGAACCAGCCTTCGACTATCTACGTACAAAAGAATCCCTAGGATACACCATATACCTTCGATATTGGCTATCTATGCCTGGGAGTACAGGTCATTCAGGCATAAGTGTAATTGCATGTAGTCCTGCGAATAAATTTTCAGTGAATTTTGTTGCTGGCCGATTAACTGCTTTCTGGCGTCGAATTGCTCCAAGGATTATTGCTGCTATGCCACCGGAAAATTTTAAAACTTCTGTAAGTAGTAAATTTTGCTTTTTTCTGCTCTGTTTTATTCTATTTCATTCTATAATATTTTTCCTGTTGACAGTATGGAAGTGAAAGGACTTGGTAACGAACCTTCCGATAAGGAAAAAATCACACTATATTTATACATTTCCCTAGCCACATCAGAGTTCGTTTAGGTCAGAGGATAAAAAATTGTTCTGATTGGTTGGCAGTTGACCCAAGGTTTTACAGATTGTCCAATCAGGTTGTTTCATGTCTACAACGTAAACTTAATCCAGATTTAGGGAAGTAGACACTTTTACTTCTGTAACGATTGATTTAAAATGTTGATTTCAATTTTTTGACCATTTCCTATCGATCTACATTACTCTTCAATGCCTTCTTTGAATAAGGTGAACATTTTGTTGTAGAAACAACTCGAGCGAATTTCAACTTCTGTTTTCTAGGGTTTTTATGTCGATTGATTTCTAAAGTATAAGTAAGACAAAGACTATTGGAAACCTGGGAGTGCCGACCCACAGATAGCTGTGTTCTCCCCCTAACATCACAGAGCTCTTCAGCAGTACGCATTCATAACTTTAGTCATCCGGAATCGAACTGAAGACTTTCACGTACTGTTAAGTGAGCTAAATTGAGAATTCACCTGCTTGCGGTGGAATTCTATAGCCCATGAATTCCACCTTTTGTAGCTACCACTAGCGAGAAAATCACCGGTGAGTAAGGAGGTCTCTTCTTTCAGATTTCTCCCACATATACTGTCTGATTGTTGTCTGTTATTGTTGCTGAAGCTGTTGGCCAGGAATCTTCGCCACCTCTGTTTTCTTCATGTTCACCTGAAGTCCTATGTTTGATGCTTCTTCTGCCAACTTGTTGTTTTTCACTTGCATATCTCCCAGTTTGTGAGACATCAGACATATATCATCAGCGATGTCCAGAACCTCGAAGGTCTTTGTGTGGGTCCATTTTATGTCTGTTTCCTCGCTGCTCACAGTTCGTCTGTCGTATTATCCAGTCTACCGCCATCAGTCAGGAAAATCATTGGAGATAGTAGACAGCCTCATTACTAGTAAATACTACATCACTTTTCAAGTGATGGTTTGCAGGTATTAGATTAATTTCAAAATAGATAATGAACTGACTTCAGTTAGTGAGAACCATTGAAACAATAAAGTACTCGTCTCAGTTTGGAACTCTTCAGCAGTGCACACTCATAAGCTAGCTCATTGGTGATTGAACTCCAGGAAATTCAGGCTGCAAAATGAACCTGGTTGATCATAGCGCAGACGTTATAGACAGTGCAAAATCCGTTAGTTTATTTCCTTGATTGACGACAATGCCTGATCTCTTGTGCGTCTTTCGCTTTTTTTTTTCTTTTACAGGTGGAATCACTGATATCCATCCATCAACTAGAAGATCCTAATATGGTCACAGAATTCGATAGGAATTGGGATGAAATTATGCAGACTACAGCGAATTTTAATTACAGAGAAGAATGTGTAAGTGTGTAGCTGACAACTTTATTGTACCGTACTGTACTGTACCCATTGATTGATTGATTGATTTTAGTCACATACAATTTTTTTAAAGTTTTATTCTTAATGCTTAATTAATTGCCTGTCTGTCTGTTTTCGACATAGAACTTTGCACAAATGTGCGGAAGTTCAAGTCGCCACATTCCGTGTAGCACGCGAAGCAAGAGAAGAAAGTACAAGAAAAGCATAATAGAAACAGTGAGCAGAGGTGTGAGACAAAGGAGTAATAAAGAAATACAAAACAATTTCATTGAAGATCATAGTCACAGGGAGTGGATGCATCTGCGCCACTGAGAACGATTTTGAGCCATGTCACCAATTGTTTCCAACCATAGATTTTTACCGTCCCGAGGACCCAGTCAGTCAGGAAGTCTACACCTTCCTACGTGCTGGCTTAGACCAACTGTTGTGGATTTCATGACTGGTGAATCCATGTTTTTGTTTGACCGCCGCTAGCTTTCAAAATTTTTTTAGCTTTTATTTCAGATCCCTTCCACTTAACTTTCAGCAACCCCTAGGAGGAATAAAGATTTACTAACATAAGGAGGGAGTAATTTTCTTTCCTTTTGACTTGAATCTTGTTGTTATGGTAGCTTTCAATGTTGTTGATGACAGATATCATGTTAGCTACACTTCCAGGGTGCTTGTGCCGTGGTTATTATCTGGATGATCAGAGGAGATTATTAACTGTCTGCAGTTAACAATTTTGAAGAGTCTGCTTCCATTTCATCTATTCGCACAGATTCTTCATACTACTATACCACATCTTTACATATCTTTTGCAATTTGAGCAGCTGTTTGCATCCTTAATCCATCATGATGTCGTGGATATTTCATGTCCCTATGAATAATTTTACTTTACTTATTTACTGTCTGACTGACTGGCTTGCCGAAGGCTATCATCAGTCGGTGTCGTCCATCCTTGAACTGAAGATTCTTCCTTAATCCTTCGAAGAATAAACTTATTTCGTGTGTTCTCTGAGATCTCTACCCTAGCCCTACACCTTGTCTCTCCTGTACAAAGTAAAAGACACCTTTGAATTCATTGAAAGGATAAAAGATTTAAATATTAACAACAAATTCATGATATCATTTGGCGTATCTTCTTTATTGAATAGTGTTCCACTGATAGAAACAGTAGACTTATTATTTACGAAGAATTGATTAGACGGCACATCGATACTAGCATTCCTATATATGTTTTATGGAACAACTTCTTTTGCGATGTACAATGAATGTTCATTTTTTATTTAATGAGGAATAATGCAGATTAAGTGATGCTGTGACAATAGGGGTCACCACTAGAACCGATTCTAGCTTGCATTTTCCTTGCAAAACTGGACAATATAGGCCTTTGAAAGATGTAATTGGTGAACTAGAATTTAACTATCGTTATATCGAGGACACATTTTTAATTATGAAGACTGGGAATGAAACAAAGTGCATCCTTGACAAAATTAACTGTATGCATCCTTCAATAAATTCTTACATCGTGAAAGAAAACAACTCCAGTATTTCACTCCTAGACGTTCTGATGACTAGAAAAGAGGTCGGTAAAATAAGAAGAAGTGAATATAGAAAACCTACATCAACTGGTCGGCTTCGTGTCGTTGAAATACTAACATGATCTAATAAAGTGCTTGGTCCACAGAGCTTGAAAAGTCTGTTCTGATGAATGTCTTTATGAAGAATTCAATAATTACTAAACAGTTACTGAGTGAGAACGATGACCAGGAGAAATTTATCGATAAGAATATGAATCAAAAGTCAAGGCAGACCAAAGTATCAGCAGTTCCGAAAAAGGAAGGCCTTATTCTTACAACTTCAGTTCCTCAGGGATAATATCAGTGAGGTAAGAATACAGCGGTAAAAATAGCATTCAGTACTGCTGCATGAAGTATGCTGTGTTTTCAAAACCACCACTTTTTCGTGTTCGGGAGTTAAAGATAAACTGCCTAATTTCGCGTCTTCTATGTGTATGTATCATTTTGACTGCTCCTGTGGAGCCAGTTAGCTGCTTAGGCCGAACAATTAGGCGTGTTTCTCGTCGGATTTCTGAATGTCACCCTGTATAGTGATTAAGTAAAGGACAGACAGAGTCCATTCATAGGGCTATTCTGTTTCATCTCGTGGATACAGATGACAAGATTGATGTAGAAAAGGCGGCTATCAATGTTATCTACCGTATACCAATTAATCCTAATTCTACCTTAAGAGTTCGACTTCTACATATTACTGAGGCTGGCTGTTGGGAACTACATTAAGAAACCTAACTAATGTGTCCAGAACAAGTTGGTTGGTTCAGACACTGTCCTCACCTTGGTCATCAAGGTTTTGATGATCCTGAATTAGTTGTGGAAATTTCCTTAATTTTAGTTGATATTCTGTTTACCATTACATTTTTATACTTACTATAATTTATGCGTCTCTCTTGATTTGTAATTTCATTGATCTCAACAAATCTATATTATATGAAAAATACATCGATATTGTTAATTACGATTATTCTAGAATATTCTGTGTACATATATATAAAAAATTGTAGAGCTAGAAGAGGAATTTATCGAAAAGTATATTCTTTGCTAGAACTTTCTGTTGTCCTTTAAATATTTGTTCGTGAGGCTATCTAAGGTAGTCTTGGGTGTTGGTAGACTCTTATTGACGTGTAATAGTAGGTGATGATTAAGACGGTAAAATAAGAACCTAGGTTGTGGTGGTAGGACTCGAACCATTCACCTCCGAATTACTGCTAGTTTCCACGCTCTACTAGTTGAGCAACGAAGCCCATTCTATTAATAGCACACTGTGTCAACCCAAAATGATCACAGATAGAGTTCCCCCCTTATTCAATGGGATTTACATATGATAAATGAGAAGAACTTGGTGGGCTTTTGCGTCAGCGGTTCAACGGTAGGAACTCTCGTCAACTACCCATGGTGTCCGGGGTTCGATCCCCAGCCGACGCCACTCCTAAACCTTACTAAGCTGGTAGTAAGGCTGGTAAAGAGTGAAGGTTGATGGCATGAGGCTAGCGCGAACCCCATCCCGTGAAAATAAAACCCCTTTGCTACCGAGACTTCAAAGCTCTAGCTTGAAGCCCTATGTTCCACTCGGAACTTAATACATTAGATATATTTTATCTTAAGGTGGGCTTTTACAACAGAAAGATCAATTAAAAGACAAGTATTCACATTCACCAAATAAAAGACATCACCTTTATAGTGTAGATTTAATACACTACTGTTGAATTTCATACAACCGTTTCCCTGTATTCGTTTAAACCAAGAAAGAACGAACATATTTCCAGGTACACGGTAGTACAAGCTTGTTTTTTTATGATTTCGCGAAATTCTCTTCAACTGCATACATCCTAAACAAAAATCAAATTAAAAGTTGGCATAATTTGCTGATTGAACATACATTTATCACAGTGGCGTCAAGTTATAGATAAAAGATATAAGCGCAGCATAAACCCCAAGAAAAATGATGTTACTAGACAAATTATTCATTGTGTTAAAAGGCCAACTATTTATAGTATCATTAGATAGGAGTTGTGGGGGTGGGTGGGTAGGTGGGTGGTTAGAGTTCAGATTTGACTTGGAAACAAAGATTAACTAGACACAAAATACAAGGTGGAGCAAGTGAGTGAGTTTATACGTATTATAATGAAGAGTTTAAGAGGAAGGATGGATGGGGTGAGGGAGTGAATAGTAAAGTAAAATTATGACATAGACAAACAATGTAATAAATTTGGGACTTCGATAATGAGTTCAACGCAGTGAAGTGAAAATCAAACATAAGGAGAAGAAATGATGGAGTGATTGAAAATTCTGTCCATAGAAAAGGAACGTGTGCTGGTCAGTAATATTTAAATTATGACAACTTTTAGTATACGATTGGTGGATGGTGGCTAGCAGTGAAATCCAGGATAAAGCGCATTTCGTCCTATTTGGGACTCGTCAGCTGGATGTACCTGCATTTCTCAGTGAGTGATGATGTTTCCACCAAGGCTCATACCCAGTGCCCATAGTTTCAAACGCCAAAGCGTTATCCACTAGACCACTTGGGCCACGAGAGCCACCTCTTGTGCAACGGGTCATATTAATTATTGAATTGAATTTTTGATTTTCCCGTCGATTGATTGAACCGAAGTGCTCGGTCTCAGGTTAACATGTCGGCTTCTTGTGCAGATGCTTCGACGATGTCTGGGCATTTAATTTAAGCATCTGCACAAGAAGCCGACATGTCAACCTGAGACCGAGCACTTCGGTTCAATCAATCGACGGGAAAATCAAAAATTCAATTCAATAATTAATATGACCCGTTGCACAAGAGGTGGCTCTCGTGGCCCAAGTGGTCTAGTGGATAACGCTTTGGCGTTTGAAACTATGGGCACTGGGTATGAGCCTTGGTGGAAACATCATCACTCACTGAGAAATGCAGGTACATCCAGCTGACGAGTCCCAAATAGGACGAAATGCGCTTTATCCTGGATTTCACTGCTAGCCACCATCCACCAATTGTATACTAATTAAATGCCCAGACATCGTCGAAGCATCTGCACAAGAAGCCGACATGTCAACCTGAGACCGAGCACTTCGGTCCAATCAATCGACGGGAAAATCAAAAGTTCAATTCAACATCACAACTTTTGCCTAGTCGACTATAAACGGAGCCTGAAAAAAGCACTCTTTTTGTGACAGAGCTGGAGCGTTATGTTCAGAAGATAAGATTGCCGAGGAACTCACAGTTATCGAAAAAAACAAACAAAACTTTATCACAAATGGATATGCCCGGAAGTTCATATCAAAATATGGGGAAGAGAAATCACCTAGACTGAAACTCGAAATAGTTGAAAAGAAACCAGTTTCTACCTGTCTAGTGTACAAAAGCGAAGAAGTATCCATAAGAACGGAAAACAGAGTTAACGGTACATTGGTGCACCACCAGACTCATTCCACTTTATACTCGTTAACTCAGTCAAAACTAGATAATTATTATTCTACTCATGTCACCTCCCACACCATTTACCAATACACCTGCAATCGGAGCAACATGTACATAGGAGGCACTGAGAGGAGAGCGTCTACTAGATTCTTCGAGCATATCCCTAAATGTCTCCGTGCGAAAGGCAGCAAAGTGATCTTAACTAGGATTGTCAGACACCTAACTGACACACACACAACATACAGTGGGAATTAGTTGCGCTTTCAAAATAATCATAGTCCCTTCGGTTCGCAGAAGCCGCCATTGCCATCAAAAGACTTTGAAACCACTTCTGTATACAGAAAGATAGTGTGACTAATCTCTCACTACCCTGATAACTCAATGTCACACTGTGAATAAAGTGTGTTCCACAAAGAAAAAAATATTTGTTTTAGGATGTGTACGCAGTGGAAGATCAGATGTCCAGAGAAGGTCAGCAACAGGGATCTCTGACAATGAGCGAACCAACACAAGAGGAACCGATTGTTAAACAATTAGATAGGAAGAAATGCAGTTGGTGGATTGACTGGCCATACACTGAGGAAACAAACCATCAAGTGACATCACTAGACAAGCCATTGCTCGAGTGGAACCCGACGGTATGGAAAGCGGCGAGTTGGTCGTCAGTCCGAGGATGGGGTGACTTGGAGGAGGTCATGTGAGGAGGAGGAGATGAAAGCATGTGGGCAGACTTGGGGTGGGTTGAAAAAGTTGACAGAAAGCAGAAGGCAATGGAGACGTGCAGCTGAAGTCCTATGTTCCTCTAGGAATTAAAGGATATAATAATAATAATAATACGCAATTGAAGAGAATTTTACAAAACGAAGCGATGTCATATTATCTATCCTGTCTGGAAATATGTTCATTCTTTAATTTGTTCAAACTGTTGAATTAGTTCATAGATTGTATATCCTCGACTAAGATGTACTATGCGACAATCATGTCATCTGTTATCATTTCAGCAAGTATGTAACAAGTTTCCTGTGTGTTTCAGTACCGAGTGAATTAATTAACACCAACTCTTTATTAATTCAATACACGCATACTTTCGCTACCGTCAGCTTTGGTCAGATTTTAAACTAAAATGTTAGAGAGGAAAGAAATATTTTTTTCGAAAATAAAAATCATACTCTTCCTTCTCTTTGCTCGTTAATTATATCATCTGTAGGCAATCGAAAATCTCTGCATGATATTCCAAATCAGAATGGTACTGATATCTATACACTTTTAAGTAAGCATAGAAAAACGGCGTATTCTGCTGATCGTATGACGCTGGCTGTACAATCTAAGCGTAAGTTATACATTTTGTCTTATAAATAGAGCTAGTTTATTTATTTGTTTGTTTGTTTATTAAGAATGATTTTAGGAAAGTTGTGTGTGTTGCATGGCTTATGAAAGGGTGGTTTGTATGCCAGTTCAGTAGCGAACTGTTCAAGGCCGATTAACCTCCCTCCCCCCTTCACACACATTGTTTGAAATGTGTTGTGTGAAAAGCGCTATGTCTGTGATGATCTTGTTACCGGTCATGCAAAACCGTAAGGAGAATTTGGTGTACAATTTTCTTTCGGTATTGACCTTTCCTACACTTCCCCCGCCCCCACCCCCCGCGTTCTCACAGGGAAAAAGCAATGTAGCCGTCTTGCTGTTCTGCCTAGGGAAACACCTTACTGGTGTTGAATCGCTATTTTATAGAACACCATTTAAGTAGGCAAATACGTGTTTTTGCGTAAATCCTCATCAGGCTCACTACATGAATTACATAATAAAATATCAGTCGTCAACATTTGGAAGAATGTCGATCAATAGAATCAAATATAACCGAAGGGTGTGTGTGTGAGTAGAATAATAATAGTTATTATTTATTATTGTTCCCTTGGATTCCTTCACGTCTCTACTTACTTATGTCTTCTGCTGTACTTTTCACCTGCATCCATGTTTAGTCCATACTGTTTAAACTCCTCTTCACACGATCTCCTCCATGTCACCCTTGCACTGACGTCCCACTCGCCTCTTCCCTTTCGGGTTCCACTCGAGCAATGGCCTTACGCGCGATATGACCCAGCGGCCTCCTCGAGTAGGTAAGACTAGGCAACTCTTTAGACTCATCAGGGAAACGGGCGGGAGAAGGCAAATCATAAGTGAAACTATTTCTAAGAAAAATGGCTCCTTAATTAGCTCTCAGGATAGACGCCTTGAACGCTAGAAAGAACACTTTGAGGGACAATTTAACTTGCCTACAGCCACACTGAACCTCCCCGACACCCAGCACACACCCGAATGGGATACAGACACTGGTCCACCGTCTGTAAGTGAGGTCACAAAAGCTATCTGTAATTTGAAACGAGGCAAAGCGGCAGGACCCGACGGAATTATTCCGGAGGTGTTTAAATATGGGGGTGACATACCAGTTTGTAGATTAACTGAGGTACTAGGCAAAGTCTGGGAATCAGAGACAGTGCCATCAGACTGGGGTAAGTCACTTATTATACCGATATTCAAGAAGGGAAACAAGTCCTCGTGTGATAATCATAGAGGGATCAGCCTAACGAACATAGTCTCTAAAATCCTAGGCTCAGTAATCATGCATAGACTAAGCAGAACTCGAGAGGAACAGACAAGGGAAAATCAAGGAGGCTTTAGACCAGGCAGAGGGTGCATAGATCATATCTTCACTCTTCGACAGATTCTAGGACATAGACACACTTTTCGGCGTCCAACAATTGTCATATTTCTTGACTTGAAGGCGGCCTTCGACTCCGTGGATCGAAAGGTACTATGGCAATGTCTGACTGTGAAGGGAGTGCCATGAAAGTACATCGCACTAATCAAGGCACTCTATTCAAACTCACGTAGTCGTGTAAGGGCTTATGGGGAATTGTCATCTGAATTGATAACAACCAGTGGTATCCGACAGGGATGTCCACTTTCCCGATTTCTGTTTAACTTCATTATAGATATGCTGATGGAAGCATCCTTAACTGAATGTAACGACTTAGGAATCGACTTGTTACCAGGGAATGGTCTTATGGACTTAGAATATGCAGATGACATAGTCCTGTTAGGGGAGTATGCTGACAAAATGCAGAGTCTTCTGAACACCTTGAGAAGCAATCTTCGTATGTTTGGCTTGCGATCCGCCCCTGCAAAATGTAAAATGGTGCTACAGGACTGGACTACGTCAACTCCTAGCTTAGTGATAGGGAGTGAAGTGATAGAACATGTTGACCACTTCACCTATTTGGGAAGTTGTATTAGCACCAACGGACTGATTGGCGACGAAATCTCAGCACGGATCCAAAAAGCTCGAGCTGCTTTTGCTGACTAACACCATCTCTGGCGTAGGCGTGACATCCGGTTATCAACCAAGGGACGTGTGTACTGCTCAACAGTTCGCTCCGTCCTTCTCTATGACTCTGAAACATGGCCAATACGCGTTGAAGACATGAAAAGGTTGACTGCTTTCGATCATAGATGTCTGCGATCTCTGTCTCACGTTAGGTGGTTTCACAAGGTAAGTAATGTTGACGTTAGGCGTAGAGTGTTAGGCAAAGAGGGATAATCAATCGACGAAGCTATAAAGTTACATAGATTGAGAGATGGCTAGGTCACGTGGTGCGCATGCCTAACCATCGCCTCCCCCGACGGGCATTGCTAGCTGATATAGGTTCAGGTTGGAAAAGAGCCAGTGGTGGCCAAACAAAAACATGGCATCAATCCATGAAATCCTTGACAGTTAAACTGAGTCAGGTAGGTAGGGAGATGCAGACTCCCGGGTTGGGGCCCTTGGGACTCTAGGAATCAATGGCTGGAGACAATAGGTGACATGGCTCAAAATCGTTGTCAATGGCTAGCGCAGATGTATTCAGTCTCTGAAATCTTTCATATTCCTTTCTACCATTACGCATTCTGTTTCACTCTTATACTTGTCAGACTGTATTGATTCTCTTCACTCATCTTCTTGTCTACCTCTGTGTGCTATTTGAAAGGTGGCAACTCGAACTGCTGCACTTCGGTGCCAAGTTCTGTGTTGAATCCAGACAGACAGACCTCGAGTAGAATAATGATAATAATAAATTGTTCAACTAAGATTAAAATATCCGACTATAACATACAGTATGATATTGGTAGCGAAGTTGGCAATACAAATAAAAACAAAAATATTATTTATATTTATCCGGTGTCACTGGGAGAAATAACTATTGTAGGCTGGAGTTGAAGGTCATGTGAGGGAAAGGGGACTGGACAAACTTTTTCTGAAGACAAAGTTTGGACTGGAAACTTTTTTTATGGCAACTGATTCGGTTATGCCTAGTAATCGAAGGCGTACACACTTAGTGAATTGAGGTGGCACCTTGTATAGGTAGAATTGTAAAGGCCCACAACATTCCCTTCTTGAGCACTGTCTAACGTGGTTAGGTAAAGGAGATGTAAAGTCAATTGGTAGTTCCATATCGGTACACCTTGTTGATACGGATCACAAGACTGATAAAAATTTAGTCGCATTATCCAGATTGCAATAGACTGGATAATGCGACAGACAACGGGCAAAAAGGAAACAGGCTTAAAATGGACTCACACAAGAAACTTGGAGGATCTGGACTTTGGCGATGATATATATCTGATTTCCCACAAACTGGAAGATATGCAAGTGAAAAGCGACAAGCTGGTAGAAGAAGCATCAAAGATAGGACTTCCTTCAGGTGAAGATAAATAAAACAGAGGTGGTGAAGATTCCTGGCAGACACCACCAACAACAGACAACAATCAGCCAGAATAAATGGGAGGAACCTGAAAGAAACAACCTCCTTCACCTACCTACCTAACTGGGAAGCATCGTTTTAACTACAGGCGGAATTGACGAGGATATCAAAGCCAGAATCGGGAAAGCAAGGCAAGCTTTCATTACTCTTAAGTCTGTGTGGAGGTCAACAGCCCCACTCAGCATGAAAATGAAAATAACATCCGGATTTTCAACTCCTATGTGAAGTCAGTGCTACTCACTATACGGATCCGACACTTGGCGCGTCATAAAGAGCATCTCAAACAAACTTCAGACCTTCATTAACAGTTGTCTTTGCTCAATACCACTCAAGATCAGATGGCCGGCCAGAAAAGATCAGTAACAAGGGGGGATCTCTGGGAGCGAACCAACACAGCAGGAAGCGATCGTGAAACAAATAGGCAGGAAGAAATGCAGTTGGTAGATTGACTGGCCATACACTGAGGAAACAAACCATCAAGTGACATCACTAGACAAGCCATTGCTCGAGTGGAACCCGACGGTATGGAAAGCGGCGAGTTGGTCGTCAGTCCGAGGATGGGGTGACTTGGAGGAGGTCATGTGAGGAGGAGGAGATGAAAGCATGTGGGCAGACTTGGGGTGGGTTGAAAAAGTTGACAGAAAGCAGAAGGCAATGGAGACGTGCAGCTGAAGCCCTATATTCCCCTAGGAATTAAAGGATATAATAATAATAATTTTTGTTTTTATTTGTACTGTCAACTTCACTACCAATATCATACTGTATGTTATATAGTCGGATATTCTAATCTTAGTTAAAGAATTTATTTCGATAAAGAAAGGAAGACGAAATTTGCAGTATAAAATGATATCATTCTATTTCACAGGTTCTCATCAGCTGCAGACTACCTGAAATTACAATGGTTATATAGGTGATAATAACATACTTTAATGTTCGAGTGGTGGTAGCAGTATATAGTATAGTATAGTAGCTCTTTTCTACCACCACTCTAACATTAAAGTATGTTATTATCATCTATATAACCATTGTAATTTCAGGTAGTCTGCAGCTGATGAGAACCTGTGAAATAGAATGATATCATTTTATACTGCAAATTTCGTCTTCCTTTCTTTATCGAAATTTATCAATGGAACCAAATGTATGAAAGAATTTATTATTATCATTATTCTACTCACACTGCCCCCTCCCCTTTCGGTTAATATTTGATTCCATTGATCGACATTGTTGCAAATGTTGATGACTGATATTTTATTATGTGTTATATTTATGTAGTGAGGCTGATGAGAATTTACGCAAAAACACGTGTTCTAAAGTGATCCTTATGGGGGGGGATTTTCAAGTTACTAATTTACTCATAACTGTAACTTCATTCTTACACCCTGAATAGTTATAGCCTGACCCAGCTTGCATTATAATGGCAACTTCTAACTACTATCCAAATGACATATTTCTAGGAATGCTGTGAGACCTGGAGGATCATTTATTCCTGCTAGTATAGTAGCTGATTGGGTTATTGTTGTGATATGCGCGAGCCTGACAACTATGTCAAGGTTAACAGTTATCGGTGAGCAATTTATTGTGAAAAATTGATATCAGTTTTAGTTATAAGTAAGTCATTAAGTAAGCCAATCTGTCATTTTACTTTTTGCAAGATCGCTAGTAGATAATATATTCCAAGAGAAATTACTGCTACCAAATACATTCACTGTATTGTAAAATGCACAAACCCTTCCCTATCTGTCGGTAATTCACTGTTAGCTGATAGATTACAGTATGCCAGGTCCAATTATTACTATTATTATTATTATTGTTCCCTCGGGTTCCGAGTCGAGCGTAGGGCTTCAGCAACACATCTCTACTTTGTTCTATTTGGTGCTGTCCTCTTTAGTTGGCTAACTCCACGGTTGCTCATAATGTCTTATCTCCTCATCCTCCTCCTTTCTACACCATCTTCTGCATGTCACCATCACACCAGCGACCCACTCGTCGCTTCCCGTTGAGCTTCCACTGGAGCGATGGCCTGGTTGGCGCGCGATATCATTCGACGGCCTCCTCAGTGGCGTGTGCCCGATCCATTTTCATTTTCTCCTACATATTTGTTGAATAGTCGGCTCTCGCCTGTTGGTTTGTCGCTTGTGTAATTATTTCCCAGTCAGAAGTTTATCCGGATAAATTGGTGGAGTGACCGAAATACCTTTAGAGATAAAGATTTGAATGAGACATGCTCTTAGCTCAGCGTGAGCATTTACTTCCTCAAGGTGGCACATACACACACACACACGCCTTCTTCATGAACCGCAGTGGCTAAAGACAACCATAGGCTGGGTAAAACTTCTTGCCAACTAACTAACGTCTGTCTTACCGTGACTGACTGGTTTCAGCATAGAACTTTGTATAGAAGTGCACCAGTTGGAGTTCCCACACACTATACAAAAGAAGGCAAAGATAGGGAAAAAATAAAGAGATTTGAAATGGCGATAATCAACAGAAATGTAGGGAATAAAGAATAATAACATGGAGAAGCAATAGGGTTTCGACGCATAGAGAGCGATGATTTTGAGCCGTATCAATAATTGTTTGCAGCTATTGATTGATTGGTCATGAGAATCGCACAGACGTCAACCAATCAGTCCTATGTGTGGCTAGCTAAAACCAACTGTCGAAGATTTCATTAACTGATTCCAGATTTTGGTTCCATTACCATTAGCTCTTTTCCAGCCTAAGCCTATGTCAGCTAACACACTAGTTGTTGTGGTAGGCGGTGCCTTTGGATGCGTAAGCCAGACATGTTCTAGCCATCTGACAATCGATGTAGCCCCTCTTTGTCTAACACACTCGATGCATAATCTCAATTGCCTTACCATGTCTCCTAGCTTGGTGGTCTTCATTGTAGATTTGTCTGATAAACATCTGCTAACTAACAACTGGAGCTGAGTTCTTACGACTGGTGATCAATTGGCGAGCATAAGACAAAACAAGCATCAGCACAATACCATCAAAGTTTTCATTTCAAATCTTATCAACTGGTTATTATAATAATTATCATTAAAGCTGTAAAAGAATGTGCTTCAGTGTATGAATTTTACCACTGCCTGAGTTCCAGGTGGAAGTTAAGACTTCAAACTGTGAAGTTTCAGTAGCGTCGGTGTTGTTCTTCTTATGGGTTGAAGTTGCTAGTCTGACTCCCGATCTTACGTCTTTTCTGAGTTTACTACCGTTTTAGTAAACCAGGTGAGGCTTATGAGTGCTTCCATGGTCGGGAATCGAACTCGAATTTCCTCCGTGTGTGTGTGTGTGTGGCTCATGAGCATTCTACCACAGTGGACCACCAACTCATAATGTATGAATTACTTTGACACAACACTGGATACTTCTTGTTGTAATTCCTAATAAAAATGCTTTCTGGATCATGTTAAAGCTGATTAATCTTTTCTTTTTTTATTTATTCAAATATTTTCCAAACAGACACTTTAGATGATTTGGAGACATTAGTACGTGAAATTTTCTCTGATATACCAGTAAGGTAAGTCATCTATCTATCTATCTTTCTAGTCATATGATAAGAATCTCGTTTTATGTCCCCTTTTTATTCATTTGTCTTATCGGTTAGTATTCATGACATTTCGACTGATTTTTGTTCCAAGTTTGACCACGGATTGATTGATATCAGTTAAAGAATCTTTGAGAACCAGTCAGGGTGTACTAGACAACTGTCTGTGTCGTCCTACTTTGGGGCTCCTCAGCAGTACACACACTCTCTGGGGTTTGAACTCTTAGGACCTTCCCAGCCTACAAGTCAGGCTTGTAGAGAGCATTCAGCCACTGAGAACCGACTCAATGGCTAGCCCAGGAATTCTGACTGCCCACTTATTAGTGATTTCAACGTGACCACCTGCAAATGTCATCCACAGCGAGTATTTGTTCCCACTCCTGATTGGATACTTACTTTTTACTTTACTTCGGCTATCTCCTACGGGAGGATGAGCCGGCTTCATGAACATCTCGAATCATCGCTGCCCAGGCGCGGCGATCTGATGCAAGGTTTTGCGACAGAGTTATCCAGTTCTTGTTTTGTTCCACAGACGGAGTCCGTAGACGGTCTGTAGCCCCAGCCAAGGCACTCCATATCAGCCTTGACTGTACCAAGCCATGTTTTCATCTGTCCACCTCAGCGACATCGCCAAGATGGAAATGGTGAGGGGTTTAGAATTGATTTGACCAGATCGTCATCTGGTCGGCGCAGAACATGGCCAAACCACTGAAGGCGACGTTGTTGGACCAGTACTATAATTTGGTTGATGTTGTAGAGAGTTCATGAAGTTTCATGGGAATTAGGTACGAGTGATGTCCCCAGGATCGCTCGGCCCTTTGTTTGAGAGTGCAGCTCTAGCCTTTACACAACCAAGTGTGACCTACAAGGCAGTAGGGGTGGAGTAGGGAGTCCACTATCCATTGGCAGCCGGTGACCGGAGTCCGGTTGATACGCCTTTTTGAATGGGGCGGGCCAGACATCCAGGGCCTCCAATAAGCCCTTTGTCCATACGTCTGCCGGTGAGCTCCTGATTGGATAGAATCTCACTGGTCACGATTTCTCACTAGAACTCCCCAGGCATACAAAGGACTATAATATAAGCAGAAAACTGAAGGATAAAGAATAATAGTTGGAGGATTTCATCATGAACTGACACTAGTAAGAGAACTATTGCAAAACCATCACAAGGTGAACTAGCTCGTAGACTATTCAGCCAATGGGACACGACCCAGTGGCCAGCTCATGAATTCTAACTTCTGCCAATTCATGACCTAGCGTGACCACTTCACAATGACTTCTTCGATGAGTTACTGCCTCACCTTCAACTTGCTGCACCCTACTGGTCACGACTTCCCACTAGAACCCAGGTTAACCGCCTGAATAAGGCCAGTTACCAGTGAGCGTCAGATGAATTTTCAGGTAGGGATTTTGTTTGTTTGGTTGGTTGGAGGACTTCATTATGAACTGATATTGGTTAGATAACCATTGCAAAACCATCTTGGAGTACTGATGAGCCGTTTCGTCCTAGTTCAGGACTCTTCAAAGAAAACTGCAAAACCAGTACTTGAAAAAAGAAAGAATACTAACTTGAAAATGGTGAGAGTGGTGTAATGGATAATATAGGTAATTATCAATAGTGATGTCATTCTTCTTAGAATTTTGACGACTGTCAGTAGGCCTAGTAGTGGTGGTATCCCATTGGGTGGGCCATATCGTTGACTCAGTCATTGATGGGCACTTGATGTCATGCAACAAATTTACTAAAGGAATTTTGTTAGACTATGAGCATCCACTTTATCTGTGGCTCTCCAACCTTGTGTCTCCTCAGGTATAACAAAAAGTCATTCTAAAAGACCTTATGCTCGCACGTCTAAGTATAAAAATTCCACTGTATCCTATTTGGCTCGTACTTTATGTGATGAATACAATGTCGGGGACGAACTAACTAACTAATCTTCTTTGCACTATTAAATAAACCATTTTCTTCACCCTTACAACATCAACCTTTATTGTTTGTTATTGTACTTCTTTTATATTCATAATCCTCTCAATTACTTGCTTTTTTATTTCCTCATAAGTGTCAACATCGTTTAAGCCTTTTAATAAATGTTATTTTTGTTTTCCCCGTCACGATGCAGTATCAAGATTCAATAATCTATAACGTACTGAAGTTTCCATACTGTATCGACAATACTGTTTGAGACAAACTCACTGTTGTTATTTATTATTATTGAGTTATTATTCTTATTTTGTGCTTTGCACATTTCTGACATTATCGCCTACTGCAAATGTAGACAGATTTCTCTGGTTAATTTTGTTTTAATTTTATTTATATTTTGAGTAAATCAGATGCATAATATTGTGACAAATGCTGAGAATTCCATTCTGTATAATAAGTGTACTGTCTGTTTTGAAATAAAGTAGATTATTATTGTTATTGTTTTTACGAGTTGATCACGGATTGATATCAGTTAGAGGACCATTGAAAACCAGGGAGTACTGGACAGCTGCTGTTTCATCCTAGTTTGGGAATCATCGGCAGTGCACACCCACTGGGATTCGAACCCGGGACCTTCCGGTTACAAGGCAAGCTCGTTTCTGAGTTCTAGTGAGAAGTCGTGACCAGTAAGGTCCAATTAGATGTCACGTGTGTGGATGTATGTCCCACCAACGACAATGGTTGGGGTCGCGCTAAATCACGAATTGGTTGAAGTTAGAATTCATGAACCATTGAATCAGGTGCCGCCAGTGGCTGAATGGTATGCGAGCTTGCCTTGTAATCGGAAGGCCCTGGGTTCGAACCCTGGCTGTGGGTGGGCACTTCCGATGATTCCCAAACTAGGATGAAACAGCAGCTGTCCAGTACTCCCTGGTTTTCAATGGTTCTCTAACTGATATCAATCCGTGATCAACTCGTAAAAACATAACAAACCCTTACAAACCAAACTATAGAAAATAGTTATTGTTATTATTATTATTGTTTTACTTTAGTTCATAAGTTTCTAGGTGAATTCGTTTTCCACAAACTTTCTGCATCCTCCCACCCATCTGTCTAGTTGGTTGACTGGTTGTCGACATTGTTATCAATATTTCCAATTTTCAGTGTACTTTTTATGGTTTTTTTGTTTCTCGTCTACTTACAGTGGAGTACCTGCACCGAACTTTTTATCGGCCAAAAGCTTTGATGTTGATTCATTTGCTGGACTTTATAAAGGTGATTATTATTATTATTAATATTGATATTATTTTCACTCTTATTAATGGCATTACTAATACGCCAGAGTTAGTATGTGTTTTCAAGCAAATAATAAACATAATGTGACTTTCCAGTATTGGTTTGTGGGGATTTGATTGGTTGGTTACAGGATTTTATCATGAGTTGACAGTAGTTAGAGAACCATTGGAAAAATATCACTGGAGTACTATGTAGCTGGCGGTTTCATCCCAGTATAGGACTCTTCATTAGTACGCACCCACACTGTGGGGTCGGAACCTAGGACCTTCAGGTTACACTTCGCAGTGGCTTAGTGGTCTACGAGCTAGCTCGCCTTGTAACCAGAAGGTTCTTGGTTCGAATCCCGCAGTGTGATTGCATGCTGTTGAAGGGTCCTGCGCTAGGACAAAATAGGCAGCTAGCTGTCCAGTACTCCCATGTTTTCCGATGGTTCTCTAATTGATGTCAGCTCATGATGAAATCCTGTAATGTGATTTCCCTGATTTCAAAATGTTATTATAACTTGCTGTAATTCCTAGAGGAACATAGGAAGAACTTCAACAGTGCTCATCTCCATTTCATCATATGTTCTCTTCAGTCCTCTTTTAACCTGGCTCTATGATTCACTATAAGCTCTTATCTCCACTGCACACGATCTCCTCTATGTCAGCCATCGAAGCCCCCTTACCTAACTCATCGTTTCCTATTACTCGGATTCTACTCGAGGGTTTGCCTAACTGGCGCGTTATGTCACTCACCAGTCGCCTTATTGTTGGATTTTTGTCAATCCGATGTCCACTTTCTTGACATCTTCATTGGGCAATATGTTTGGGTTTATTCAATGCACAGCAGAGCTAAATTAACGGATTTTGTTTAATTTTCTTTAGTTGGTTTGTAAGGACTAGTTTCGTTTTCACGAGTTTGATCACGGATTGATATCAGTTAGAGAACCATTGAGAACCAGCACGGAGTACTGCCAGACTGCTGTTTCACTAGCCTAGTTTGGGAATCACCAGCAGTACGAACCCACACCATGGGGTTCGAAACTAGGACCTTCCGGTTATGACGAAAGCTAGCTCGTATACCATTCAGTCACTGTGACGTGATTCAGTGACCAGTCTATGAATTCTATCTCCTGCCAGTTCGTGATTTAGTGCGACAGGCACCAACCAATGTCATCGGTGGAACATCCATCCTCACAGTTGACTGGATGGACCTTACTGTAGTCACGACTTCTCAGTAGAACTCCAGGAAACTTTGTCCTGTAGCAAGTCACTAGCGAGCATAAGATTAATTTTCTATAATTGGTTTGTTTATGCATATATTTCATATATACTGACTCTATTTTGATGATATTCTCTAATTTTCTTCTACTTTACTGCTCTTTTCTTTTTGAAATTTCAGTGTGTCCTTTAAGTGCAAAAGAAAAGCTACGCATTATCTGGATTTTACCTTCACAGCTTGCGAATTATGAGTAAGTGATGATGATTTATTCAATGTTGTTATTGAAGAGAGAGAGAGAGGTGACAAAAAATTGAGGCTGGTTTTAGGATTTATTCTAGGCACTTAAACAGGGTTGCTGACCCACTCAGTTTTCGACAGAGCTAGCCACTGACCAGATGTGTTCATTCCTTTTCGCAACTGCTACTGCTGTTACTGATGGCGGTGTCTTTTAATTCATAAATCAGGGTTCTTTCCGTCTAAATCATTATGGATCTGCTCTGCAAGCTTATCGTTCTCGTGAAGCTTCTTTTTAACTTTGTAGATACCAT